CCGCGCGCGCGCGCGCGCCGCGCACGGTGCATGCGCGCCGCCCCCTCGCGCGCGCCCCCGTGGGCGCGCGCGACGGCTCACGCGCGCGCATGACGGGTTCGCGCGACGGTGACTGCCGATGCTTCAGTCTCGCGCGCGCGCCGTCGCCGCCGCGCGCGATGTCGCTCGAGCGCGCGCGCGGGACGGGCGCGGACGCGCGCGCGTCCACGTCCGGGTCCGCGACGGCGCGCGCGCGCGCGCGTGGCACCGGTGTGGCGCTCGCGCAGGCGTGCGCGTTCGTGAACGCGTGCTCAGCCGCGGCGTCGTACGCGCTCGAGCGGCGAGGGGTGTCGCTGCCGTCGTGGCAGACGTTCTACGCGTACGCGTGCGTCGCGTGCGCGTTCGCGCCGGGGTACGCGATGCGCACGGCGCGGGGGGGGGGCGGGGCGAATCGGGCGCGGGTGGGACGGTACGCGGCGCTGGCGTTGTTGGACGTCGAAGCGAATTATTGCGTCACGCGGGCGTTTGAGTACACGAGCATGACGTCGGTGAGTTTGTTGGACAGCGCGACGATACCGTTCGCGATGATTCTGTCGGTGTACGCGCTGGGGGCGAGGTACGGGAAGGGGCACGTCGCGGGCGGCGCGTTGGCGTTCGCCGGTTTGGTGGTGCTCGTGTTGGGGGACGCGATGCCGAGCGCGAGGACGAGTGGGGGGGATGGATCGAACGTGCCGTTGGGAGATTTTTTGGCCGTCGTCGCCGCGGCGCTGTACGCGACGTCAAACGTGTTGAATGAGGGATTTTTGCGGGACGCCGACAAGGTTGAAATCTTAGCGCACATCGGTGTCTTTGGAACCGTCATCAGCGGGACACAGAGCGCGGTGTTGGAGGGGATGAAATTTAGCCAGTTGAAGGTTTTAGGCGCCGCGGGCGCGGGACTTTTTGCGCTCTACGCGCTGTCGCTCTTGGTGCTGTACACGTTTGCCATGGATGTGCTTGAGCTCTGTGGCGCATCCGCTTTCAACGTCAGCATGCTCGCGAGTGACGTTTGGAGCGTCGTCATTCGATTGATCTTCTTCAACGGATTCTCCTCAGTCAGTGCATTCGTGTCGTTCTTGTTCGCGTTCGCGTTCGTCGCTTCGGGAATCATCATCTTCGCTCTCGCGGGCGATCCCGCGGGAGCGCAGCCACAGTCGAGCGCCGACGAGGCGTCATCGCTTGGAGCGCGCATACGGCGATTGTTCGTTCCAGAAGCGAGACGCGGGGCGCCGTACGTGCATATGGATGTTTCCGACGACGACGATATGTGCGACGTCGAGCTCACGCCCGTGCACGGTTAGCATGCTAGATGTGTAGAATTTTACTACAAACAAATGGCTCAATTCTCAGCTCTCCCAATCGAAATCCGACCCGGAGTCGTCTTCGGCCGCTTCTTCCTTCGCCTTCGCCTCACGTCGCGCACGTTTCTTCGAGGCTCGCGCGGCATTGGGGTTGTATTGTCCTTCGTTTCCGTAAAGCACTTTCTGCCTCGCCGAAGACTGTCGTGCTGCGGCGGCAGCTTCTGCCGCGGCGAGAGCGCGTTGCGTGCGACCCGCTTGCGAATCGTCTCGCTCACGCTTGAGTTTCACCGGCTCGACGCCCTCCATCGTGTCATCGTCATCTTCGTCGTCATCCTCCTCTTCTTCACTAAGATCGTGCGCTTCGATAATCCCGTTCCCGAGCGTTTGCACAGCCATGAAGTCAACGTCGTCTGCGCCCTCTTCGGGCAAGCCGGCAATGACCGTAGACTGCTCCGCGGCAAACACCTTGTCCGCATCAAATTCTTCGCTCCAGCCCCCAACAATCTCAGCAGCGGCGTGCTCCTTGTGCTCCTCTCGCGCCGGCGGAGAGGTAAAGTAAGGGATGCGACCGTTGTTCCAATCAGTGAGCACCACACGCGCCGCTGCCTTCAAATCAGGAATACCGCCCTTCTTGAGCTTTCCTTGTAATCGCGCCACTTGTCGTAAAAAGTCGTCCACGTCGGAGAATCTTCCGGTTTTGTACATGACCATAAGTTGCTCTGGCGGGCATCGGCGGGTGATCTCGTGCACCGGCGCTATCGGATCCTCGATCCGCTCCACCTTGACGCAGTTGCGCAACGCCGCTGCACCCGCAGATTCACCGAGCTCACTCGCAAAAACGACACCCGGTGAGTCAATCAACTTAACGTTCTTGTCGAGCTTGATCTCCTTCAATACCTTCGTCATGCCCGGAGTGTTTCCGACCGCCGCCGCAGTACGACTGCGCTTGAGCGAGTTGATGAGACTTGATTTACCAACGTTAGGAAACCCAACAATACCGACCGTGATGGCCGTCTTCATGTTCTTATTTCGCGCGTAGTTCTTCAGCATCTCCAATAACGTCTCAGCACCGAGCGAATCCGCACCACCGAGAGCGTTTCCGGAGGATTTGAAGTTGGCATTACGAGCGCCCAGCTTGTTTCCGCTCCCAGAAGTGGCGCACTTGAACGCCACCGCGGGCAGCTCCTCACGGAAGTACTTCAACCACGCCATCACATTCTCCTTCGGCACGAGATCGATCTTGTTCAACAAGAGAATCATGCGCTTATCAGGGTTCATACGTCGCACGAAGCGTTCGACTTCGGGCGAGCGACACGCAAGCGGATCCCGAGCGTCCAAAACCTGAATAACCACGTCTGATAGCTCCACAACCTTGACAAATTCCTTATAGTACGCCCGGCGACTGGAATCCTGATCGTAATCTTCGCGCTCGAGCTCCTCCGCAATCTTCGCCTCCTTTTTCTCCTCGTAGTTTTGCTCCTTTCGATCCGCGAGCGCTCGCAACTGTTCCAACGACGGCGCCGGCTGTCCGTTATCAATCATCTCCTTCACGATCCGCTTGTTCTCCGCCCGTCGCTGCTTCTTCGCCTCCAAGCGCTCCGTCTCCTTCTTCTCTTTCTTCTCGTGCTCGTACTCGATCTCCTTCATCAGCTCATCTCGAAACGGCAGCGTCGACGGAATGCCCGGGTCCTTCGGTCCCTTCTTCTTAATCCCAAGCCTCTTCAACCGATTCTCCTCCTTCCGCTTCTTCTTGTGATGTTCCTTCACCTTACGAATCACCTTATACTTCTGCTTCAGCGTCGTCCGCTTCGACTTCGATTTCGTCGACTTCTTCGGCATCGTCACCCGTTGTCCTCGTCGCGCTCACCGACGCGTCACCGCCGAGTTCACGCCGAGTTCGCGCGCGCTTCGCTTCGCGCCCGCGCGATCGCCCCGCGCGTTCGCCCCGCGCGAACGACGCGATTGTACACCACGCCGCGCCCGCGTCGTCAGAGCCCCGCGGTCGCTCCGACGCGCTCGACGCGTCGTCGTCCGTCGTCGTCGTCCGGCGGCGGCGGCCGCGGTGTGTGTCGAAAACACACAAACACGCCAAGCGCCAGCGGTACCGCCCCGACGCCCGCGCGCATCGGGCGCGACCGTCGACGGCGACGCGACGGTGGACCGCGTCGACGATGCCGCGGGCGAGACCGCTCGGCAAATGGCTCGGCGTCCTCGGTTGCGCGTGCGCGATGGCGACGATGGTGGTGGCGGCCGTCGCGGCGCGCGATGGGATGGTGACGCGACTCGACGCGCTCGGGGACGAATTCGCGCGATCGGCCGCGTTACGATGCGAATCGTGCGCTGGGACGGTGCACGCGACGGTGGTGACGATGGATGTGGTGCGAAAGACGAGGAGAGCGCGCGTGGGGAGCGAAGAGGTGGTGGCGGGGGATTTCGAGAGCGTGGATGGGTGCGAGACGCGATTCGGCGCGGGGACGGCGAGGTATGGATTTAAGATCGTGAACGGGACGAAGCGGTTGGTCGGGCCGGGCGTGGACGCGCTGATAAAGGCTCCGGGTGATATCATCGATCGTCAAGGGGCGACGGAGGCGATGCGAGTGCGATGTAAGGCGATGATGTACGAACTGGATGATTTCGTCGATACGTTCGTCGAGGCGGAGGAGTCGGTGAAGAAATCAGGCGTTTCCCCTGAAGAAGCGTCGCAAAAGGTGTTCATGAAGTTGATGAATGCAATTTGCGTCGAGCGCCTGCGTCAGTGTGAGAGCGTGGAGTGGCTTGGGACGAATTTACAGGGCGTTATGAATGCCTCGATTACGGAACAGAAACGTGCCGAGCGCGAGCTCATCGACAAGATCTCCAAGCCAGCGACAGAGGAGGGTGCGCAGCCGTTTGTCGATGCGAACTTGGCGGTATCGAGGTGTAACGGCGAGGACCCCGATGCCTTGTCGCGCACAGCGTGCATAATGCTCGCCGAAAACTTGATGACAAAGGGCCAACAAAGCGTTCGGGCCCACGCAAACTTCACTGGCGAGGCAAAAAAGTTTCAGAGAAAGCTCGATGTCGGAGGCGAAACTAAGCTGGATGATGACGATGCCGACAAAGACGGTGATGTGCACGAGCTGTACGCCGAAGCGATGCTTAACGCGTCGTACATCAGGGCAAACATAACCTTGAATCGCGCGGTGAGCTACCTCTCTCTTAGTTTGGACATTGATCCAACACGCGCGAGCACGGAACACAACCTTGCGTTCGCGTACAGATCCGGGAAAAATTATACCGCAGCGAAGACTCACCTGTACGCTCTTCTCTCTCCGGCGCGTGCAAGTGAGATTCCAGCAGAAACTCGCGCCGAAAGCAGTAAGCTCCTGTGTGAAATCGAGCATCTCGAAGGAAACGATCAAGCCGCCATGGAGGCGTGCGAGAGAAGTATCGAGTTTAATCCCTTGAATTTTCACGCCCTTCGTCTCAAGGCACAGCTTCACATGGTCCGTTTCTTCAGAGAAGCCGAAGAGATTCGCGCGAACGAGCATGACCCTCAAGAGGAACGTCAAAAGGAAAGCTTGCGCGATGTTGCTGAAGCGAAGAACCTGTTCACTCAAGCCTTAGTGCTGGATCCTGCGAAGAACGAGATCGCACAACTTGGGATGGTTTTGTATTTCGAGCAAGCGGCGCAAGATTCGGCGCTTCAAAAGCTCACGAAGGAGCAACTTGGCGCGCTCAGGCATGCAAGACACTTCTGTGAACAGCAGGGTACTGAACTGGACAACGTGTGCACGGACATGCTCGAACTCGCGGGAAATCACGTGGCGGAGCTAGGTTTCATCGCCCTCGGGAACGACGCCTTACAGATGGCGCTCACGCTGGACGCAAAACGCACGCACTTGTGGACAAATCTCGGGTACGGCTTCATGTCCATGGGCAAATTCAAGATGGCCGGTGTCGCCTTCGATCGCGCGTCGTCCGCGGACGACTCGTTCGAGCTCCCCGAAGCCATCGCCACGCTCTTGAAACGCGGCGGCGAGTTCGAGCGCAAGCTCGAGGAGGACCGCGCCACGGCCTCGGCGAAATGGACCGAGAGCCGCCGTCCGAACAAGGATGAGCGCCGCGCGCTCGCGGCCGAAGTCGAGGCCACGCTCAGCTCCCTCCGAGGCCCCGCCGCGTCCTCGCACGATGAATTGTAACATTACGCACGCACGCTTTGACATCGTCCGCGCTCGGTCTCCATCGTCGACCGCGCGCGCGTCGGTGCCCGCGTCGTCTCTCGCGCTAAAAACGGGACCAAGGAACACCCTTCCCCCGCGTTCCTCACTCACGCCCCCGCCGCTCGCCTCAACATGTCCGAAGCGTCCAGCGGACCGTGCGCGCTGGTCCTCATCGAGGATCCCACCGCGCTCGACGGCGCCGACGTCCCCGAGCACATCGCGTTGCAGCCCTTACGGCGCCGCGGTGAAGGAAAAGACGACGACACGCGCGAGGTGCCGGGATTGCCACGAGCGAGCGATTCCCGTGTCGTGATCACGATCGGACGCGACGCGACCAAGGTGGACGTCGCGATGGACTGTACGACGATCCCGCTTCTCCTCTCGAGGCGTCACGCGCATTTGACGTGCGACGGCGACGCGCACTACGTGAGAGATTTAGCCACGACGAACGGCACGTTCGTCAACGGGAGCCGAATCGAAGCCAAGAGCGACGTGGCGCTGCGAGACGGAGACGTCGTCGCGTTCGGGGGACCGAGGTACGTCGCGCGAAACGCTGGGAAGCTTGCAAATCCGTTTCGGTTTCGGTACGTCGCGCTGGAGCGCGCTGGGGTGGACGCCGGGGACGCGAGGACGAAGAGACAGAGGTTGAGCCAAGGGTCGGAGCGAGAGTTCGGGCTCGGTGGGGTGGAGGTTTCGGCGCAGGCGAGTCAGGTGTATCAGCCGCTGCAGGGTAGTCAGACGAGCGAAACGGATGAGGAGTTGGACGACGAGCTCAAGGCGCGATTGAGGCGGGTATTCGAGGGTGAGGACGCCTTTGCGCAGGCGTGCGCGAAGAGGTACTTTGGCGTGGTGTCTCCGGTGGAGTCTCCGCTGAGGAAAGCGAAGGACGCCACGGCGCCTAAGGGGGCAACACGAGGGTTCAAATCGGTGCATCAGTCACCACAGAGCGCGGACGACGATGAGGGGCTGAAGGAGAAGCTCACGCAGTTGGTCGTGGAGCGTCTGCGGGATCGACCGATGTGGATGGAATCCGAGCTCAAGTGCGGCATATGCCACGAGTGGATGACGAATCCGCACTCGGTGATTACGTGTGGGCACACGTTCTGCCTTGAGTGTGTTGACAATTCATTCTGTCACTCGTACACGTGTCCGCTGTGCCGGTCGCGCCCGAGCGCGCCTCGTGAGTTCTTGTTTGCCCCGGCGACGCTCGCGACCAAACTCCTCGAGGAGTACGTGATACCAACGCTCACGACCAAGGAGCTGCAGCTCCGAAGGGCGAAAGACACGAACGCGAAAGAAGCACGCGATCGCCGCGTCAAGCGTGCGACCGAGCTCCTATCGTCCGCCACTCGCAACCGTGGTACCGAGGCCTCCGCCCCGGAGACGCAGTTTGTGTCGCCTCAGTTGGTGACGCCGAGCGAGAGATCCATCCCGTAGCATCGCGATCTCGTCAATGTCGACGCTCCCGCCTCCGCAACGCAGCGGTCGAGCGTGCACGACGCTCGAAGTTCCTCTCACGCCATCGCGCACATTCTTTTACTGTAACTGATACCACCTCCACGCGCCTGTGCTTTGCCCGCTCGCGCGCCTTGATCTTGGCATCACATTTTGACCGAGTTCCATCGGTCCGACTCCAAGCCCTACCGCTGGACCCCGTCGCTTTCGCAGATGAATCCGCCTCTGTACGACGCACAAGACACATGGGGTACGTCTCGATCTCGACGTCGCGCGATCAACCTCGTTTACGTTCGTTCGTTCCGTTGGCGTCGCGTCTCGCGGATGGACGCGGCGCGTCACGGCGCGGGCGAAAGCGTTTACGTGGATCCCGCGTCTAGGTCGCGCGCGGGCGATTCGGCGTTCGCGTAGATGGGATTTCCAGCGCGATCGATGGACGATGGCGATGGAAGACGACGCCGTGACGTGAATCGACGTTACGCGCGCCTCCAGCGCGGCGTCGATCGCGCCGCTGGGCGTCTTCGTCGTCGGGTAGCGCGATGCGCTTGCGTGCTGGGGCAACGCGCTAGGGCTTCGCGGGGTCACGAGTTTCGCGCGGGCCTGGAAGCGCGCGACGGGTGCCGCGAGCGTGGACGCGGAGATGGATCGATGAATAAAGATGACGACGATCGCTCTGAGATGAGATACTGACCTAAACGCGCTTTTCTCGACTTCGCAGTAAGACTCGTGGTTTAGGGGCTGGCCGCAAGCTGCGCATTCACCGCCGTGAACAGCGCTGGGCCGATAAAGATTTCAACAAGGCGAACTTGGGCTCTGAGTGGAAGAAGCCGTTCGCTGGTTGCTCGCACGCCAAGGGTATCGTGCTCGAAAAGATTGGTATCGAAGCGAAGCAGCCGAACTCTGCTATCCGTAAGTGCGTGCGAGTGCAGCTCATCAAGAACGGCAAGAAGATCGCGGCCTTCGTCCCCCGTGATGGTTGCTTGAACTTCACCGATGAAAACGATGAAGTTCTCATCGCTGGTTTCGGTCGTAAGGGTCACGCCGTTGGTGATATTCCGGGTGTCCGCTTCAAGGTCGTCAAGGTTGCCGGTGTGTCCCTCAACGCGCTCTTCAGAGAGAAGAAGGAGAAGCCGCGTTCGTAAACGGTGCACGGAGGAGATCTCCATCTCTTCTCGAGCTCCATTTACGACGTACTTCGTGATCATAGATAGTCTTCTAGACCGGGGGGTGCAACTTTGTCATACACATCTTGGTTAAACCAACTTTGATCTCGCGACGCGCTCGGATCGAAAGAAAGTTATATAGTGTTTTCCGCGAGGCGATGTGTGCGACTCTCGCGGTGAAAACGATCGCGTGCGTCCGCCGCTACCACAAAATAATTGTCATTCAAAACAGCCAATTTACTCATGAATGGTCTTTGTCCTAAGTCCTAAGTGTCGTGTTCGTTGGAAACAACGGAGACCATCTGCACCTCGCGATACTTATCCACGACGACGACGAGCGACCCCGGGGGTGGGTTCTCGTATAACGCCGGCAAGTACGCGTCGTACGCGGGAATGAATCTGTCGACGAAATCTTTCACCTGCTCGTCACTCAAACCACCTCCCGCCTTCCGCTCAGCCTCGAGCCTCCAATCGTAAACCCACTTGGGGTCCTGGACCTTGAAGATGATCCACCAAGCCACGCGCTCGGTTCCCCAGAGAGCGGCTTTGTAGCTCTTGAGATGCTCGTTCACGGCGACCAAGTCGGGATTAATAGCACGCGCCTTTTCGTCTTCGATCGGCTCGAACCCAAGCATCCATCCCTCGAGAAGAACGACGTCGATTGGCGCCGAGACTTGGTCCCACTCGCTCTCGGGTTTCCGATCGCCTCGACCCGTGCGCGCGAGCTTGTCGTATCTCGGAAGCGATATCGAGGACTGCGCGTCGTTGATCTGCGCCAATGCATCGAGTGTTTTCGTTCCGAGTTCCAACTCATGCGTCCCCGCGTTCCCTCTGTATTGCAGCATCGCGTTCGTCGGGTTTGACTCGGCGAGCGCCGTCTGCGCCTCCGCGGTGAGATAAAAGTCATCCATCGACACCGTCGCCGCCGTCACGTTCCCATCACTCACGCCGTCGATAAATCTCCTCGGCGTCGATCGCACCATGTCCACGATCATCCTCGTCAGCGTCGTCTTCCCGCATCCTTGCGGCGCGCTCACGCCCACCACCATCGGTTTCCGTCCTCTCGCGCAGTGCGACCGCAAACGCGCCACCACCTCCTCGTACACCGGCACGTAGTATTTATACACCCTATTCCGCACGTCCTCTTCGTCCTCGATCTCCGACGTCGTGGACGAGAGCCATTCGTACAGCGCCGACGCCGCGCCCGCGACGTGCTCGCGGTACCCCACCTCGAGGTCACCCATGAGGACGTCCACCGAGGCGTCGATCCACCCACCGCTCCACGCGTCGCTCGCACGCACGCGCGCGCGCGTCCTCCCCCCCGCGCGTCCGCTGACGGCGTCGCCGCCGTCGCGCGACGCCGCGTCCCGCCCGGGCGTCGCGCGTCGAGGTTTTCCGCGTGGCGTGGATAAAGGTCCGCGTGTGGCGCGTGAGACTCTTCCGCGCGCCCGCGACCGACCCCCATCGCGCGGTGTGTGTACCCCCATCGCGCGGTGTGTGTACCCATACACAGATCTACCGATCACGACCCATCGCGCGGTGTGTGTACCCATACACAGATCTACCGATCACGACCCATCGCGCGGTGTGTGTACCCATACACAGCTCCTTCGATCACGACCCATCGCGCGGTGTGTGTACCCATACACAGATCTACCGATCACGACCCATCACCCGTATCTCGTCCATCGACGCGCGACGCGCGATCGCCCGCCTCGGGCGCGGCGTCCACGCCCGAACCGCTCGGACGCCATATAGGTTGAGTAAATCACCATCTATAAGTCGCGCGCGTGATGCGACGCACACAGTTTCGGTTCGTGATTCAAAAGGTGATTCGTATTTCACCCAACCGAGCGATCGCGGACGTGGTGATGGCGCGCGCGAGGGCGCACTACGGCGATCGCGCGCGACGGGCGATCGCGCGCGCCAGCGTGGCGCGCCAACGCATCACATCGCGACGGTGACCCCGCGCGCGTGGGAGGGGAGCGCGCGCGGGTCGATCGACGGCGCGGCGGACGCGCGGGACGCTCGAACACGCGCGGGAGCTCGGTGGACGCGCGGGCGCGGACGGTGGCGCGGACGACGGCGATGAGGACGGTGACGACGATGCGCGCGATGGCGACGACGGGGGAGACGACGATGCGACGGTGGCGCGCGTTCTCGGCGACGCGTGCGCGCGTCGGTGGACGCGGGAGGGTGGGAAAGATGCGGGTGCGAGCGCGTGGGAGCTCGGAGGAGGAGTACGGGGAGATTGTGGACGTCGAGGCGGTGGATGCGCGATTGGCGCGATTGGACGCGTTGGGGGCGCGACTCGGCGCCGTGTACGCCACGACGGACGACGATGAGGACGACGGGCGGATAGGAAGGGAGAGTGTTTCGGTGGAGAGGATCCAGGGCGGGGCTTTGATCGAACGTGGTGGCGACGTGGACACCGTGCAGCTCATCGCGTGCAAGTTCCAGATGAAGCGAACGATGGCGTTCGGCGAGGAGCTGCGCTTGGTCGGTTCGCACGCAAAGTTAGGGTCGTGGGATATGAATAAGTCGCTCACGCTAACGTGGGGTGAGGGCGATGTGTGGACTTCGGACGATGTCGAGCTCCCGGTGGACGGCGTCTTCATCTACAAGTACGCCGTCGTGCCGGCGGGACAACCCGCCGTCGTCAAGGAATGGCAGTCCGGGAACAACCAGGTGCTCACGCTGTCTTCGAATGATCACCCGCGACTGTGGATCTACGACGCGTGGAGCGGGGATCCGAACAAGGCGAGCATCTACCGCGAGGACGGGTTGTCAGAGAACAAGGAGGAACGTCTCATCAATCGAGTGAAGAACGCCGACGACCGCGTCAAGATGGTGGAACAAGAGGTGAAGTATTTGCAGGAAGATTTACAGACAGCGAACGCTAAAGTCAATGCGCTCCGTGAGGAAGCTCGATTGGCGGCGAACGTGCGTATCGCGCTCAAGGAACAACTCAAGGCGGAACAGCAACGAAGCAACGTGCTGAGTTCGCAAATTGACGCCTGGAAGATGAAGTTCATGCAACTTAGCGACGGGCAAGAAAAAACCGGCAACAAGACGGTACAGTACGACGCAAGCGATGAATCGAAGACGCGCTAAATGACACAATCTCAGTGGCCTGTATGTATAGCAAACAGAAATGTTCTGTGTCAATACAATTCTTTGCGCGACACCGATCAAGCGCGTCGTTGCGCGCAGTGATATCGTCTCTAATCACGCGAGTTCCTTCAGAATGCTCACGCACTGTCCGTAGTACCCTCCTCCGAACATGACGTAGTGGTTCAAATAATGGTAGAGCTTGTACATCTTGGCTCGCTCGTCGAAGCCGTCCGCCTTTGGTATCTTTGCGTGGTACGCCTCCCAAAAGGCTGGCGAAAAGCTCGCGCACCACGACATCCCGAACTCAGCCTCGTGATGCCCGTAGTACACGGCCGGATCGAACACTGACGGCTTACTCGCCACGGTTCCGATGTTGCCGCTCCACAAGTCGCCGTGGAGCAGACTCGGCTTGACATCACCCGCGGCGCGGAGCATCTCAGGTAGTCTTTTATCCGCAACCTTCTCTGCGAGCTCACGAAGCTTGGCGTCCCGTGAGAGATTGATCATATGCATCAGCCTTTTGTCTCGCCAGAACTCCAACCATCCGTCGGTCCACTCGTTCGGCTGTCGCGTCTCGCCGATAGTGTTATTCACCTCAAACCCAAACATCCCCTTCTTCGCCTCCTCATGGCTCGGCTCCGCGAGGTGCATCCTCGCCAACGCGTCACCGAAATCCCCTTGGTCCCCTCTCCCGCCGATGTTCAGGAACTCCATCGCGATGAAGCTGTCGCTTCGCGCCGTGGCGCTCTCGAGCACGCCGGCACCGTACACCTCCGGCACTACGAACCCTCCGGCCGCGCGAAGCGCCCTTAAGCCCGCGGCTTCCCCCTGGAACATCTCAGGACCTTTCCCAGACGTCTTCACGAACACCTCGCGCCCGTCTTTGAGCGTGTGCGAGGAAAACGACGCCCACTGGGACCCACCCAGTGATTTCGTCTCAATCACTTCCGACCCAAGCTTCCGTTCGATCCACGCCTCCTGCGGCGACGACTTCGCGGTGACGCGACGCTGCGCATGCCTTCGACGTGTCGGCGTCGCGCGCGCGCTCGACGGTCCGACTGTGTGCGATGTGAGTGACATGATTGAAATCACGCGAGCATCATTGTGACGCCAGAGAACGACGCGCGCTCGCGCCCATGCGCGCGCGCTCGACGACGAGTCGATGCGCGCACGCGCAGGCGTCCGCGACGCGCGTCGGTTCGCGCGCGCGCGCGCCAGCGACGCGTGGGCGCCCGCTCAGAGCGTTCGGAAGCGAAACGTCTCTCTTCGTCCCGCCGCCCGCGAGCGCGTCGACGACGACCGAGGACGCGCGCGCGCGGTCGAAACGGATCGTCGACGCGTTCGAAGCCCTGGATGAGGACGCGCGCGTGGCGCTGGTGGAGCGGATGCTGTTCGGCGAGGACGGAACGCGCGCGGCGCCGGAGCTGCGAGTGGAGGCTGACGCGCGGGTGGCGTCGAGCGCGCGCGCGGAGTCGTCGAGAGTGGACGAGACGACGGATGATGCGCTAGAGAATGCGGATGCGGTCGATGAGCTGAGCGCGGCGGAGGCGGCAGCGGATCTGAGAGATTTTGGGCCGGCGGCCTCAGGCGAGGCGGCGGACCAAGGCGAGGCGCTACGAGAGAAGTGGCGCGAGATCTTCGGTGAAGATCCCCCGGAGCGAGGTGGGGCGAGCGTGGAAGAGATATTCAACGAAGAGGATGACTTGATCGCGGACGGGCTCGTCGGTGAGGCGCGACGGGTGTTGTATGGCGTGGAGCGCTCTTGGGATAAACTTGTGTATCGGTTTGGGCGCGCGGGCGCAATCATCGCGAGCGGGTTCGCGAGTGTGGGCGCAGCCGTCGTCTTGAGCTCTCTGTTCAAAGGGCCGAGAGAAACTGAAGTTACGAGCCCACCAGTTGAACCGAAGGATGACGTAGAAGGTGCTGTCGTTGACTCAGCGTCTCCGTCTCTGCTTGCGGCTTTGCCTGTGCGTCCACCGTCTGAAGGTGGTGTGTTATGGGCGCGCAAGGACGATGATGAAGACAATGACGTTGACGATTCCGCTACATCCACATCTCTGAACGCGGGTATACTGTGGACTAGGAGTGAGTCGAGAGAGGAACGTATACCTGCGCGCGAACGTTTTGGACGCCCGTCCAAGACTTTCGATGACAGGGATCGCACTAACGACGACGAGCCAACTCCGCGAGTTCTGTGGACACGCAAAACCGATCCGGAGTACGATGCGTTAGAGGGAGATTACGCGGAATCCGAGCCGGAGTCGGAGTCATGGAGCCGGCCTGAACCGAGGCGCTCGGAAGTGCCACTCGATGATAATTTAGAGGATCTTCGCGCGTTCCCGCGGTTCGACCGCGACTCCCCGCGGTGATGACGTACATAGACGATTATTCCACATTTCGCAGTAGGTAGCACGATAGCTGTACAACGACGTAAAGCCCACGGACATTCCCTCACGGCTATACAACAAACAATTCAACATTTCAATAGGCGCGTCTTCGCCGCTACATCCCGAGCCTAGTGGCCGCCTGCGTCTCGTCCTCGGGCACCTCGTGATCTTTTGGTTGCGGCCGAGCCTCATACACTGCCGTGACGATCATGTCCCGATCGTATCCTGTGCCCTCGCCTCGCAAGCCCACGTACTTAATCTCCGTTTCTCCCTCTCCATTAAAATTCCCAGGGAAGTACAGCGTCACGCTCGACGTCGACTGCCAACTCATCGCCTCGGTGTTATATTCCAACACCCCCAAGTCGTCTCGTGTGAGATCCCAACGCTGCGTCGGCGTCTTCCTCTCCGCGTTCACCGCGTCCACGTCCCGGCGGTTCGCGAAAGCGCGCATCTCCCTCGGCGCCCGTCCACCGCCGCCCCCGATCACCATGATCCCTCGCAGCTTCACGTCCGCGGTGAACGGGATCCGAATCACCAGCTCGCCGTCGTCGTCGCTCACCAGCGCCTCTCTCGCGTCGTCGTGTCGACTCTCCCACGGTCCGCACACTCTTCCCGCGTTCTCGTCGTTCACGGCGTTGAACGCCACCACTCCCGGGACGTCCACGAAGGCGTGAAGCGAGGCGTTTGCGCACGTCGACGCGTCGCAGTCGTGGTCGTGCGAGCAGCACGCCATGACGACCGACGCCCACGGAGGCGCGACAGACTGTGACGCGAAGTCATTTTGAAACTCGTCGGTGCATGTCGCGCGCCGACCCCGACCCGGGCGCGCGCGCGCTTCGAGGCGCCCTCGGCGGTTTTTTTGGCTCCGTCCTCGCCGTCGGCGGCGGATTCACGGCGATCGCGCTCGGCGGGACGGCGATCAGTCGCGCGGCGGTGGAGCGACAGAGACGAAGGCGAAACACAAAGTGCGATTCGTGCGCGGGCGAGAGGTTCGTGCGATGCGCGACGTGCCTTGGGAAGCGCGCGATCGATTGGCAACCGATCGAGCGCCCGAGCGTGGATCGAATGTGTCTGTGTCCGACGTGTCAAGGGAGCGGGTTGCAGAAATGTCTCAACTGTCTGGGGCAGGGCGTCGTGTGACCGATGTCGCCGACGAAAGGCGTTTGCATTAAACGTCTAGGTATAGGTCGAGAAGAGATGTCGCACCTATTGCTTTACCGCGGCGAGCGTCACGGCGTGCTTTGTTCGATCGTACAGGCGACGGAGATCGTGCTCGGCTTCGTCGGTCCACGCGCCCCAGCCACCAATGCTCTGGTGGCGCTTCCACTTTTGCTCCTGGGCCAGTCGCAGGGTGTGGGCGTCGCCCACGCCTGATGTGAAGAGTAAAAGCGTGTTCGGGGGCAAGCCTTCCCATATCTCGCCGACGACTGCGTCCATGCGTTCGAGCGCTTGTCGACGCGTTTTATCGGCAATGACGCGCTCGCTATCGCTCGGTTCTTGCTCTCGCGCGTGAGCTCTCTGCGCCTCCGCGGAGAGCACCTTGGTGTAGTCGTGAAGATGACCGAATACGGCCATCTTGCCTGCAGATGCACGCCTATTCATTTGATCTAAGATCGCTTTCTTAACCTCCGCGTCGTCTTGTGCCTCAACCACACGTGCGCTACCAGCCGGCAGACGACGACACAGCGCGGGCGAGTCAATCATCACACACTCGATCTTATGCGTCGAAAGCACGTCGAACACGCCACCTCCTTCCGTCGAAACTTCTCCAAACGACGGACCGTTGATAAACTTAAGAAGAGCGAGCTCCATTGTCGCTTGCGCGTCTGCGACGGAGTCGTGAGATCCTTCCTGAATTTTCCTTCCAAGATACTGTTCCGTGAGATATCTGAGAGCATTTCGATAGGGCGCGCCTCGTTTGTGCGGATATAGCGCACACGTGTCTATAACGTTCGCATGGATGATTTTTAAGCGATGCAAGTCGTTCTCCAGCGAGTGACCGATCAAAATTGTTTCGCATGGAATCATCTCGAGAAGCTCGCGCTGGACATCTTGTAGCGTTGTCGTTACTCCCTCCATCTGCTCGGCCGTGATACCGCTATGTGCCGTGTTGTAGTTCGTAATCTCAGTAGGTGGTTTCACGAGCTTATCGTAAACGACGTCTCCGTCCTCTTTCACGACGGAAACTCGCGTGAGCTGCAAGCCTTCCGCGGTGTAACAAAATTCACAGTCGAGCGCCAAGAACGGATGATACCCGCTCCCTCGAGCGATCCCCTCCCCCGCGGGTTGCGTCGCTACGAATCCTTCTTCCATCTCTAACTTACCATCATCCGTCAACTTTGGTAGCGGATATACCATATCACTCATGTCACCAGGAGTGAGCACAAAGTGCGACGGCTTGTATGCAAATTTTCGTTTGCACAAATCCTTCGCGTGCGTGCTCGCCTTGAACTTCTTCCGCCCCCCGTTCCCATCTAAGCCCTGCTTCCCATGTACAGAATACATCAACGACTTACACAGCGTCATCCCCACCGCTGTCGGGCTGTCGCACATTGTCCTCAGCCCGTCGCCGAGCGCCCGCTTTAACCGCGGACACGTGCTTGCGCCGTCCTCGCACCACATCTTATGATCCATCCCGGGCGCCATGATTATCACCACTCGCTCAATTAAAGGCTTATTCCGCACGAACGCCCATCGCGGGTTCACGCACTCGTTCGCCGTCTCCGGAAGCAAGGTCCAGAGCGCGAGCTCGTGCGCGTGCGCGAGCTTAAAACTATTCGCGCACTCCAACCGCAGCTGTACCTCCGCGCGCGCGTCCTCGCCGTAAATCGCCGCTCGATCGGCGTTCGCCTTGATCCTTCGCTCGTCGTCATCGACGCGACGCTCGAGCGCCTCGGGCGCCGCCTCGGGCGCCGCCTCGACGCTCGTCGCACGCTCGCGTTTCAACGAAGCCATTTCCCCCGTGTTCGCGCGATCGACGACGCTCCCCCCCCCGAACGTCGCCCCGCGCACCGCGACACCGCGCGCGACGACGTCGCCGCGCCGCGATCGCCGCGCGCGCCTCGGCGTGGCGCGTCGCCGCGGTCGCCGCGCGAATCGTTCGGGTCTCGCCGATAAATACCGACACATATCCTTCAACGCCCGTGAAATGCATGTACTGGTGGCACGACGTATAATAAACACCGTTCGTACAATCCAAGTGTCCGGTGTATACACGGACCGCGTCGCGCGCCCATCGCGAGCGTTTCGCCCCCGCGGAGGCCGCGGGCGCCACACGCTGGAGCGCGATGCAGGGATACGGGTACGGACACCCGCCGCAAGGGTACGTCACGTCGCGATCGATCGCACGCGCGCGTTCGCGGGCGGTGCAGGACGTCGCGACGCGGGATGCGCGCGTCGGATCGGTGCGATGCGCGAGATCCCGAGGGTTTGACGATTCCACGTCAGGTTGGACGATTATGACGCGTTCGGTGGGAGTATCGACGGGTGTTCGGCACAGAAAAGGGGTGGTCGTGTGCGTGCGTATGAGCGGCGACTGACGGGGTGATTGCATGACAGGTACGCGCAAGCGCCGGCGCCGGCGCAGCAGCAAAATGGAAACTGGAAGGACACGCTCGCGATTCCGGCGAAGGACACGCGGTATCGCACGGAGGACGTCACGGCTACGAAGGGTAATGAGTTCGAAGATTACTTCTTGAAGAGAGAACTCCTGATGGGGATCTTTGAGAAGGGTTTCGAGAGACCTTCGCCAATTCAGGAGGAGTCGATCCCGATCGCGCTCACAGGACGGGACATTCTCGCGCGGGCAAAAAATGGGACGGGTAAGACGGCTGCGTTCAGTATTCCCATCCTCGAAAAGGTAGACACCAGTAAAAATATCATTCAAGCTGTGATTTTGGTACCCACGCGAGAGTTGGCGCTGCAAACGAGTCAAGTTTGCAAAGAGCTTGGAAAGCACTTAGGGGTCGCTGTCATGGTGACTACGGGAGGTACATCCCTAAAGGACGACATCATGCGCTTACACCAACCAGTGCACGTTGTCGTCGCCACCCCCGGTCGTCTCGTCGACCTGGCGAGTAAGGGCGTAGCCAAGCTGGGCCAAGCCACGATGCTGGCCATGGATGAGGCAGACAAGCTCTTGTCCCCTGAGTTCCAACCCGTTATTGGTCAAGTCATCAACTTCATGGCCAAGAACCGACAAATTCTACTCTACTCCGCGACGTTCCCAGTGACCGTCAAGGACTTCAAGGATAAGTACTTGCGCAAGCCGTACGTCATTAACCTCATGGAGGAGCTCACTCTGAAGGGTATCACCCAATACTATGCGTTTGTCGAAGAAAGGCAAAAGGTTCACTGCCTCAACACGCTCTTTAGCAAGCTCCAAATCAACCAATCCATCATTTTCTGCAACAGCGTTACTCGTGTTGAGTTACTGGCTAGAAAGATCACGGAGCTCGGATATTCATGCTTCTACATTCACGCCAAAATGATTCAGGCGCACCGTAACCGTGTTTTCCACGATTTCCGCAACGGCGCATGCCGTAACTTGGTGTCGTCGGATCTCTTCACTCGTGGTATCGACATTCAATCCGTCAACGTTGTCATCAACTTTGACTTCCCGAAGAACTCTGAGACGTACTTGCACAGAGTTGGTCGATCTGGCCGTTTCGGTCACTTGGGTATCGCTGTGAACCTCATCACGTACGACGACCGAATGAACTTGTTCCGCATCGAACAAGAGCTCGGCACGGAGATTCAACAAATTCCGTCTCAAATTGATCCGTCTAAGTACTGCCGCTAGGCGGATTTCAACTACAATAGTGGGTTTGGAGTGGAAAGTGATCCCACTTCATGGATTAGCAGATAGTGGTGAGCGCCGGCGAGTCGTTTGCGCGCGGGCGCGATGGCTTCGTCTCACGTCTGATCTTTCTTCCTGAGGACGCACTTATATATTTTGCATGTTCTTGAGGCAAACAGACAGACGTTGTACTATACAGCAAAGTGGCGATGGAGAACTGGACGGGTTGTTCTCGGATAAACACAAATTACCTCGCACAATTTTTCTCGCGCGGGGAAACAAAACATAACAAAAGACGCTCCGCGTCTCAAGAATGGATTGAGTACTAACTCTGTGTCTCATCGAGACGTTGCGGAGTCAATCCAAAAAAGCGAAGAAACATGCTTCGCCCCATGATACGCCAAGGATAATACACTTAGGCGACTGTCAAGCGCTATGACACGATCACTGCGTGAGACTTCAAGACTTTCACGATACGAACGCCGTCTGGCGTCGAGTTCACGCCTCACTTGTCTTTACGGACACTCGTAAGAGGCGGTAGAACTCCACGGTTGGTGAACACCAGCTCTCATATACAGAAGCTAGCAATGCGAATGCGATACATCGCGAGTTTGTAGTGCAAAAGAAGCTTCATTTACATGCTAAAGTTTTGCTCCATCCGTGATCGTGTCGCCTTGATCCTGTAACAGATGCCTCTCGATTTCGTTTCGACAGTTCGCGTTCATGATCCGAACCAAACGTGAATGACATCGCTTTCCTCCAGCACGAGTCGACCTTGACAAGTCTCAGCGTTTACCGATCCAAACCGCCTCGCCTGACATAGTCATCCGCCAAGCGTCGTCACGAAGGAGACCTCGAGGAAGCATGATGTGACGATACGCCGCTGAACACTGGTAACCAACTCTACCGGGGATATGCGACGCGAAGAGGCCCCACTTGTCGCCGGCGCCGTACTTGGTTGCCACTTTGACGAATTGCTTGATTTCGTCCTCGCTCCAATCACCGTTAATTTGCTCCTCTCCAGCCGTGTGTCGATAGAAGTACGCGTTTGGATTCTTGTACAACATCTTCTTCGCGTGATCTTTTGCCTGTCCCTTCGCCGGTCGGCTCCATTTTCCCCCGCCGTTTCGTTCCCAAGCCTCGTTCGCGCTCGAGGCGATTCCTAGCCGTTCGCGAACGCTCTCCTCCACCCAGCCCGTGAAACTCGTCATCTTTGGCCCGGGCTCGATCCCCAACCTCTCGCAGTACTCATCACACGTCAAATGATGCTCCAAACCCTCCTCACCGTCGACTATCTGATCGTCTTCTCCGATCTCCATCGCTTTCGCTTTCGCGCCTCGCGCACGCGCGCTCCTTCGAGTCGGCTCGATCGGTGCCAACTCTGCCGCGCGTCTCTTCGTCGCCAACCGCGCTCTCTTCGTCGGCTCCGCTACCACTGCGAGCGCCCTTGCGGTCTCGCGCACGCGCAATTGCGTCAACAACTCCTCGTTCCGTCGCACGCGTTCCTGTCCGTCGTCGTCGAGCGCCTGAGCGTCAGTTTGCGTTCGAACGTGTCCCGCGCACGCATTCCCTCTCTCTCCATCGCGTCTCGTGGTCGTCGCTATTGTTCGTACCTCGCGCTCGCGTTCGTACGCCGTGAGTCCGTCGCCCGTCCTCGTCGTCGCTCGCTTCGGCGTTGGAATCGAATCGGCATTTGAATTCCCTTCTGACAGCTCGCTCTGCAGCTCTTTGTGTTCACAGAACGATCTCACCGTTCGCGGATCGACGACGCCGTTGACGTCGGTGAAGGCGATGCGAATGGGTCGCGGGTGCGGCCGCGGGGGGCTCTTTACGACAGTCGGGAATCCCTTTTTCATCGTGAGAGTCGGATTGTGAGGGGCGCTAAGGCTCGCTTTGTATTATTACAACACGTGTTGTCATCCGTACTGACGGTTCAAGGGCTATTGATATCTGTCTCGGCCTCGACGGCGTCGCTAACGGCGGAATCATTCAAGGCGCAGCACACGACAGCCTTGTGATGACCACTGTACACACGAATGGCCTCGCCCGTGGAGCAATCCCATAGACGCGCCGTGGTGTCAGAGCTCGCGGTGACGAGATAGGCGGCGTCGACGCTAAAGACGCAATCCCACACCCAGCGCTGATGCCCCTCGAGCACGCGCTCAAGCTTGAACCCATCGAGATTCCACAGCTTGATCGTCTTATCGCTGGACGTCGTCGCCAACAGGCGACAATCCGGAGAAATCAAGCACTTTAACACGTAACTACCGTTGTGCGCATTGAGCCTATGCAGCGGCTCGAACTGCGCCGTGGTCTTCGACCCTGGTTGGAGTTTCCACACGTAACACGTCCCCTTACTGTTCCCAGCGACGACGAGCGACCCATCGCCCGCCACCGTCAATGACTGCACCGCCGTCCCCACCTCTGGAACGAGCTCGCACGAGCACGCGTTCGCCGTCAAATCCCACACCCTGATGTTCCCATTCTGATCCGCGCTCATCAATTCCGTCCCGTTCGGATGCAACACCACGCTCGTCACCGCCCCTCTCGATTCGTACTCCCTCTGATACCCGCCCGCTCGCAGATCCCAAATCTTCACCGTCCCGTCCTCGCTCCCCGTGTACATCCAGCTCCCGCGCGGCTCGAACCCGACCGCCGTCACGTTTCCGGTGTGTCCATCGTACGACGTCACCGGCTGCGGATTCGACGCGTTCACCTCGTACAACCGCACGTGCGGGTTCCCCGCCGCCGCGAGGTACCGCTTATCCGGCGTGATCTCCAATCTATTCACCTGCGAGTCCGCGTACTGGAGCGTTCGATAACACACCCCTCGCGTCGCTTCCCAAAACCGCACCGTGTGGTCGTATCCCGCGGTCGCGAGCACGACCGAGGGCGTGGGCATGCGCGCGCGCTCGACCGCGCGCGGCGCGATCGCGCGCGGGCGCCGGACGCGGGGTGGGCGCCGGACGCGATGGCTCCAAACCAAACCCCGTGCATGTATTTTCAAAATACCCAACGCCGCGCCGCCATCGCGGTCGCGCCGACGCGCGCGCGACGGCGACGCGGCACACGGCGACGGTGGACGCGCGCGAGGACGGAGCGATCATGGCGGACGAAGATCTCGCCGCGATCGAGCGCATGGTGGCGATGATGGAGCTCAAGGAGCGGGAGTTGGTGCGGGAAAAGGTGCACGCCAACTTTGCATCTTTACGGATCGCGTGGACGCCGGGTGCGATTGAAAACGGTGCGACGTCGGCGGTGTACGCGTCGAACGCGGGTGTGCACGTGGACGGTGGGAGCATGAAGGAGTTTGCGGGACACGCGTTTCACGAGCGCGCGCGGGAGAAGCTTGGTCTGAGCGCTGTGTGCGAGAAGAAGCTGGCCAAGGCGGCTTCGCTCGCGGCGCTGGACGAGGCGGCGATGGACGACGACGTGGATTTTAACTCGCCCGAGTATAAGATGAAGAAGACCAAGCGAAGAGGGAATAAAGAGTTTGGTGATCACTACGGTGCGCTCGGTTTGGCGCTCAAGCGATTCAACGCGACGAAGGAGGAGATTCTGGAGAGACATCGGTTCTTGACGGTGGCGCTGCATCCGGATAAGCGCGGCGTCGCGCAGGTCTCCGCCGCTGAGGCTGAGAAGATCGAGCAGCGCTACAAGGCGGTGGTGACCGCGATGGAAGTTTTGACGGACAAGAATCGCAGACGCGAGTTCGACTCCGTGGACGCTCCGGAGTACAACTTTCCCACAGAGTGTGAAGACGGAGACTTCTTCGCCACCTTTATGCCATCCTTCCACCTCTTGGCTCGCTTCAGCGAGACCAAGCCGGTGCCGATCTGCGACGACCCCGACGCGGAATGGGACGAGGTGCGAAAGCACTACATCTTCTGGGCCGCCAAGTTCAGCTCTTGGCGCGAGTTCCCACACGAAAAGGAGAACGACACGGAGACGGCGCACGACCGCGATCATCGCCGTCAAATGGAAAAGGAGAATAAGCGTCTTCGCGCCGAGTCGAAGAAGAAGGAGCAACAGGAAATTCGTCGCTTCGTCGAGAACGCGCAAAAGTATGACCCTCGTGTGATCAAGCAAAAGGCTGCGGAGAAGGCTGCGCGAGACGCCAAGAAGTTGGGTCGCACTGACAGCGCTCGCGCCCTGGCGGAGGAGGATGCCAAGAAGAAGGCTGAGGAGGAAGCCGCGGCCAAGGTGGCTGAGGAGGCCAACAAGGCGAAGAAGGCTGATGCGAAGAAGGAGCTCGAAAAAGCGAAGAAAGCTCTTCGTAAGGACAAGCAACGCGTCCGCGCCATCGGCGCTGTCGCCGAGGGCTGGGTTGATTACCCGGGTGACGCCGAACTCGAATCCATCTGCGACGCGTTGACTGTCGATCATGCGGACGCGGTCAAGGCTGCTTGCGATGCTGCGATGAACGGCGATGAAGTCAAGGGTGCATGGGACGCCGTTGCGTGCATCCTCTCTCTCGCGGTCACCGCCAAGGGTGGCGATTGGCAGGCGAAGGCAGACGAGCATGCAAGCCGCCGCGCCGAGCGGGAAGCCTCCGAAAAGGTTGGCGGCGCATGGAACGCGGACGAGACCGCCGAGCTCGAAAAGGCCTCCAAGCAGCTGTTCCCACTGGGTACCATCAACCGATGGGACTCCGTCGCGGCGCACATGGCGGCCGAGGGCAAGCCGCGCACCGCAATGGACTGCATGGTCAAGGCTCGCTCCATGTAACTGGAGCCACGTGTGCTCGAGTCGTATCTAATTCTTTCCACTATCATTCCTCTCATCACATTCGATTAGTCACTTCACCTTGATGCAATAACACATCTCTAAGCGAAAATCAAATCAGCATTACAACATTACATGCTATTCTTCAACACCTCGCGCCCAACGATGAGCGTACCGTCGCCGCACCTCTCAGAGATAAACATCGAGTTCTTCGCGCCTCCCTGTGGGGTCTCAAACTTCAGAAGATGATGAGCGCCGACAAAGTCGGCCCATACTGCCCTATCATCTAGTGTTGCATCACCAGATTTCACTAACGACCAGGCTCCTTTGCCCCACGGAGTCTCGAGCTCACCACCACCTAAAAATTTCATCGGTTTGTTACCGGCCCATGACCATTCGCGTCCTTTGACGAGACTTGACGCCAGTTCGTGCGCGTCGATTTCACTCTTCGTCGGTGGTGTTACCTTCACTTGGCACAGTTTCGTGGTGTCTCCTTCGTCGCGTCCGGCACGACCGGCGATAGACCACTTCAAGAACTTCGGTTCTATCGTTTTGAGCGCGCTAGTGTCTTGGCTTGCGAGCGCGCCGTAGTACTCGTACGTGTCTCGCATGCGTTCGACTTCTCGTGGGTGATAGCTGAAATCAATCACCATCGGGATCGTCTTGATCGTTTTGTCCTTACGCATGAAGAGAAAAACTGTCTTTGAGTTGGCGAAACACAGGTAATTGAGCGTTCGTCGCATGACTCCTACGGATGTGAAGTCTCCGTATGATGGATAAAACAAAGCCGCGTTGAAGACGTCTTGTTCACCATTCTTCACGGGATCTTCTCCTGCTGCGGTCAACCGAGTCATGAGCCGTTCGGCCAGAGAAATAGACTCATGCGTTGGCGTAATCCTGAAGAAACCGGCGTCCGAACTTGCCACACGACCTCCGTGCAGGAAGCGGCTCCAGTCCATCGATGGATCGTCGACGACATGATCGTATCCGTAGGCAGACATATCGTCCCAACCGTCGCTTGCGGTCTCTATATCGGAATCTCTGTAAAAGAAATTCGATGGATCACTGATTAAAACGACACTTGGGTCGGCGAACACGAGGCCCCGTCCGTCACGAAGAATTGTGTGAATGGTGTACCACTTGAGAGCCGCCTTTGAGAGTTTCTTTGACGATTTTTGAACCGTTGCGACACCAGCAGCCTCACTGATTTTGGTGATTTCTGAATCATCAGAGACAACAACGGTGCGTTTGCCCAGTCCATGCTTTTTGATACCACGTTCAAGCAATAGTTCCAAAGCTCCGGCGTCCTGCGAATCAGCCACGACGAGGATGACATCCTCTTGTTCACCCACTTCCAACTTTGAGTTGAGAACGTCACAAATTTTTTGCGCAGTCTTCTTCATGTTTACATTCCCAGTGCACACGCGATCTTTCGCTCGAATGAGATGCAAAGTTCGATTGAGACCGTCTATTTTTCCATCCCATGCCCTCTTCGGCTTACAAGACGACGCAGCCTCTTTACCTAGCTTCCAGTTCTTGCTTCCGATGAAGCCGTCGTTGATGTTGCTCATGTGAGCCGCTTCGAGCTCCACGATACTCTTCAAACCGCTCGCACATCCAACGTCACATTCGAGCGTCGATATCGGCGCTTTGTTGGTGTAGTATTCATGCACGAGCTGTATCTTGTGCTCCTTGTCGGTGTGGTAGTTGGCGTGCATCGCCACCGGCGTGTGTTTCTCTCGTTGTAACGACGCAGTGTGACGAACAATCCTGAACATGACCTTGCTATTCATGAAGCAGAACGGGTCCATGATTCGAATCGTGGCTCCAGAGGTCATGTGTGCATCGCGGCTCGCGAACCACAACTCGAGGTTATATCCACTCTGGTCCCACAAATCCTCGGTCGCCATGCGATGGGCCATAATTTTCATTAATCGCAAGCTTGCGTGCGTCGCGCTCACGTACCACATCCCGCTGTTCAGCGCGCCGACTCTGAAAGTCGATGCTCTGTGTCGAGCTTGACCGAGAGAACCGTCGTCGACCGTTTGTAAAAACCCGTTTGCGGAATCGTTGTCGAAACCATCGCTCATGCTCTCCACGTCGCTATCTCGATACAAGTATGGGAACGGACTCTGTTGGTACGTGACGTCTGTGTCTGTGAGAAGCACGGAACATCCCACGGAGACAAACTCTTGGATCAGCGCAAACTTTTTCGCGCTCACCTTGTGATTACCCATCACGGGATCTGCGTGAAAGTAGTACGAAACACCCAACTTGTCCAGCCGTTTCGTGAGCGGTTCGTCCAGAGCTATGATGAGAAAATTCTTCATCTTCAGAGACATGACTGTGTCCAGAAATGTGTCCAGACCAGGCGCAGCCGAGTTCGCCACGGCGGCTAAAACTTCTCTATTCACGGCAACGCGTCTCAAAACGTCGCACAGGGACTCGCGACCTTTACAATTTTGCGGCCAAGCCTCGGCTTCGAGAGGGACGACGAAATCCAGCGCTCTCGGCGCGCCCCAGAGCGTCTGATCAGTCTCTTTCGGATCGCACCTATTCCTTCGCGGGTCCTCAGTCGTGAAAGCGTTCGATCGTTCCGCCTCTATCGAACGAAGCGCGAAAGGCTCGAGGAACGATGGAGCACTCGACACTGCTCTCTTGATCGGGTTTCGCGTCAACGTGTCGTCGTCCTTCGTCGACGGAACCGTCGAAGGACTCTGTGTGACATTCTCCATAATCTCCACGTCATCTGAAAGTTTTGTCTTCACGGGCGTCTCCGTGATCGTCTCTAAAGTCTTCGTCTCTTCCTCAGGAGTGCGCGCGTCTTCGACCTCATTCTCAACAGCCTCTACCGCGCGCTCTTCCACCGCATCACCGTCAGCGTCGTCATCGACCGTCGCGTCGTCATCGACCCGCGTCCGCTTGTACTCGTCAAACTCCCGCTCTACGCGCGCGTCCAACGCCTTCAACTCCTCCCCCGACACCTCCTGCGTCTCCGACGGAGCTCCCAGCACCGCGACGTCCCCACTCGACAAATACGCCCCCTTTCTCGGATCCAACCGCTCGATGTCGACTCGCAACAGGGCCAACGCGCATCCCAACGCGACGCCGCGCCCGAGCGCCCAGAGCGCCCTCGTTCGCCTCGAGCTCGTCATCTCCCCCCCCTCCCGCGCTCGATCGCCTCCCTCACCGCCCGCACCACCGCGTCGCTCGCGTCCAAGGTCACCGAACCGAGCGCGAGCGCCCGTTCGACCGCACCTCGCGCGTTCTCGTCTCGTATCCGATCGAGTCGCACGCGCACGATCCCCTCCCGTTCGCCGTACGCCGCGATCACCGACGTCGCGAGCGCGATGTACACCGTGGACGTGAGCGTTCGGTACATCCACGTCCGATCGCGGACGCGATGCGGGCGACGCGTCGCGCGGTGCGGGCGTCGGATGGTGTTTTTCTCGAGACGTCGAGACGTCACCGCCCGACGCGCGCGCGCGAGGGACGATGCGCGCCGAGCGCGTGGGACGGTCACCGTCGGTGCGCGCGACGCGAGCGCGTCGACGGGAGACGACGGATCGAGCGCGGTGTGGGAAGACGCGCGCGAGGAATGATTCGAGCGACGAGTGCGTGACGTCGCGACGGGTCGCGCTGACGCTCGCGGTGACGATGACGACCGTGGAACTCACGGGCGAGCCGGCGCGCGCGATGTTCAACGCGGATTTGGATAAACCGATCGAGGACGGACCGAGAGCGATCGCGGTGACGCTCGCGGCGAAGCGGGCGCTGCGAGACGTACTGGAACAGAATAATTTGTTCAAGGAAACGTGCGAGGCGCCGGTGTTCGCGTGCGATCTGAGTCAGTTGAACGTGAAGACGTCGAGTCGCGTGAGCGGTCCGCTCAGGCGTTCGTTGCCGGCTCTGAGCGAGGTGTACGGTATCGATCCGTACGCGGTGGACGGCGTGTTGCAAAACGTGAGCACGCTCGAGGCTATTTTCAAGGCGAACAACGCGCGGGTGAAGGTGGATTTTAAGGGTGGGCCGGAGATGATCGGGCTCATTGATTCTGGCCTGGAGGCCATCTATCAAGACCTCCCGCCCGAGGCCCTGGCGAAAGGGACGGAAATTTTGGAGAGCTGTGACTTGACGGTTGACGCAACCGCCGAGGGAACGCTCGAGTGCAGAATCTCACGCGCCGTGGCTCAGAACAAGCGTCCTTCGGGAGGACAATCGTAGACGTGGAGAGATTATTATCGTGGTATTTTTGTTTTTATGGTAACGCTAGAATTCGGTAGTGGTAATTTGAGATGAACGTTTTTGCAAGACCTACGCTATCGTGTAACTCGGCTTCGCGAGGTTGATAACGGTCGACTTAACCTTCGTCATGACCTTTATGCTATTCGTGATGCCTTGACTACCGATGCCTGAGTCTTTCACGCCTTGGAACGGGAAGTGATCGGGCCCGCGCGCCGGTGGACCATTAATTTGAACCGTTCCCGTCTGCATCGCGTCGCTCAGCCGAATCGCGCGATCGATGTCCCTCGTGAAGACGCACCCTTGCAAACCGAACCTGGACTTGTTCACGAGCTCAAGCGCCTCGTTCTCGTTCTTCACGCGCACGACCGGAAGCACCGGACCGAACGGCTCCTCCCAGCAAATCTTCATGTCGTGCGTGACGTTGTCAATCAAGAGCGGCCAAATCAAGTTGTCCTCTCTCTTCCACTCTTGGCAAAGCGTGGCACCCTTGCTCTCGGCGTCGACGACCAAGGACTGGATGAAATCAGCGGAGCTCTTGGACACCACGGCGGTGATCGTGGCGTCGTCCTCGGGGAGACCCACCGATAACTTGGCGATTCGCTCGTTCACTTTGCCAATAAGTTCATCCGCGACTTCTTCAAAGACGGCGACAATCTTCACCGCCGTGCACCGTTGTCCACTGTATGAAAACCCACCCTTGACGATGCTCTTCGCCGCCAGTTCCAAATCGGCGTCTGGAAGCACGATGCACGCATCTTTACCCCCGAGCTCCGTTTGTAAAGCGACCATACCTGCCTTTTGGGCGACGCGAATCCCAGTCTCGCCTCCCGTGAAGGAAATCGCGTTCACCAACGGGTGCGTCGTTAAATAATCACCGATTTCGCCACCACGTCCCGTCACCGCCTGAATCAACCCCGGGGGAAATCCAGCCTTGATGAAGCAGTGAATCATGTGTAGCGTCGCCGTGCACCCTTGGGTGGGCGGCTTCACGACGACCGCGTTTCCGGCGATGAGCGCCGGCGCCACCTTGCTCACGCACAAATTCACCGGATAATTAAACGGCGGAATGCACAAAACGACCCCGACGGGCACGTTGCTCGCCATGCAAATCTTATTACGATCGTTCCCAGGGAACGAATCGCTCATCAACAGATCCCCCCTACCCAGAATCCGCACGCCCTCCTCGGCGGTGTAATCGATCAGGTCCGCCGACCGCTCCACCTCCGTCGCGCTCTCCTTCGCCCCCTTCGCCACCTCGATCATCAGTGCGGACACCATCCCCCCCGCGTTCTCCCGCATTAACGTCGCCGCGCGATGCAACAGACTCGCTCGTTCGTGCAGAGGCGTTCTCGCCCACGGCCCCTGCGCCGCCCTGGCGCCCGCGAACGCCTCGTCCACCTCCGCTCGCGTGCACGCCTGAAACGCGTTCGCCCGCGCGTTCGCCCGCGACGGATTCACGCTCTCCACCGTCGCGTCGCTGCTCGACGCGCGCCACGCGCCGTTGACGGCGTACCGAAGCGCCCCCCCCTCGGCATTCGTGAGTTCGGCGTAAAAGCCATCGCTCGAGGACGACGTCGTCATGTCTCGACCGCGCGTCCCGCACCGCGCGCTGCGGCTCGCGACGCGCGCGATGCGGTCGCACGCGCGTCGACGCGCGCGCGCGCGGTCGAGCGCGCGCGTCGCGGCGGTCGTACGCGCGGTCGAGCGCGCGTGGACGTGGCGGCCGCGCGATGGACGCCTCGCACAGCCGCAGGGGGGGTCTTTCTTGAGTCCTCACTCGACGGGTTCGCACGACGCACAACGACGAGGCGTTTCGTGCGTTTTTTCGACACCGTCGGCGCACTCGTCGACGCGCTCGACGGCGCGTGGGCGTCCACGGACGCGCGCGCGGGGCGGCGCGGGGCGGCGCGGGGCGGTGCGGTGTACGCGCGCGTCGAACGCGCGCGTCGACGGGGATCGGCGACGCGCGGGGTGTCACGCGCGGCATGGGTCGACGGTCCAAAGGGACGGGCGCGGTGGCGCGGAAAACGTCCGTGTGGTCGTGCGCGCTCTCCACCGCGGAGGATGGGAGCGATGATGAGAATGATGCGGATGACGTCGAGCGCGCGGCGGTGGAGCGCGCGGCGAGGGAGCTGAGAGGGAAGTTGTTGGAGGAAATCGTGCGCGGCGCGCGTAAGCGCGGCGAAGGCGAGGCAAAGGCAAAGGCGAAGTACGAGGACGTGTTGGACGACGAACGGGTCGATGGGTTCGGCGAGGCGGTTTTGAAGCTTCACGACGGCGATGCGGCGGGCGATGACGACGAGGCTGCGATCGCGAGGATGCGAGCCGCGGCATCCTTTGTGCTCGGCTTTTGCGCAGAAATTTTGCAGCCGGCAAACTGCGAGAGCGCGGCCATGATGCCACCGCTCGGAACGCACGTCATACGGCGGAAAAAGTTTGACGACGAGAAGAGCGTGTACTTCCAGGAGCAGTGCTCGTACGATTACGACGAAACGCGCACGGCGGATCATTTCATGGATTACGGAGTGCAGAAAGTGCACGCGAGCGCAAAGGTACAAATTGTGCCTCGCGTCTCCATGTCCGGTTCAATCATCACCGTGAATCTCGAGCGACCGAAACGTTTGAATGTCAGTGAATCATTCAGTATTCGAGAGGGATGTTTCGTGGAGTTTCGTGGGTGTTCTGGGCATCCAGACTATTTGTCAAAACGCGTCGAAACGAGCGCCGCCGATGACGGCGAAATTTTCGAATTCACACTTCCTTCCATTCAAATTTCAGGTCTCGCTCGAGGATATCCGATCGCCGAGCTTGTTGGTGAGGTTATGATATCATCCAAGGCGTCTGGATTGAAGACGTCGTTAAAATTCCGCGAATTCGATGTGGAAACGTCGCCAAGTTTTAGAAACATAGTCTCCGGATCGATCGTTCGCAGCTCGGACGACGTCGAGGTCAAACGTTTACTTCTCGGTACCTGGGACACTCGTGTTCTACTGGGGAATATCTTTTCGAGAGAAAATGGTGCACCGGACGAGGCGCTGTTCACCGCGCACGATTTCGGACTACCTCCGCTCACGACGGCGACTGGCGTGAGAAGCCTGCTGTCGAGTTTGCAGAAGCCAGGATCGATGTCGAATAGAAGGCTTTGGCAGACGATCGTGGAGGCCCTGCGCTTTGCTCCGTTGCGTGAACCCGAAAATTCAGTGATGAGTGAAGCTCTATCTTTGCCCTCGATGGCGACGATCGAGATGCGAGACGAGGACAAGTCGATGGGATACGAGCTCGCTTTAATGGTCGCGGACTCGCCTCTGCCCGACGCCGAACCGCCTCTGCCGCGATATTGGTTTCCGAGGACGAAAAAAAGCGGAAAACAATTAAAAAAAGAATGTGAGTAAAACATGTACCGGCAGCACGCAGCTAGACGAACCGTAAGAGCCGAACAAAGAACCGTCCCTCTTTTCGCGCCGGATTGATCTCCAGCACCTCGACGCGACCTTTACCACGACAACTAATCACATCACCGGCGTTCAAGTCGTGCCTACCCTTTGACACCTCCTTCCAATTCACCTTGACATCACCAGAATCGACGTGCGCCATGAATTTTGACCGACTCATGCGAAATCCGGCGCTCCCGATGGCGTCAAGTCGGGTGCTAGACTCAGACGTCTGCATCTCCTCCGTCTTCGGCTCCGGCACCTTCAACTCCGACGCATCCACCTCTCGCGCCTCTACTTTTACTGTTCTCACTGATGTCAGCGCCGTGGATAAAAATTCACACATCTCCGGCGTCACCATGACATCCGCGCCGCGCTCGCCCGTGACGACGATGTCACCGACGCGCTCGCGCTTGATCCCCGTCCCCAAAATCGCCCCCAGAAAATCCCTGTGCGTCGCCGCGTCGAACATAAAGTTCCCGCTCACCCTCAAAACTTTTACATTCGCTCGTACCTCTTCGTCGCTCGCGGGAGTTTCGCTCCGCGATATCGTCGCTCGTCTTCGCTCCGCCGCGCTGAAACCACCCCACTGCTCGATCGCTACCTCGTCCCCGAATCGCGCCCGTACGCTAGACACCACGCTCGTCATCGCTCCAGGGTCCATGAACTCCGTCGTCTCCACGGACCAGCGTTCGAGCGCTCGCTCACCTCGCTCGATCGCGCGCGAGACGGTTTCCTTGTGTAAAGGGTCGCAGTGGGACAACACAGCATCTTCTTTGTTTGATGACGATTCGGGTGTGATTGAGGTCGTTTTCGACAATCCGCGGGTCGTCCGACGATGGATGTTCGTGTCGAGAAGCACTCGAGCGAGTTTTGGGGCGCGCATGTTCGTTGCGGCGCGCATGAGGTTGGATGTGCGTTGCGTTGTGAGGCGGATGTGACAAATGACTTACTGGATTTTACAACGTGGATTATGTAGCGGTGTTGAGACGGACGACGCAGTCGTAGACCTCGGCGCCGAGACGCTCTGCGTTGATCTCACTCTTCACCATCGCAAGGGAGAGGACGTCCACTCCTGGGGTCATGTAGGAGAAGGCGTTCCAGTTCGACTCGAGCGAGCGGCCCATGCCGTCGAGGACGATGAGCCAATCGTTCGGGAGGACGTCGGCGTCGTTGACGTGAGCGGCGAGTTCGGAGGAGACTCTGGATAGATCGAGTAATGTAGACGTGGCGCCGGATGGGAGGCAGACCACGCGACCAGCGCCGACGAGATCGCGAAGAACGTCGTCTGATTGAACGCACGAAGACACAAAGTCGCTCAGCTCGTCGTACGTAATGTCGTTCAGAGCAGCCGTTGAGTTCGCCGCGAGGGCAACAACGGTATCGCTACTCATCGAGGTGAGATGTCTCGCCAGAAGAACCATCCCCATCGTATCCGCCCCCGCGTTATCGCAGAAAATCAACACACGCTTCCATGGCGTCTCGCCACGCATGCGGGCGTCGATGTCGTCAAAACTATCAAATTTCCACCCACCCTCCGGTCTCACGACCTTTTCCTGTGCCTTGGCGAACGTTGCGAAGAGCTGCGCCGCGTCCAAGGTGAACTTGGTCTGCTCATCCTCCGGAAACTCGCACGTCACCTGCTCGACGTCGCAAAAGGCAACGTTTTGCACTGCCGCCGCCGCGCCTGCGTCAAATAAATTACCCGCCAATGCCGCCTCCAACACCAACCGCGTTCGCGACCGCGCGTCGCTCTCCGCATCCACTGCGCGACACATCTCCGGATACAGCGCCAGACATATCTCGTTTTCACTCGCCTTTAATCCTAAAAACATATCCTCCAAACCGCACGAACGTAACAGGCGCTCCTTCTCCTCCACCATGTCCATAAGCGTGTCTCCGACCCCTCGCCCGCTCGCCACCCCACTGTCGGCCTCGATCACCTTATTCAAGTATTCCTCGTACACTTTTTCGAATCGCTCGTACCTCTCGACGTACGATTCATCTTCTCTCAAGTACGCCCTCGTGCGCTCGATGTTTGCCGCGTGCGAAGGAAACTGACCCACCAACAGCTTCACCCACGCCTCTCTCGCCGCGCTCGAGCGCTCGCACGCGTCGCACACCCCCGGGGACACGTGATTATACCGTACGTCGTCGCGCAGGAGCGGTAGAGGCGCCGTGTGCGAGGCGCTGGCGACGGCGTCGAGCGAAATGGCTCGAGCGAGACACTCTCGGCGCTTTATCCAGTTCGAGCGAACGTGTCGGACGTTCGTTCGCGTTTTAGCCGCGCATCGAGTGAACGCGCGATCGACGCGCGAGACGAGCGCGTGTGACATCGCGCCGGCGGCGCGTCGTGAAGCGGACGCGAAGTGGGGCGCGAAGTGGGGTGTGCAAAGCGCCGAGTCCATCGTTTACAAAGTGAAGCGACTGCGCGTTTACGATTCGAGGGCGGTGATGACGAAGGAGACGAGTAAACGCTTGACGTAGATGCCAACGATGACGGCAAAGAGGGCTCGGGCGGTGGAGTCGAGCTGAGCCTTGGTCTTGGCGAGCTCTTCTCTGCGCCGGGCGAGTCGCTCGGTGTCGTCCGGCGGCGTCACCGGTCTCGGCGGGTCGTCGGATTCCTCTCTCGCCTCTCTCTCTTCCAGATCGAGTCGATCGAGTAGATTCTGACGAAATTCAAACGTCTCACTCGTGTCTTGAGACGCGTCGTTCGTATCGCTCACGTCGTTGCTATCGGAGGATTGAGAAGAAGACGCCGAAGAGACGTCGCTCGGAACGCGCTCCGTCTCTTCGAGGGCCGGCGCGTCGATCGGCGTCTCCGCATCCACAACCTCCCCATCTTCTTCCACGCTTTCTTCACGCGCGCCGTGATCGATCTCTCCACCCCCCCCGCTCGTTCCCGCCCGCCCTCGCTCGTTCGCCATCACCCTCTCTCTGCGTTCCATCATCTGTTCGTGTAAGCGCGCGCTCAGCGCCCGTCTCGCCTCGTTCCCGTCTTCGTACGTCACCTCTCGCGCCTCACCCGCCACTCGCGCCAGTTCCCTCCGTCTTTCATCGCTCCAATCCAACGACCCCACCGCACCTTCCGCCGCCGTGGGCATGAACGCCCGCAGCGCCGTGAGCGCGCTCCGCACCCCCCAGCTCGGCAACCACGTGTTCGGGTGATGTCCCGAGATGCTCAAGCAAATCTTCGCGTTCACCTCAAATCGTCCGTTCGCCGTGCGCATGACGAACGTCGGCGGCGCGAACGGATACGTGGGCGGTAACGTGATGCGTCCGTGATAGATCCCACCCTCGAACGCGCTGTCCGGGGCGCCGAGCACGGCGAATTGCCACTCAAAAATGTCATCCTCCAGCGGTGACGCCACGAACGCGTCGTCCGCGCTCGCCGCGTCCACGCACTCGCGAATCTCCCGGGCGATCCGACGCACCGCGCTCGAGCGCGGGTTATTGCTCGCCCGCGCGCGCGTCGCGCCGTCGTCCGCCATCGACGAATGACGCGATGGATCATGGTCATGGCTTGACTCGTGGGATGAATGCATGAATGCATGAATGGACATCCATCGGTCCGCACACCGCCGCGCACCGCGATGGCGACGGACGCGGACGCCCCGTTCGAGGTCGGGGAGATCGTGCGAGGGATCACGCGCGCGGTGCGCCCGTTCGGGGTGTTCGTGCGTCTCGAACGCGGGACGCGGGCGACGGATGGGTTGATTCGCGCCGCGGACGCTTCGAGGGATGGCGCGACGTTCGATGACCGAGACGCGGACGAGCGAGAGGTGACGCACGCGATGGAATACTTTTATCCCATAGGATCGCCCGTGTTCGTCAAGGTGAAGCGAGTGACGCGAGAGGGGGGGGACGGGCGACGCGGCGGCGGCTGGCGCGTGGCGCTGGACGCGAGCGCGGTCGATCAGGAGACGGGCGATGATCTGGATCCCGAGCGAAAGAGGTGGACGCGAGGAGGTGGGGAACGCGATGCGAGATTCGGTGGTGGGGCGAGCGCGCGAGAGGGCGGGGCGGGGGGGGTGGGAGGGACGTTCCATCCAGAGTTGCACAAAATCTATCGAGCGAAGTGTCGGAGCGTGAAACCGGTCGGGGTATTCGTCGACGTACGAGGGTTTCGCCGGGGTGGGTTGGTGCACAGGAGTCAGATATCGCAGTACCTCGACGTTCCGCGCGATGCGAGCGATGAAGAGAAGATTTCAATCATCGCCGGCGTCGTCGCGGAGGGCGACGACGTGTGGGTAAAGGTGGTCGACGTCGAGACGCAGGACGGTGGGCCCCCGCGGGTGAGTCTGTCGATGAAGAGCGTGGATCAAGGGAACGGTGAGGACTTAGATCCGAATAATTTGAGCTACGACGCGCCGTTTCGGGGAGGCGGTGGGTCCGGTGAGCATCGATACAAGCCCGTGGGAGCCGACGCCGGAGAGACGACGCGCGCGGGGGAGATTCGATGGGGACACCACGCCGGCGACGTGAAGCAGTACGACTCGGGAGGGAAACAGTATGAATTAGTCCTTGACGATGACGCGCCCGGGGATGCGGTGGGGGCTACGACGGCGGCGAGTGGATTAAAATTTGGCAGCGGCGAATTCATCAATAGAATGCGCGCCGCCGGCGAGTCGCCCACGCGCCTCCGAGAGGGCGACAAGAAGAGAAAGAAGGATAAAAAGGAGAAGAAGGAGAAGAAGAGTAAGAGACGCAAAAAGTCGAGCAAGCGTAGCAGGCGAGATTACTCGAGTGACTCGTACTCGAGTGACTCGCGCCGATGACGTGACGCTGTAGTGTTGAACCAATCGATTGATAAATAATGCGTGATGCTCAGGGGGCTGCTACGCTAAGGCTCCCTGAGCGTTGAAGAAGGTAAATGCGCGGATCAAAGCTCATTTTCAGTTTCTTTCTTCTTCGCGCGCTTCTTCTTTTTCTTTGCCGGCTTTTTCGACTCGGCGTCAGGCTTTTTGTCGATGGGGTTGCCGTCGTCATCTGTGTACAGTTCGTTCTCTTTCGGTTCCTCGAGCGAGAAATCCACGTCGGCGTCGCACTCCTTACTCACGTTCCTGCACAAGAATTCCTCAACCGTCGACCCGTCGATGGTCGACTGATACACCGCCTCTCTTAAAGCGTCCTCCGCGCTCTCGATCACGCGGTGGCAGTACCCCATGATCTCCGCCTTCATCGCCTTCGCCCTCGCGCCTCGAATCTTCTTCACCGGATTCGGCGGTTTTCGCCATCGCGCCGTCTCCTCGTGAAATTGCAACTCTGAAACTTTCCCGTCGTCTGCGCACACGTTCTCGAGGAGCTCTTCAAATCTCAGTTCGCTCTCCTTGTACGAAATCTTCTTCCCGTACCGCTTTCCTCGCGAGTCCAACCGTCCGCGCATGTCCACTACCTTCCCCTCCGACTCCTTTTCGTCGTTCCGAAGCGCGTCGGCGAGAGATTTACCGACGCCGCGACAGGCGCTGCATTTGCCTTCGATCGCCTTCGCGACGTCGACGAGGGTGACGAGAGCGACGACGAGGGCGTACACGACGGCGGATCGGGACATCGACCGTCGAGACGTCGATGCGAGCGCGCAGACGCGGGCCCGCGACGACGTGCGCGGGCGCGAAGTGCGGATGGAAACAATGGATATTCATCTTTGTTTCCAGCGGTTTCTGTGGATGTTCTCTGCGCCGGCGCCGAATGGTTCTTCGCAAGATGCGTGTGGTATTACAGGTGTAGACGCGACGGTGACGCATAACGATGATATTACGATCGCCTGCTGAGCTGTCGCGACCAGTTGGCCGTCGTTCGGTCAACGCGCGTTGACTTGGCCGCTTGCCTGGCGCGAAAGGTGCGCTGGAGTTTGAGGACAACGAGCATGACGCTGAGAGAAATCGGACGTCCGTCGAGGTCGAGGCACTCGGAGTGCGAGATCTCGTCCGCAATCTCGCGTTCGCGCTCGGTGACGTCAAATGCGGAGTCGCTCTCATCCGATGGCGCCGTTGGAACTTGAGCAATGCCGCCGAGGGTCGCGACGCTCGCGCGTCGTCTCACACGCGCGCGGAGCTTGGTGAGCGACGCATGCTTCGAGTGTGAGCGGTCGGATTCGAGCTCTTTGCGAATCTCGAGCGGGAGATAGTTCAAGTTCACTCCCATAGCTTTGGCCGTTAAGGCCTGGAGAAGTTCGGTGTAGTGCACGAACCTCGATCCTGCTTGTAAGTTCAGGTCGCGCACGAAGCTCAGCATGGCGAAATCGGACATACGCTGCCCCTTCGTCCCCAGCGGCTTGGGTGTGGCGCGAACGATGACGTGCACGTCCGTGGTGGAAATAAAGCCCGTCAAATCGGGATCGAATCGCTTCCATACCTTGCGGAACGCCTTGATATCTCCATTCGTGACGTTTTGATTCTCAGACTCCTTGCGACTCATCGCGAAATTATCCAAGACGACGGCGATGAGCAAGTTCAGAATGATGAACGTTGTGAACGCCACGAAGGTGACAAAATACGCCGGTGCCGCCTTCGTACCGCAGCAGCTTCCCACGGTGCAGTCGAACGAACTATCGCATGCGTCTTGGTTCATACAGTCATACATGATTTCTTGCCAGCCCTCGCCCGTCATCATGCGTAGAAGCGTCAAGAGGGAGTGTCCGAAATCCTTAAAGTTGCTGTGACGGTTCAGCGCCTCGCCATACGCAACTCGCCCGAACACTTGCATGCCCAGAATAGCGTAAATGAAGAACAACAACGCCAACAGGAGCGCTATATTTCCGAGTGCGGGTAGCGTCATGACGAGTGTATTAAACAGAGTGTTCAGCGATTTCCACTGTTTGAACATGCGGAAGACACGACAAATGCGCAGAGCGCGGAACGCGCTCGACCCAGTTCCCGAATCCATGACTGCGCCCATTATCGATGTCACAACTATGATGAAATCGAAGCAGTTCCACCAGGACTCAAAATATACCTTTGGATAGAACGCGCTTAGCTTCAAAATTGCCTCTATGGAGAAGATTGCTGTGAAGACATAATTCAGTACGCCTAACACCGCCTGTTTGTCGCCGCCGTCATGAGAGGTTTCTGTCATTAACACAAGCGTATTCAGTGCGATCGTGATCATGATGAAAGTTTCGAACAACCTGTGCCTCACGACTATGTAGAGTTTTCTGCGCCATTCCACCGTCGGCAACTTTTGAAAGAAAGAAGTTTGCGTCGAAAATCTTTTGGCACGTTGTTGAGCGACCCACTTCGATTGCGACTCGCTCATTATGGTGCGCGTCATCGAAGAAGTCGAAATCTTCATGAATGTATCGATGACGATACCGATACACATATTGAGCAAGAAGAAGTTCGAAAAGATGATGAAGGTGATGAAATACCACGCCGCCAAGGGATTTTTATTCCTCACAGGAGCCGAGGTCGGTGTTGTGGCATCTACAGCGTTGTACAACGTCACCGTCCAGCCCTCACCCGCCGTGGTTTCAAAAAGAGTCAGCAACGCTTCGGGGAAAGAGTCAAACGTACTGTCCGCGCTTTCCCATTTGCGTATCACGTACGTATTGTCGTTGAATGTACCCGTGCACAAACTCTGAATCGAAACGCTAACGTCATTGCACGTGGAAGTGATCACGTCCCACACCCTTGCGACGTTCGTGGAATTTACCCAGCCGCTCACACAGTCTGCCTGAGTGAGCTTTGTGGCATCAGAACAACTCTTGAACTTCCCCATGAATAGAGACATTCCAGCAATGGCAAATATGATCCACACGATGAATGATACGAGGAGAACGTAGCCGAGACTCGGAAGTGACGCGAGTAGTGCGTTGATGACTACTTTTAATCCTTGTATGCGCCCGATGAGGCGTAGAGGGCGCAAGACGCGCAGCGTCCGCAGTGCACGAATCCATTGCAAATCAGTCGATGATCCGAGTCCCATTCCAAGCAAACCAATTGCTACGATGGTACCATCTAGCACATTCCATGGATTCTTTAGATACGAGCACTTATCGCCATTGTACATTCCCAAAGCGATCCACTTCATCAACATCTCTGCCACAAACGCGCTCGTAAAACAGTAATCAATGATGTCCGCGTACTTCGCAAACGAGTCGTTCTCCATGTTCTTTGGTGTCTCAAAGATCATCGTAATACTCGAAGCGACAATAACTAAGATGACGAGCCAATCGAACCGTTTATCATCCGCTATCGTAAAGCAAGCTCGCCTGAACTGGTTATTTGGCGGAAAGATACAAAAAAAGCTGTTATGTTTGAACTTCTCAAGAGGAACCGAGCTCATCGCACCCGGTTGCCGCTCTCTTTTAAGTATCTTTCTCGGGTTCTTTAGCACTTCGTTCATCGCTTCCTGTTGAGCAGTTTGCTCTTCGATCATCTTCTTCAATTTTTCCATGCGCAGATCCTCAGCCCTGGCTGCAGATTTGCGCTTTTCTCGCTTGAGGAGTTCGTGTGCCATCGACGCAAACTTCTCCCTCAGTTTGTCACCACCATCTGCACTATCTCGTGACTCCCCACTGCGAGCGCTATCCGATCTAGCAAAACGAATGCCTTGGAACAAACTAAACATGTTGCCCTTCTTCTTTGCCTCCTTTTCTTTCCGCTGTTGCTCGAGCTCCGCCTGGAGCGTCGCCTTGCGATCGTCAAAGTTACTCAACAAGATGACAATAAGCGAGTTGAGAACAATGAAATCACCAAAAACGAGCACCACGACGAAGTAGATGACGGAAAATTTCGACACTACCTTCATAGTATCATACAATACCAGCGGCCAATCTTCGTGATTGATGATTTGCAGTACCGTCACGACCGCGTTGTTGAATGTATCGAAGTTTGATCGTGGCTTGGGATCAATCTCACAATAATGGCCACCAAACAGCTGCATACCGACCAGTGCGAAAATGAGTACGAACAGCGCCAAGATAACGACAAAGCTACGCAAATCTAGCACCGTGGTCCACATCGTCTGTAAGGTTTTTTGCAATGACTCCCACGTTCGAACTAGTTTGAGAATTCTGAAGACCCTGAGCGCTCGAAGCACAGTAAATCGTGATTTGCCGTCACCGTTATTCAAGCCCAGCTCGATGGCGGAGATAATGACAATCGCGGCGTCCAACCAATTCATTCGATCCTGAACATATAACACGACTCCGAATGCCGTGATTTTGAGAATCATCTCAAGCATAAATACAGCCGTGAAGGCCAAGTTTGTCCGTTCTAACGCCGTCGCATATGAATCCGACATCCCGTCGTACTCCATCGCTAGCGTCAGAGTGTTGAGTAAAATGATTGCATTTATGGACAAGAAAAATATTTCACTCTCCACGATCTTCAAAGCTCGCGGCTGTACACTTTCATTGTACCAGTGTCTGAACCTCTTGCGCCATCGTATGAAGATGTTCTCAGTTTGCGCTGTATCCATCGTGTCAACAGACGACACACTCACGGAGTGGGTCAGCGCCTTGACCATTCTTTCGAGGCCTGAGCTAAACTTGTGTTGCAAAGCGTCGGACTCGACTTTTTGCAATTCAACCATGAGAGCGTCATCGTAAACCATGGTGACGATGGCAAGCGCTAGATTCAATATGACAAAAGAGCCAATGAAAATGACCGGAATGAACCACACGACCGCCGCAGGCGTCACGGCATCCATCAAGTATTCAAGTACCGGTGTCCAATACTCGAGAGTAACGGTCTGAAACAGAATAAGACCAACCCAAGCGATGTTGTCGAAGCTTATGAAACCATAATCTGGATTCGCGTACGCCAAGCACTCCTGGGCTGCACCGCACTTCCACAAACCATGTTTCCCTGTTGAGCATACCTGATCTTCCTTCGAACTCAGTAGAACGGCGCTACCACCAGCACGTTCGAAACATGCGGCAACGGACTGAGCTGTATAAGCCGAGCACGACATGCCCGAGGGTAGTATGTCGTAGCACCGGTACTTAAGCTTGCCGGCGAAGAACTGCACGCCGATGATGCCAAAAACGCAGAAGAACAACAAGAAGAAGAACACAACGTTGCCTAGAGGCCGAAAAGCCTTCAACATTGTCTCTATGAGTAAGCGGAGCGAAGGAAACATGCTGATCGTTCGCAGAGGACGTATAATCCGTATCGCTCGCAGAGTAGACAAGTTCGAACTGTTATCCCCAGGCAAGATGGCGAGGATGGATACTACGACGATAGCGAAATCCACGACGTTCCACGAATCTCGCAGGTACGCGCCAGACTTCTTTGCTTTCCACGGGCCGTACACCCCGTACGCCATCATCTTTATCACTGCCTCGAGCGAGAAAATCACCGTGAAGATGATCTCTGCTATTTCGTTAGCCTTTTCCATGTCTCCCTTTTTGCTCAACCCGCACCCTCGACCGTCCATGGTCGACGGATCGTCCAAGCAGAGCATAATCGTGTTAGCGGCGATGACAAACAGGATGAATGCATCGAAATAACTCATCTTCACGATGACGACGCACAGCTTTCGAAGCGGATTGTCTTCCCGGAACACGCCGAACGACTTCTCGACAAAGTAGTTCTTCCCAAACGTGCGCTCTGATTCGCTCGTCGTCCCTTCCTCGTCGCTCTCCGAGACCTCCGCGCGAACTTCTTGCAATCGCGCCGAGCGCTCCCTCCCACTCGTCGTGTGTTCGCCCAGTCGATGATAAATGTCCAGTACGCTCGTATCCGTCGACGGCCGCCGCGCGTCGCCGTTTCCTCCCTCCCCGTCTCCCCTCTGCGTCCGCACCGCCGACCTACGCGCGAAGCTTCTCCACGGCGCGTCCTTTTCATCGTCCGCGTCGCTCTCCGCACCGCTCTTCTCGTCCTCGCTCTCCTCCGCGCGCGCTTCGCTCGGGCGTCTCCCGCCCGCATCCGCGCCCCGCACCGACGTCACGATCCCCCGCACCCCCCCCCCCAGGCGTCGCCACACCCCCCCTAACGCGTGCGAATCGCTCGTCCGCGCCGTCGCCGTCGCCATTGACGCCGCGCGCGCGGCGAAGACCTCGACCGAACCACGCTCACGCGCGTTCGCATCCACGTCCTCCGCCGTCGCCGCGCCGTCGTCGCTCGACGCGCCCGGCGTCGCGTCGCGCGGCATCACGCGCGCGCGCGACGCGTTGTCGTCGCCCTGTCGTCGCGCGCGCGACGCCCACTGCGCGCGCGCGACGACGCGATCGCGCGCGTCGCGCCGGCGCATCCGACTCGACGTGTGCGGGACAGACTGTTTGCCCACACGCGTCGAACGCACGCCATGGATTTCATCATCATCATCGTCGGGACGTCGTCGCGCGACGCCACGGGATGTCGCTCGCGATCGCGCGCGCGCGCGAGACGGCGCCCGCGTCGACGTCGCGCGCGGTCGAGCGCCATTCGCGCGGTGGACCGCGGTTGGAGGAGGTGATGTTCGCCACGGGGGCGTGCCAATTCTTAGAACAGAGCATGGTCGGTGCGGTCGGCGCGCACGGCTCGGTGGCGATCGGGACCGCGCGTCGACGACGACGGGGGTCGGACGGGCGCGGGCGCGGGTTGGTGGGGCGGGGGGGGCGCGACGCGGTCAGGGTGACGTTCGATCCGAGTAATCCGCACGCGCCGACGTTCGAGGAACTGGTGCGCGTGTTTTTTGATTGTCACGATCCGACGCGCGCGCCGGTGGGTGATGATGGGAGCACTGTGGCGACGGTTTTCGTGACGAGGGAGTCGCAGAGGGAGATGGCGATGCGGAGCGTCGAGGAGCGCGCGATGAAGGAGCGGATGAAGGAGATATTCACGCGCGTGGAGTCGGCGGCGGATTTCACCTTTACGCCCGCGCCGGAGCGGTTGCAGCGGCGGTTGGGGCGCGCGGGGGATAAGGTGGTGTGCGAACCGCCTTCGTACGTGATATCATCGCCGGTGCCGACTCTGGCGAAGATTTCGCCCGTGGCGTCGGCACGCGAGGCGTGGTCGTGGGTGTTCGATTGGGTGAAAGTCTTGCTAGTGCACGTCGCCACAGTTCTCGTGATCCGTCGCACTGGAGATTCCTAGCTAGCGATTCGGCGGATTTAATAATAAAGTTTGTTCTAGAACAGATTGTGTCTCATTCAACAAATCTATACCGCGATGGCGCGAATTTGTTCGAGCCTCTTCAAGATTTCTCCCGGAGTTCGGTCCATATCCTCGGCGATTCTTCGCTGCACCTCCGGGGCAAGGGCGCCAAACTGCTCGCACAAGTCACCGTCGATGACGTTCTTCACCGGCGCGTAATACGACCTGAACGCCATATGATCACGTCCGACGATCGATGACGCCTCTTGGCGCATGTGCATCTCCAACGTTATGAAGAAGTCGATCTCTGAACGCGTCTGGAACGGGACGAGTGCGCCGATGCCGCCGAGGAAAGTACCGTACATAATGATATCAATACCTCCCGGTTGCAGCGCGCCCTTGGTGAGCGCGCATACCGTCTCACCAATGAATGTTCTCGCGCAAGTTTCAGATTTGTTCGGAGCTCCGTTCAACACTCCTTGCGAATAGATGTTCTTTCCACCAGTCGGATCCTCGTCCATGTCTTCGCTGATGTCCTTTGGCAAGCGGTTGACGAAAATATTCCCAAACTTGTCAGCACCAGCGAGTGTGTCAAAGTCAAGAGGAAGAGCGGCCGTCATGTACGCCGGCTTGGTGTCGTCGGCGAAAATGTACATGCTCCCTTCATCGGCTTTGTACTTGACAAAGTGAATTGACTCCTGCACGTCGCCAACGTAAATTCGGTCACTGGCGGCATGAATGGTGGTGATAAAGTTGGGAAAGTTTCTGTTTTCCAATTTGCGCAGAAGCTTTTTCTTACCGAAATCGTACAAACGGAGAGAATTGTTCACGCCCGCGAGAAGGTGGCCTCTGTATCCGCAAAGAGCCCCGACGGGACCCTCCGTCGGAGTGGAGTGCACCAAACTCAACGTCTTACTGTCGGTGCCATATCTGTACAAGTGGATGAAACCTCCATCGCAGTTGCGCGGAGCGAACGTAAGGTTCTGCGCCGTACCCACGGCGAGGAGTAACTCGTTCGGCCCAGTCAAGTAGACGTGGCAAATACTGATGGCGGACTCGTTCTTCCCAAGCTCAAGCACGTACTGCGACTTGGCATCCTTCGGATCTATGATTCGCACGCACGCTGCCCACGTACCGGGCGAACTCTTGGGTGCCCCATACTGCTCGACAGGTAACATGTTCAACTCGTCTTCGTCCCCATTCGCCTCCGACGCCTCGTCGGCAGAAGTCGCCTCCGGACTCTCGCGTTCGCCAACCGGAACGCTGCACTGATCGCTTTCAATCAGTGCGACCATCTTCGTGTCGGGATTGGCGCTCATTGCGCGTGGAGTGTAACGCAGTTTGATCGTAGTCTGATGGAAATTCTCGCCCAAGCGCTCGACACTAGCGATGCGCAACGTTTGGTTCGAAATGGCGACGACTCCTTCGGGACAGGCCTCGCTGCTGAACGAGCACACTTCCTCCAATGCGACGTACGAAATTGGAGAGAGAACGAATGTCCCCTTTTCACTATACCCCAACCAAGGCCTGGACGACAGCGCCACGAGTGCGGACTCACCACGGACGCTCGTTCGCACGAGCTTTGGCGCCCGCGTACCCAAGAAACGCACGCGCATGTCACTCAACTGCCCAGAGACTTGATCGAGCGTCGCCCGCATCAAGACGCCGTTGGCCATCCCTACATTCAACAACAGACTTCCTTGCAACGACTCCGTGCCCGCGGTTTGTAGAATCAGCAAGCTCGAAGGAGTAGACCCCTTGAGTGCTTGAACAGCTAACGTCTGTAGGCAGTCATCCGAATTAAGGCTCATGACGCGCACGGTGCCATCATACGAACCCATGGCAAGGAATCTGCTCCTCAGAGCGCCCTCGGGCACGGGTGCGATGTCCACGCAAGCGATATCACCATTCGTCTCAAGCTTTTCGACTTCAATGAGCTGTCCCGCAGAATCAAGCTCGAAGTAGATGACTTCACCGCCAGTGAGAGCGATGACCACTTGCTTGCTGTTGCAAGTGCACTTGGAAATTTGCTTACGCCCCGGAGTTCGCCACTCGTTGATGCGCTTATCCGCTTTGATGTGACGCAATCCGCCTGCATGAACCTGGAGCAACGAATCATCATTCATAAGACACACCTGAAGTGTCATCGTCGTCCCCAAAATACCGCTATCGCTCACTTCCGTCACGGTGTCACCGATCGCGAGAACCAGCGTTGCGTTCAGGAACGAGACAACAATGTATCCGTCGTACTGATCCGAGCTCTTCTTCTTCACAGTGAAGATCGCGTTCGGTTGCCCCGGAAGCGAGCTCATCGCGAGCTCATTCATACCGATCCCTTGGCGCAAGATGCGCAACGAAGAGCGCGCACCGGTGCCACACAGCGTGTATAGCTGCGGCGTGTCCTCCTCCGTCAAGTTGTGAGCCTGCATATCTAAAATCGGGCACAGACTGTCTATTTTATCGATTGGGTACAAGTTGGTAAGCCGTCTCGGATCGAAAAACACGGGCTCGTAACCTTGTTCCGTTTCCATGAGACTCGCCGAGCTGCTCTCAACGGCGTCGTCGTCGCCGATGCCGGCAAACTGGTACAGAGCGTGATTACCGAATTCACTCGCCGCGAACAGGAAGCCAGTCTTCAACACGCACATGCTCACGCACGGAGGAATGGTATCGAAGTACTTCACTTTGACCTCGCTCACCTTGTCACCCGAATACTCGATTGAGAGCTTGTAAATATCGCCATACTCGGACTGCGCCAAGAAGAAGAAAGACTTCTTCGACTTGTGCCCGGCGGATGAAACGATCAAGACTCCGCGATCCCCAGGAAGAGACGTGCGGCGCGGAATGACCGCTCGAACCTCTTCATGGTCTTGGTGTCGGTAGATTATAAAGTTTTCGCAGCACACCAAGACGCCGCCCGGGCCGTCGCTTCCACCCGGGACTGGAATCAAGTGATTGGCGCCGTTGTCGATCGGTTCGCTCCACTTGCGCACAACGTGATTCAGACCGAGATCAAGCTCGTAGTATGTCAGGTGCTTCTGCGTCTCCGCCACTACTTCACCGGTGGGATCGTCGTCCACCTCACCGTAATCCAACTCGATCGCCGCAAACACCGGATTGTCCAACCCGCAGTCCAGCGCGCACATGTGATACGTGATCGCGTGCGACTTGTTCGCCTCCAACGGCGACGAGATCGTCAAATTTGCCTCGTTATCTCTGTTCATCACGTACACCAGCTTGCTCCGCTCCATCGCGCCCAAACAAATTGCCCGTCCCTTTGGGTCAGCGCACACGAACTGCCCCGGAACGACCCTACGGCACCCGCTCTTCCCGAACGTCTCTTGATGCACCTTCACGAACGCATTTCTCTCCTTCTTGAACTGTAAGATCACCACCCGGCCGCTGTCAGAGCCGACGCACAGATAATCCCGATTCGCCCCGGCGAGCCGAAGCGCGCAGATCGACCGCACGACGCCGAACGCCTCCATCGACGACACCGTTTGCACCCTTCCGGAGTCATCCGGCCTTAAGAGCTCGATCACCTTGTTCCGCACCACGACGATCTCCTGCGCCTTCGCCGCGGAGAAGTTCCCGTACGCCGCGGCGGTGATTCCGCCGCTCTTTTGTAGAGTGAGGTTGTACAAGTGCACCATGCTCGCTCTCGCGCGGCGCGTTCGCCGACGACGCGCGCGAGGGAGACGCGCGCGCGAGTGGTTCGATTCGAACGACGCGCTCGCGAGACGCCCCGGACGCACCGAGCGCCGCGGTCTGACGATCGCGTGAGAATTCACTCGGCTCTGCCCTAGCGACGCCGCGGTCGTCACACGCGCGCGCGATGGCGTCCAGGGCGCTCGCGCGCGCGCTCGCCGGCGCGCGAGAGGTCGTGGGCGTCGACTCGGTGCGCTCGTGCGCGACGAGCGCGCTCGGGCGCTCGGGCGCGGGTGCGCGGGCGATGCGCGCGCGTTGGAGCGACGTAGGCTCGAGCGCGTTCGGACGCGGCGTGGGCGACGTGCGAGCGATCGCGCGGTGGGAAAGCGCGAGCGCGCGGATGTACGCGACCGCACTCGCCGATCGCGGGGTCAAGGGTCAGCGCGCGGGGATGTACGGGATGGGAGCGTCAATCTTGAAGCGCGACCGGGACGCGGACGGCGTCGGACGCAAGGGACAAAAGGCTGTCGTGAGCGCGAGCGAAGAGGGTTCCCGGGAGGCAGCGGCGGTGGATGAGCGGTCGGCGGGTGAAATGGCGAGCGCGCACGATTACATGCTCCCGGTGCGGGCGTATTACGTCGGGAGCATGATCGACGTCCGGGCGCTGGCGAAGCAGTTGCCGGCGTACCCGAAGGAGTTCAATCGCGAGGGAGTGATCATACGAATGTCGCCGAAGATGGAACAGGGAGATATGTCAGCACTCGACGGCGATGCGCCGATTCCTCCAGACATGCTCAGTCGGTACTTGGTGGTGTTCAAGTTTGGAAGCGTGGTGTTTTATAACATGGGCCTTCGCGAGCGCGAAGAGTGCCTGAAGCTCGCTCGAACGTTTACGTCAACGCCGCTGCCAGTTCCGATGACGGATGACTACCGTGTTGTCGTTCGACCGGGTCTAGCGGACTGGGCGAGCCTCGAGAACGATCACATCGTTCTCAAGAGGATGGATATCAATAACATTAGCGTCATCTCGAGCGTCCTGGCGCAAACAGTCGCGTTGGAGCACTACGAGCAAAAAGTGGACGGAATGGTGGAGATTTTTAGCAAACTGAACAAGAGCACTGAGCTCACGGGTGACTTGAACATTAGCAAGAAACGTCTGTTCTCTTTGGTGGCGGAGAACAACAACACGTTGACAGAGCTGATCACGAAACTTGGCTTGTTGGGACGGTCCGACACCGCGTGGCAGTACGCGCAATATAATCTCGTATGGGAGGGACTGAGGCAGGATTTTGAGCTCGAGGAGAGATTCCAAGACCTCGATTATAAGCTCAATCTCATCCAGACTCAGGTGAAGTTCTACTTGGAGATTCTCCAGAATCGAAAGAGCGACGCGCTCGAGTGGATAATTATCGTGCTCATCTCGCTCGAGATTTGTGTCAGCCTGTACGATATGTCCGATAAGATCCCGTCCATCCCCTGGCCGCCGCTGTAGATTTGTAAATATATTCGAATGTGTCAATACTGCCTCGCCAAAAACTCCTCCAGTTCCTTCGCGTTGGTGGTGTTTTCATCATCCTCAGTGTGAACAATCTTCTTCGGTTGTAATCGAGACCGGAACATCACGGGTTTTCCAGTCTTTTTATGCGCCGGGGCCCGCGCGCGCGAGAGAGATCGTTGAAATCTTAACTCCTGTTCCGCTTTTTGCTGTCGTGTCTTCTCTTCTCTCGCCAAGCGACGACGCTCTTTCTCCTTTTGTTTCTCCAAATCCGCCACCATGTCTGCGGGCATCTTTTCAATCGCTGCAAAGTACTCCTCCATCTTCGACTCAATGTTTGTAAGCATCTGTAACACACTGATGCTCGGATCGTGATCAAATCCACAGTCGACGTAAACTTCCGTGACGCGTCTTGTGAGCTCTTTCAATTCCTTTTCTGTTTCGTCCTCGCCGCCAGCTTCGCTATTTGCGAGGCGCATCGACAGCTCTTCTCCTTTCCGCCCCTCGGCGTCGATCACCTCCTGAAGCCGTCGAATCTGTTCCCTGAGCGCCGTCATCTCGGTTTCCATCTTCATTTTCGCGCTCGCGTGCTTGGTCTCCACGCTCTGCAGCGTCTCCTCTGCCTCGCGAACGCTCTGAATGAGGAATAAATTTTGCTCCTCCAGCGCGCTAAAGGCGCGAAGCAACTGTTCGGGCTCGGTGAAGTACATGCTCTCGCCATCCGCGCATTCGCGCTCAAACCACTCGCTCGGCGTGAGCGCGTCGAGGAATTCCTTGTACTTGAGACACTCCTTCAACTTTTCTTCCTTTCGATTCAACTCTTGCGTGGCGCTCGTGATATCGCTCTGCAAGCGTTTCATTTCCCGCATCTTCTCGTGCTTCGCCCGCGCCTCGCGCTCCGCCGCGCTCACAGCCTCCCGCACCTTGGCGTCGTTATCCTTCAAAAACTGATCGAATCGCGCGTGATCCTCCTCCAACATGCGCTCCGACTTGCGCAGCGCCTCCTCCCGTCTCGCCGCCCGCTCCTCCAGCCTCTCAATCTCTCCCAACTCACACTCGATGTCCATCTGCGTCAAGAAAATCTCCCGCTTCCGCGCCACGAACGCGCGCGCGGACTCCCGTTCGCCTCGCCCGCGTTCGCGCTCCCCCCACCCGGCGTCCGAGCCCCCCGTCGACGCCACCCGCCCGCGTCCATCGCGCGCGCACAAAGCCGATTCGTCTCCCGCCCCCCCCGTCGTCCCCATCCCACGCGCGCGCCGTCGCCTCTCCCGCGTCGTCGTCCCGCGTCGTCGTCCCGCGTCGTCGTCCCGCGTCGTCGCGCCGTCTCGCGCGCGCGCGCGCGGCGCACTCGCGCGTCCGAGCCCTCGGTCGTCCCGCGCGACGGTCCGCGTCTTTTTTTATCCACATCGCGCCCGCGACGTCATCGCGTCCCCGCGCGCGTCGCCCGTCACGCATGGACGCCCGATCGACCGCGCGCGCGCGCGCGAGGGCGTCGGCGCGTCCGACGCCCTCGACCGCGACCGCGCGCGCGTCCGTCGTCGCTCGACCGCGGGCGCGGCGGCGGGACGACGACGGGCGACGCGCGGACGCGGTCGAGGCGTCGACGACGCCGAGGCGAGACCTCCGGTTCTGCATCGATCGCGGTGGGACGTTCACGGACGTCTACGCGGAGATCCCGAGCGCGGGGTCGGAAGGTGGACGGACGTTCGTGGCGTTGAAGCTGCTGAGCGAGGATGGGAAAAATTACTCGAGCGCGCCGCGCGAGGGCATTCGACGGGTCCTCGAACGGGTGTACGGACGGAAGATCTCGCGATCGGAGAAGGTGCCGACGGAAAGGATCGAGTGGATACGAATGGGAACGACGGTGGGGACGAACGCGCTGTTGGAGAGGACGGGGGCGAGGACGGCGCTCGTGACGACGAAAGGTTTCGGCGACTTGCTCGCGATTGGGAATCAGGCGAGACCGGATATATTCGATCTGGCGATCGAGCGACCGGGTTCGTTGTACGAACGCGTGGTGGAGGTGGATGAACGCGTGCGGGTGGTGGACGAGGGTGAGCGCGCGCGAGGTGCGCGCGTCGTCGGGTCCACGGGAGAGACGGTGGAGATATTGAAGCCGCTGGACGCGGAGTCTCTCAGGCCTCGATTGCAAGCGCTCTTGGACGATGGCGTACGATCGATATCGGTCGTTTTGTTGCACTCGTACACGTTCGACGCGCACGAGCGAGCGATCGGGGCGTTGGCGAGGGAGATGGGATTCGAGCACGTCGCGCTGAGCAGCGCGCTCGTTCCGATGGTGCGCGTGGTGCCGCGCGGACACACCGGCGCGGTCGACGCGTATCTCACGCCCTGCATCAGGAAGTACATCGAGTCGTTCTTAGAAGGCTTCGACGAGGGACTGCGCGATGTCAAGGTGAGTTTCATGCAGTCGGACGGCGGGCTGACGCCGGCGCATAATTTTAGCGGCTATCAAGCCATCCTGAGTGGTCCGGCTGGCGGCGTCGTCGGTTTCGCCCTCACCACGTCCGCGGCTCTGCGGGATACGGGCGACGATGGGCGGACGCCCATCATCGGCTTTGACATGGGCGGAACGAGCACGGATGTGAGTCGTTACGATCCGCGCGCCGGTTACGAACAAGTGACGGAGACAACCACTGCGGGCGTCACAGTGCAGGCGCCGCAACTGGACATCACGACCGTCGCCGCGGGCGGTGGTTCCGCCTTGACATTTCGTTCGGGTACGTTTTATGTCGGTCCGGAAAGCGTCGGCTCTCAGCCAGGACCGGTGTGCTATCGTAAAGGAGGCGCGCTTGCCGTTACGGACGCCAACTTGGTTCTCGGTCGCGTTCTACCAGAGTATTTCCCAAAAATCTTCGGTCCGAACGAAGATGAAGCGCTGGATTACGAGTCATCTTATGAAGCATTCTCAGCGCTCGCGGAGCGAATCAACGCCGAGACGGGAGAGACCTTGTCGACCGAAGAAGTGGCGATGGGATTCTTGCGTGTCGCCAATGAAGCGATGTGTAGACCCATTCGAGAAATCACGGAGAGTAAGGGGTACGAAATCTCATCGCACGTCCTCGCCGCGTTCGGAGGCGCTGGACCACAGCACGCATGCGCGATTGCTCGTGATTTAGGAATGTCCACCGTCTTTGTGCATAGATTTTGCGGCATTCTTTCCGCGTACGGAATGGGTCTCGCTGATGTTGTCGCCGAGTCCCAGGTGGCGTGCGCAGCACGATACGACGATCCTGACGGATTAAAGCGCGCCATGGAAGACATGTCGCACCTAAAGATGCGTGTAACGTCAGAGCTCACCTCAGACGGGCAGTTCAACTCAAGCGCGGTGAGATGTGAGTGTTTTCTCAACCTGCGGTACGACGGCACAGACACTGCGATGATGGTTCCCGAGCCCAGCGATGGTGACTACGCAAAATCGTTCAGGGAGCGATTCGTGCGAGAGTATGGTTTCGATCTTAAGGAGCGAGCGCTACTCATCGATGATGTGCGAGTGCGTGGTGTGGCGAACAACACGTTACTCACACGGTTGCCCATCGCAAAGAGCGAGCCGGGGGTATTGCCAACGGCGGACACGCAGACTCGAGTATACTTTGAAAACATGGGTTGGGTGGAAACACCGGTGTACAAATTCGAAGCCTTACTCGCGGGTATGTCCGTTGCGGGTCCAGCCATCATCATGAACGGCACGTCCACCTGCGTAATTGAGCCGGCGTGCGTCGGAGAAGTGACCGAGTTTGGCGATTTGAAAATAACTGTATCGAGCAACAAGATTGCGCCGCAGAAGGTGGATTACTCGCGACCCGACCCGATCCTGATCTCTATTTTCAGCAATCGGTTCATGGGTATAGCCGAGCGCATGGGACGAACTCTGCAAAGGACAAGCGTATCGACGAACATAAAAGAGCGTTTGGACTTTTCGTGTGCAATTTTCGGTCCAGACGGTGGACTCGTCGCCAACGCGCCGCACGTGCCCGTCCACCTTGGCGCGATGTCCGCTACCGTTGGATGGCAACTCGACCACTGGGGATTTGAAGGACTGCACGAAGGCGACGTGCTCGTGACCAATCATCCTCGAGCGGGTGGTAGTCATCTACCAGACATCACTGTCGTGACGCCAGTGTTTCGAGATGGGCAAATTGTCTTCTTTGTCGCCTCTCGTGGACATCACGCGGACATCGGCGGTGCGACGCCCGGATCCATGCCTCCATTTTCGAAATCAATTGTCGACGAAGGTGCCGCGATCAAGACGTTCAAACTCGTCGATCGCGGCGTGTACCAAGAAGAAGGCATCGTCAAGCTGTTGACCAAGCCGGAATCTGGTAGTCGTGGCACGAGGAAACTCGCTGATAATTTGAGCGACTTGAGTGCGCAAGTGGCCGCGAATCAGCGCGGAATATCTCTTTTGAACGAACTCATCGATGAATGCGGTTTAGATCAGGTACAGGCGTACATGAATCACGTTCAAGACAACGCTGAACTTGCTGTCCGGGATATGCTGAAACAAGCAGCAAAAAATGTCATCCAAGACGCGGCGCGGTTGGGCGCAGTAATCGACGGTGATCGTGTCACTCTGAAAGCTCTCGACAAGATGGATGACGGGAGCCAAGTGTGTTTGACATTGACTCTCGACGCGGAGCAAGGCACGGCTGATTTCGATTTTGCTGGTTCATCCAAAGAAGTTGCGGGTAATTGGAACGCGCCTCCTGCCGTCACGAACGCCGCTGTCATCTACAGTATTCGATGTCTCGTAAAGCAAGAAATTCCACTAAACCAGGGATGTTTGAAACCTGTGACGATATCGGTTCCGGATGGATGCTTTCTTTCGCCGTCTGAAGACGCAGCCGTGGTCGGTGGAAATGTGTTGACATCGCAGCGTGTCACCGACGTCTGCCTCGCGGCTTTCGGGGCGTGCGCGAACGCACAAGGTTGCATGAACAACTTGACGTTTGGGGATGATAACTTCGGATACTATGAAACGATTGGCGGCGGCGCGGGCGCTGGGCCAGATTTTGACGGCGCCTCTGCGGTCCAGTGTCACATGACAAACACACGAATCACTGATCCAGAAATCCTCGAGAGGCGTTACCCAGTCATCCTGCGCGAATTCTCCATCCGTAATGGATCCGGCGGCCAGGGAAATACCAAGGGTGGCGACGGAATTGTTCGGAAAATAGAATTCCTCAAGAACATCACCGTCAGCGTTCTCTCTGAACGCCGCGTATTTGCTCCAAAAGGCTTAGCCGGGGGAGCCGACGGCGCCGTCGGAATGAACCTACTCACCCGCGTCGACGGCGAGACCGTCGATCTCGGCGGCAAAAACTCTGTCTCCGTCACTGACGGTGACGTTCTCACCATCATGACTCCCGGCGGCGGTGGTTATGGCGCCTAAACGACTTGACCATTCTTTTTAATTTATTCGTTGATTGATATCCACAGACGCGCACCACTACACCAACAAATGCAAGTCGTGATAACACGTCGTGAAAACGCCAGCGGTCGACGCGTTTCGCGATGTTCGCTGCCAAGAACGAGATGTTCCTCCGGGAGGTGGAAATATTCACTGCGGACGTTTTGAAATGTATAACACAGTTGCTAGTTTTCTGGCAGCGCGGTACCTCGCTCAAGGTTCGCCTTGATCTCTTTCGAGTACTTGTCGTAAGACTTTGCGAGCATCGCATTGTGCCTCTCGTTCCTGATGTTGATGCCATCGAGCTTCGAAATCGCCTTGGCTTCCCTCTTACTGCGCGCTTCTAATTTCTTTCGCTGTGACTCTTGGACGTTCTGAGCCAGCCGATCAATCGCCTCCTGCGTTGGCTTGTTGCTCGTGTGGTAAATGCTATCGGCGCTACGGTAGAAGTCTGGAACAGTTTCTTTTTGCCTTTCGTACTCCTCCTGAGTAAGCGTGGGGTTGAGGAATCCTCTCTCTCTCTCGTACGTGGCGTGTTGTCGTGCGGCGCTGTACAACGCCGCGTCGTTCGGATCGTTTTGTTGCTTCTTCGCCTTCTTACGATTCGCCTGCTCTATCGTCGCTGTGAGGTGCACAGCCTTCGGGTCGATCCCCTGCTTGACCAAATTATCTTGTTGTGATTTTTTCGAAGCCTCCAACGCCCTTCTCTTCTGTGCTTTTTCGTATTCCTCCGGTGCGTCGACGCGCTTCTTCTCGTCCACCACCGCTGCCTGGTTCTTCTTCCGACCCTCGTTCAACTTCAACCGCAACTCGAATAGCTTACGCTGCTTGGCCGACATCCCCGCCGTGGGATTACCCGCGTTCGCATCGACGTCGACCGCACCTCTGGATTCGCTCGCCCGCTTCGCCTCTCGCTCTGCCTCCTCCGCGCTCTCTCTCAAGCGCCTGGCGCTCGCGACGTCCGCGTTCTCCCCCCCGACCTCTCGCGCCTCCTTATCCGCCAAAGCTCGCTCGTCCACCTCACGCTTCAACAAAGCCCTCGCATCCTCCGTGAGTTCCTTCGCATCGATCAACTCCTGCGGGATCTCGCCGCAATCGACAATTTTTATCGGCTCGCGCGTCTTTCCGCTCTTCGACCCTCTGGATTCGATCTTGCGCACGACATCCATGCCCTCGACCACGAACCCGAAAACGCAGTGCTTCCCGTCCAACCACGGCGTATCCGCGGTACATATGAAGAACTGCGAGCCGTTCGTGTTCGGCCCGGCGTTCGCCATGGATACCGTTCCCGCGCCGCGGTGTCGAAGCGTAAAGTTTTCATCCTCAAACGTCTCGCCGTACACAGATTCTCCTCCCGTACCGTCGTGATTCGTGAAGTCACCGCCCTGAAGCATAAAGTTTGGAATCACACGATGAAACGTCGACGCTCTGAACGTCAGCGGCGCGTTCGACAGCGTCGAGCGGCCGCGTTCGCCCGTGCACAGCGCTCTGAAATTCTCACACGTCTTGGGACACACGTCGCTTCGGAGCTCGATCGTGATTCGTCCGATCGGTGCGCGTCCGATCGCGACGTCGAGGAAGACGCGGGGTAAGGGTGACATCGCGCGCGGTCGGTGCCGATCGCCGACGGTCGAGCGCGTCGCGCGGTGCGGTGCGCATCGCACCGTTGTGTTCATTCGTGGCGGCGCGGCGGCGGCATTCATCGACGCACACCCCTCGTCGTCGACGTCGAACGCGTGACCATGGGGAAGAATAGGTTAAAGACGAAACAGTTCGCCGCGACGAAGCGCATGATCAACCCGAAAGAGATCGCAAAGACGCGAAAGGGGGCGGAGAAGAGCGGTGAGAGCGAAAAGAGGAAAAACAGAGACGCCCTGACGCTGAAGCGCGTCGAGACGCAGAGCGCTGGGATGTTCGGGCGGTACAACTCGACGTTAAAGCCGCCGTACAACGTCCTGGTGGACACGAACTTTATCAACTTTAGCATTAAGAATAAGATTGACCTGGTGAAGGGGATGATGGATTGCTTGTACGCCGAGTGCGTCCCGCACATAACGGATTGCGTCGTGGCGGAGTTAGAAAAACTCGGGCAGAAGTATCGGGTGGCGCTGAGGATTTCAAAGGATCCCAGGATCGAACGTCTGCCGTGCGATCACAAGGGGACGTACGCGGACGATTGTATTTGCGAGCGCGTCAAGGCGCACCGGTGTTACATCGTGGCGACGTGCGACACGGATCTCAAACGTAGGATACGGAAGATTCCGGGCGTGCCCATCATGTACGTCGGGAATCATAAGTATGCGATCGAGCGTTTGCCCGAATCGACGCAAATCGGGAACAGTTGATGGCTCTTCACGCGTGCGATACCTCTTGTAATACTATCGACGTCGCGGCGTCATTCGACACGCTGAACGCCAGACTCGCGCTCCACACCACGACGCGCGCGCTCGTCGCGATGTGGGACGTGAGCGATAGAATCGATCGTTCGCAGGTACTACCGTCGACGCGCGGGCGCGCTCGAGACGCGCTCGAAGCGTCGCGAGTGAACGCGGTCGTCGATTCAAGAGTGCTCTCGAGCTCGAGGTCGTTGAGAAATCAAAATGGTTTTCCACTCGACGACGACGACGACGAGCTCTTGGCGCTCCAGCGACGGGAGAAACTCGAGCGGAGCAAGACCCTGCGCGAGGCTCTGGAACGACAGATCGAAGAGAAGAGGGAGAGGCGAGAGGGGGAGGTCGTCGCGCGCGCGTCTCGGGCGGCTCGGGCGAAGGCGGACGCGCTAGCGATGAAACGTTCGAGTGAGTTGGAGGCGATGTTGCGCGGATTAAGCGAGCGATTCGAGGAGACGACGGTGCGAGTTGATGAGGCGTGGGTGCACGCGCCGAGAGCGGTTCAGGATGACGCTTCGGAGGAAGACGTTTTTGAGGAGGAGTCGACGTTTATTCGGTTATCCGACGACGAGACGTGGGAGAGCGAAGAGACGCGACTAGTCGCGCCATCGCCGCTTGAGACGCCGAAAAAAGCGGCCTCGGCGGTCTTGAAGTCACCACCGAAACCAAATACGCCGCCTGCGGCTAACGCCGACGATGACGACGACAAGCATCTGTTTAGACGAGGCTCGGTGAAGGCGTTTGTGAAGCTCTGGGACACGCCGAGGAAAGCTTCTCGCCCGTGATGGTTCACGACGACAATTGCGCATACTACCTAACGCTGTATATTTCTAGAAACGATGACTATTGACACTATGATGCCTTTTTCCTCGACTCCACGTGCGTTGCGCACGAGCAGTGTGGACAGTTGTGCAGTCGCTCGTGGATGAAAATGTCGCACGCGAAGCAAAACACATTCGAACAGTGCTCGCACTCGGAAGCTAAACTCGCGTCGGTGATCGACGCGAGACATGCGGAGCACTCCAATGCGACTATCCCACTCTCCTTAGCGGACACATTCCGGCTCGCGTACTCCTTGAACGCGGGGACAGGGAACAGATGGTGATATGATCGAGCGAGGTGCGGCGATGACACGAGCGTCAACCGACATACGGTGCACTGCGACGGAAGTTCGTCGATTCGTCCGGAGCATCTCGGACAAACATAATCGCCTCGCGTGCCCACGATCAGAGCGTCCTTGCTCACGTGCTTCTTCTGGGGAAATCCCATCTGCACCAGACACGACTTGGTCGCGTCCTCGGCGAGCGGTGGCGGCGGCGCGTGCGCCATGATCAAATCGTCCAGATGGTCCGCGTTCATACTCACCCCGTACGTCCCACCCGTTTCCTCCGACAATCTTCTCGCGACGTGCAGCTCGGCCGCGACGGCGACGACGCTCACGCGCACTTTCGCCGCCTTGGTTGCCTGTATCTCCGTCCACACGTTCCCTGGATCGCACGTCGCGAGCGAGCTCATAATGTACAGAACCTCCCGACTCCCGTACGAAGGTATCGACTTCAACGACGTCCGCGCCGCGTTTAACGTGTTCTGCAGGCTAAAATCTCCGCTCGCGTCCAGGGCGTTCCGCAACGCCGCGCAGTGCGCCTCCGGACTCCCGCTCAGCTCCGTCAGACGCTCCGCCACCCCGTTCCTCGCCACGATGATCCCCAACTGACTCAACGGGTTCTGATTAAAAAACTCCCGCACGAACGCCGCGGCGCAGTGCCCGACGACGCTCAGGCGGTTCGGTCTGAAATCCTCCTCGTTCGCCGCGCGACTCAAATCCACGACGACGTACGCGAACCGCATCATCCCCTTCGCCGCGCCGCCTCGCAAGGCTGCGGACGCCATCTTCGCCCGGCGCTCCCGCGCTCTCAGCTCCACCGCGCGCGCGTTCACGCGCAGGCGTCCGGTGAGAGGATCTTCCTCCAAGTCTTCCCACGCGCGTTCGCTCTGGTACTTCTTCTCCCACGCGCGTAACGACGCCTGCGCGCGCTCGGCGTCGATTTCATCGGAGTCTGATTCCGAGCCCCCGCCCTCGGCGCCGATGAGCGTCATACCCGGTGGCGTCGACGTGTTGCGTGTAGGTGACGCGCGACTGAAATTCACTCATTCATTCGCCAAACGTCGACGCGTCGTTAGGCGATGACGTCCACGGCGAGCGCGGCGTCGAGCACGTACAAGGTACGCTAGGTGAATCCGCGCGGTTGACGTCGCGTAACGACGCGCGAAGAGGCGTGAGAGACGCGATGATCGAGCGAGAGAATCAAATGAAAAGTGCTCCACTGACGCTTCGGTTTTTCATCGCGCAGGTCGTTTTATTGGGCGAAGGGCGAGTCGGCAAGACGTCCTTACTCGTGCGGTTCGTGCAGTCAACTTTTGACGAATCGCAAGCGCCCACGGTGCGAGCGAGTTACCTGACGAAGACGGTGCGGTTGGAGAGCGACGCGCGGGCGACGCTCAACGTCTGGGACACCGCGGGACAAGAGCGATTTCACGCGCTGGGGCCGATATATTACCGAGACGCGGACGCGGCGATTGTGGTGTACGATATCACGGACGCGGATTCGTTCGAGCGGGCGAAGGCGTGGGTGAAGGAGCTGAGACGCATTGCGGGGGCGGAGATATCCATCGCGGTGTGCGCGAATAAGAGCGATTTGGAGCGGGCGCGGAGGGTATCGAACGACGATGGCGAGGCGTACGCCAAGGGAATCGGGGCGTCGTTTCACAGCACGAGCGCGAAGACGGATAAGGGGGTCGAGCAAGCTTTCATGAGCGTGGCCAGGGCATTGGACATGAAGCGCGGGAAGTCGCCGGTGCCTGCGGGATCAAGCGGCGTCTTGAGGAGTCGTTCGCTGAAAATCGCGGCGGAGGAGGAGACGAAACCGAAAGGGACGTTCGGAGATTGCTGCTAAAGAACACGAAGTCCTACGCTAGTCCTAGCTAATGATAATACAACACGACGAGTAAATCATTCGCTTGGCGGAAAAATCGGCCACAGAGCGACGGCGCCGTCACGCGCGGTGCTCACGAGATACGAATCATCCGGTGCGAACAACACGTCCGTCACGGTGGCGGCGTGATACTTTAATACCGCTAGCACGCGTCCCTTGGACTTTCGCTTGTACTCGTACACGCGAATTTTCCCGTCCCAACACCCGCTCGCGACGATTTTTCCATCTCCGCGAATCGCGCACGCGCTCACGCCCGGTTGTTTACTCGAGCTCGTTATGACTTCGGCATACGGACCGTGCGCTCGCACGACCTCACACATCAACGGTACCACGTTAACGTCCACGGCGTAGCGCACCAACGTCCCGTCGGCGCCTCCGGTGACGAATCCTTCGCCCAGCGCGTCGACGTCTGCGCACAGCGCCGATTCCTTGTGCGTCCGCCTCCGCCACTTCACCTCGCCTCGACCCGATTCGAAATCAAGCGCCCAGATCGCGATCGTCCCATCCTCGTACCCAACAACGACGTGTTCGCTCCGTATGAACGAAATGCACATCGCGACGCCAGCTCGCGGATCGCTCTCGTCGTCCTCTTTGCCCAGCGCCGGCAACGTGCACGCGGCTCGGCCCGTCTCCGCGCGCTCGACGACGACCGATCCCCTCGCGCACGCCGCTCGCGCGATCAACTCGCCACCGTCGCTCACGAGTCTACAGAACCCAAAAACTCCGCCCCGAATCGTCCTCGACGCGATCTCGACCCCGCGATCGTCACTCGCGTCGCCCGCTCGGCGCCAATACTTGACGCTCCCGTCCCGTCCCTGCGTACAACGCGTCGGGACGTCATCGTCACCCGACCCGTCGCCCGCGCGACTCGACGCGCGCGAGACGAAATTGAAGTGCGCCATCGCGAGCACGCCGCTCGTCGGTCCGTGCGCGCGCGCACGATGAACGACCCGTCGTCTCTCGACGTCCCAACGAACCACCTCGCCGTCGGCGTCGCCCGTGTACAGCGCCCCGCTCGCATCGAACGATGCGCACTGCGCGTCCGAACGGTGAGCCCTCAACACGATCGGTTCGGGCGGTGGGTTCGACATCGCGCGCGCGGCGTCGGGATGTGCGGCGCGGTGCGCGTGGACGTGCGCGCGACGCGTTCGCAAAGCAAGAAGTGTTAATACAATGAGATATCGCAAGAATGGCGCGATGCAGGCTCAAATCGATCGCGTTAAAACTCCTGCGCCTCGGAGCTTCGTGCGAAGGCGAATGTTGAACGAATGAATTTTGGTTTCGTGAAGGCGACTTGTTCGAATCCGCCGCGCGTGGTCGCGACTTCGTCGAACGGGCCTTTTGGCGAAGAGCACGGTGACGGCGGCACGCTGGAGCCCGGCGCGCGCAGAGTCCATTTGCTCGTCAGCGCGCTTGGTCGGCGCCACGGCGGGACGTCGAGACCGCGCTCGCGAAAAGAAGCGTTCATGTGCTGAGACACGAAGTGCACGATTTCTGTGAGCTGCGCGTACGAACCGACAAAGCAGTTTGGAATCGCTTGCACGAGACGCTCGTACTCTCGCGTCGCTCTTCCGACGACGAAGTGCGATCGGAGGTTGGGCTCGATGATGACGCGGTCATCCACGGTGGCGTACGTCGGACCGCACTTCATCGCTCTCGGCGGAAGCCAAAGATAGGAATGACTGAGTTTCGTGAGCACGTCGTCGTCCACGTGCGGCGGCTCGCTCGACGTGCGCTCGAGCCCACCGAACGTGACCGGATCAACCTCCCTCAACGTTTCCGCGAGTTTATCCAATCCACTCTCGCGCACGTGCGCCCGTCGACTGTCGTCTTTGAACGTCTCCGGGTCGCCCAACGCCAACGCCGCCGCGCGCAGCGCCCGCAACGCTCGCCGCGCCTCCTCCGTTCTCGGCGCGCACATCAACCGCGCGCACCGCACGACGACCGCACACACATCGAACCCTTCCCTATTCCTCTCCTCAATCTCTTCCGACGTCTCCACCGACACCGACCGCTCCGCCTCGTCCTCCGCGAAGAGCAAATCAAAATCCATCTCATCGCACGACCGCGCGCCCGCGTCGCCCCCCGACGTCGCCCGCGTCCGCGCGCGCGCCATCTCGCCCCAACCCCCGCGCGCGTCCACCCCACGCGCGTCCACCGTCGCCCACGTCCTCGCGCGCGTCGTCGTCTGCCGCCCCACGCGCGCGCGCGCGTCGGGAATATTACGCCGAATATTCCATCGAACCGTCGGTCGGCCGCCGACGTCGGCATCCATCGCGCGCGCCGTCGCGCTTTCGGCGACCCGTCTCCCGTCCACGTCTCGCTCGAGGACGCGGGTGTAAATTCTTCCCATCGCGTCGTCGCCTCGCGCGTCGTCGCGTCGCGCGCGCGCGTCGGCGTCGGCGTCGTCGGCGTCGTCGGCGTCGGCGGCGCGGAGGCGAATCGGCACCGCGTCGACGTCGATGCGCCATTGGCGCCGATCGGGTGTGTGTGTGCGCGCGCCATTGGCGCCGATCGGGTGTGTGTGTGCGCGCGCCATTGGCGCCGATCGGGTGTGTGTGCGCGCGCCATTGGCGCCGATCGGGTGTGTGTGTGTGCGCCATTGGCGCCGATCGACGTCGACGGCGGCGGCGGCGGCGTCGGCGCGGCCGACGACGGCGCGCGAGGGCGCACGCGGACGCGCGCGCGCGTGAAAACGTCCGCGCGCGCGCGGCGGTGCATGCGCGCGACGCGCGCGCGAGGGACGACGCGCCGACGGCGGCGAAGAGCGGAACGAAGCGCGAGCGGAACAGCGCGTCGCCGTCGGCGTCGCCGTCGCCGAGACCGGCGAGCGAGGCGCGCGCGCGCGCGCTCGGGGAGGGGTGGGACGCGTTTGAGGTTGAAGTGGCCGCGGGCGAGGGCGAGGAGGGGAGCGGGCGAGACGAGGGCGAGGGGTCGCGCGGGGAACGCGCGGCGGGGACGAGCGAGCGCGGGACGAGCGAGGAGGGCGAGAACGATCGACCGAGGGATCTGTACGCGGTGTTGGGGGTGCCGTTTGACGCGACGGATTCGAAGATTCGAAGCGCGTACTTAAAGTTGGCGCTCGCGAACCATCCGGATAAACACGGGGGCACGGACGAAGCCAAGGCGCGGTTTCAAGACATCGGCCGGGCGTATCACGTTCTGAGCGATTCAGATCTCCGGGCGGCGTACGACGAGGCGGCGGATTTTGATATCGACGATTTTGGCGTGGAAGAGTACCTCTTGCGCTTCAGGACGTTCGTGTTGACGACGCAGGGGTTGAGTATCGGCGCGATTGGGGGAGAGGAAGACCGCGAGGTTCAAGAGGAAATCGCAAAGTTTCTGAGTCTGGGATGACGTCTTCGGCGACGACAGTGGATGTGCAAAAGAGAGCACGGTCCGCGTGCACTACGTTTCGAGCCCTACGCGCCGAGTGGGAGGACGTCCGCGGCGAGACCCAGGACGCGCTCACGGTTATGGCGAACGCCTCACTCGAGCTCGAGGGCGTGGATGATTTGTGCATCCCGACCTCAGTGGACGATCCAGACTTGCGTAAGGCGCTGAAAGCGAAGCGTGCCATGGCGCTCGACGCGTCGAAGGAACGCGTCGCAGCGGCACTCGAAGATGTCGCGGACATTCGCGCAGATTTTGAAAAGCTCGCCAACGCCGATAGGTATTTCGGCTCGTCGTTGGCGCAATATCCCGACGACGGCCCGCTGTTCAAAAGTCTCACGTTCGGACGGTTCAGAGACGCATTTTCCAGGGCGGCTAAGTTGTTCGTGACCGATATCAAGGCGAAGGAGACGCTTATTAAAACTCTCATCGATCGAGGGGAAAACTCCAAACTCGATCGAGAAGACGCGTTGGTCATCATCAGCGCCTACGCGCTCGACCCTCTGATCGATCAAGAGGCCCTGGACGAGTTCGATGCGCTCATCATTCGCGGCGAGTTATAAATATGAGAACGCGCCGAGAGAGATTTCTCCGACATGTAGTGTCTCAAACCATTCTTATCGACGCGTCCGCGCAGTGCACCTCCTCGGAATGGAACCTTACCGTACGAAACAAAAAGTGCCAAAAAACACAAGAGTGCTCGATAGGAGGTTCGAACTCCTGATCTTCTCCTTACTAAAGAGACGCCTTACCACTTGGCCAATCGAGCGTGTCGGTGTGCGCGCGTGTCGGCACTAGATGGCGCTGACACGGCTTGAATAGTGGCAATGGCATACATGCTGACCCAGGAAAATTCAAGAGAAGGTGTCGCAAACATTATGGGTGTTCTCGGCCCGTCGTCGCGTCGAGCGATTTTTCGACCCGCGCGCACTCGAGCGCGCCCGTGGATTCCCCCCGTCGTCATGTCGTCCACCGCGTCTCGGGCGCACGTGCGACGGAATTCGTCGTTACAAGACGTCCGAGCCTTTGTCGCCCACTTCCCAGCCCACCTGAGCTGGCGCGCCGAGCGCGAGTCATTCAGACACGAAGCGCTGCAGTACGCGCTGTGGATCCCGTTCGCCGTGGTGGCGAAATACTTTGGATTCCGAACCATCTCGTACTTGTTCGCGACGTGGTTCACCTTGGGAGAGGCGATGTTGGTGTACACGCACGCGAGGCATCGAAAGGTGCTCCGAGCGCTTCGGTGGTGGCACATTTTGTTGGTCATCGGGTGCGCGGTGGGCGTCGCGGGGGCGCCGTTGGTGGGGACGTTTGGACGGTTCGTGATGGATTACGTCTTCTGGGGGGTCGTCGCGATGGCGTGCGTGTTCCCCATGGTGCCAAAGACGTTCAGGGCGGACGTTCCGGATATGATTTACTCTCTCGGGTTTTTAAGACGGAAGACGGAGAGCGACGGCGAGTGACGACGGCGGTTGAGACGTTCCCCGATCTGCCTTCTGTATTCGCTAGCACTACAATGATAATCTGTCCAATTTCTCCTCTATTTCCTTCTCTCGCAACTTATCCACGAGATCGTCCAACAAAAACCCATCCATGAAGCCCTTGATGTCGCCCGAAACGTTGCCGTCCACGCGATGGTCCTTGACGCGCCCTTGCGGGAAGTTGTACGTGCGAACCTTTTCGCTTCGATCGCCAGTTCCGATGAGAGAGCTTCGGAGCTCCGCTCGTTCGTTCGCCAACTTTTCACGCTCCATGTCATACAATCTGGACTTTAATACTGAAAACGCTTTCGCTTTGTTTTTGTGCTGACTTCTCTCGTCCTGTATTGCCACCGTAATGCCAGTCGGCAGGTGCGTCAGGCGTACAGCACTGTTCGTCGTGTTGACATGTTGGCCACCCGCGCCGCTGGCCCGCATGGTTTCAATGCGTACGTCTTCATCACGAATGTCCATATCGACCTCCGCCGCGTGCGGTAAAACCGCGACGGAGGCCGTGCTCGTGTGGACACGTCCTTGCGTCTCCGTCTCGGGCACGCGCTGGACGCGATGCACTCCAGATTCAAACTTCAATCGCCCGAAAACGCCGTCGCCCAGGACTTCCGCGCTCCCCTCACGAATACCCTTACCATCTGTCTCGGACATATTCAGCGTCTCGAATCGCCAGCCGCTCTTGCGCGCGTGTAACGCGTACATGCGAAATAACTCTGCGGCGAAGAGTGCGGCTTCATCGCCGCCGGCACCTGCGCGAACCTCTAAAATCGCACCTCGATCGTCAGCGTCGTCCCGAGGGAGAAGCATGATGCGCAGCGCGTGTTCTTGTTCCGGTAACTTGGCATCAATCGCACGTAATTCCTCGCGAGCGAGCTCGGTGATGTCCTTCTCGTCGGATGTCCTCGCGAGCTCGTCGAGCGATTCACGCTCGTCGCGGAGAGACTTCACCATAGAGTACTGCTTTACGAGCGGGTCGAGACGAGCGAGCTCTTTATTCGCCTCGATCACTCGATCGATCGCAGCGTCCGGAGCGGATATGAGGGCGATGAGCTCATCATGACGCTTCGTCGCGGCTTCGCCCTGGGCGTACAATGCGTCAATGACTGGAGCCGTCTTCGTGGTGTACGTTCGTCGTCCTCCGGCTCGCTCGAGTCTGGCGCCCACACGCACGAGAGACGCCTCGCGGAATTTTGGCGCGATAAATTGCATCCCAATCGGTAAACCGCTCACTCGCGATCGTCCAGCGGGTACGGACATCGCCGGTAGACCCGCGAGCGAAGCCGGCACCGTCATGACATCCGCAGCGTACGTTTGCGCCGGAGAAAGCGACTCCAAGTCCTCAAGCTTGGGCGCCGTAGACACACTCGACGGCGTGAGCAAGAGATCAACGTGTTCGAACGCCGTCGTGAAGTCGTTCGAAACCAATCGTCGGACGCGCTGCGCCTTTTCGAAATATTCTGCTGCGCGTTCGCTGCTGAGCGCAAACGCGCCGACGGTGATGCGTCGACGCACCTCTGGACCGAATCCGATACTTCGCGCCTTGGCAATGGCGGTTTGAAAATCTTCCTTGAGATATTCCTCACGCGATAAATCTGCCTTGAGATCGCCGTAGCGCATGCCATCGTAGCGCGCCAGATTACTCAATGCCTCTGACGGAGCAATGATGTAGTAGCACGGCAACGCATACTTTGTGTGCGGCAAAGTCACTCGCACGACCTCCGCGCCCAACGCTTCCATCGCGCGCACAGTCTCGTCCCACGCATCGTATACCTCCTGAGTCAGTTCTTTCACAGCGTACTCCTCCGGGACGCCCACGCGAACGCCCTTCATCGGGAACGAACCGTCCTCGCTCGCCGCTCGAATCGCAAACTCGCGTTCTGCTGTTGCATCTAAATCCTCGCATCGAGCCACCGTCGTGGAGTCTAACCCGTCCTCACCTTGCATGGCCGCGAGCACAACTCCGGCATCACTCACAGTCCGAGCGAGCACACCCACGGTGTCCAAAGAACTGCAATACGATATCAATCCGAACCGACTCACTCTGCCGTACGTCGGCTTCAATCCGACTACGCCGCAGTACGCTGCTGGCAACCGTACGCTCCCCCCGGTGTCGCTTCCCAGCGCGAACGGCACCGATCCATTTGCTACCACCACCGCGGAGCCCCCGGATGAGCCCCCGGCGCTTCTTGCGCCGTCTGAATACGCTGGATTTGTCGTCGTCCCGCTCGATGACGTCCGCGTGTGACTGCCCATCCCGAACTCGTCCATATTCGTCTTCCCGACCAAAATCCCACCGCTCGCGCGAATGCGCTGTATCGCCGTCGACTCAATCACGCTCTCGTACCCTCTGAGCATCCTCGACCCCGCCTCTGTCGTCCCGACGCTCGCACACAGGTTATCCTTGGCCGCGAACGGGACGCCGTCCAACGCGTTCGTCTTTGCATTTGTCTCCTTCGCCTCGCGCCTCGCGTCCGACATCTGCGCGTCCGCGACCGCTCGACGTAAGATCGTCTCTCGCGATTTACCGCCCCCGACGTACGCGCGAGCGAGCGCGTCGTCCAAGTCGACCCTGCGAGCGCTGTACTCGAGCAAATCCATCGAATCGACCTCGCGCGCGTCGAGCGCTCGTCTGGCGTCCGCGATCGTCGTCGGCCTGGACGAGGACGCGGCGGTGGTTGACGCCCGTCGCGCCGTCAAGGACGCGAGCGCACGGGCGCGCATCGCGCGAGAGTGAGCGCGCGAGAGCGCGAGCGAGTGACGGCAGTTCGAGACGGTCGGGGCTCGATGTCCACGCGCACGTCAACCGCGCGGGCGCGCGCGATGCCTCAAGCGACGACGAGGGGCGCACACGCGCGCGTACGTTCGCGCGAAACGGTGTTCGCGCGCGCGCGACGCGTGGGACAGGATTCTTTCGAAATGGGCGAAACCTTCAAGAAATCCTTCGTCGCGTTCTCGCTGTGCGTCGCGATGAGCTCGTGCGATATCGCGCGCGCGCGCGAGTTGTTCCCGTCGTCATCGTCGTCGGACGATCCGATCGAACCGTTCACGGTGTTCGGGACGATTGAGAAGTTGTTCGAGGTGCGGGTGATGGACGACGCGAACGGCGGGACAAAGATCATCGGACGCAAACGAGGAATTACGGCGAAGGCGTGTACAAATGTTATTCCTGCGTCGAGGATACCGGCGAGAGGGGCACCGACGCCGGATCGGGCGTCGGCGTGCGAAGTGGCCGGAGGTGGTGGGAGAGATTAAGGAAACAAAAGACATGTTGAGAGCGTGCGCTCCGGCTTGCTCGAAAAGTTGCGGACGCGCAGTGGGAGAGTACGCGAACGCACAAGAGCGCGGTACAGGGTTCGGGTTGCCCAAGGAGGCGAGGCAAAAAGTGCTCAAGTCGTGCACCGTGACTTGCGGGAAGGATTGTGAGCGAGCGGGTAAAAGTTACAGTTACGAGATACCGTTTCGATTTTAGTTTAAATAGGAAATCGCACGCGACGAGTTGTTTGTTCACGTTGAATTTATGAATCAATCTATTGTACAATGTTTGTGCGCGCGTTCACGACGACGATTCCTTGGATCTTTCCGTCGCGACTCTCGTCCAAGCCTCCTTCGCCGCCTTGGCGTCGCTCTCGTATTTCGCCTTGCGCTCCGGATCGAGAGTCGCCCATCGCTCGCCAAGCGCTTTGGCGATGTCTCCAATCTTAAACGTCGGATTCTCAGCCTTGACGTTCGCGCGCTCGTCCGCGGAGAACATGAAAAACGCGGTAAGAGGTTTCTTCAGCGCAGGGTCTTTCATAGCCTTCTTCTCTTTGGGCTCCCTCTTTGCCTTCTCCTCTTTGGGCTCGTTGGCCGCTTTCTTCGCCTTTGGCTCCTTCTTCGCCTTCTTATCCGCCTTTTTCGCGTACCTACCGCGCGTTCGAGGCGGGCGTTCCGCTTTCTTGCGAAGCAGTTCCACAGCTTCCTCCAATGTGACGTTATCGAGCGAACCGACGCGCTTTAATACGGACTTACCCACGGATGCGTTGATGCCATCGCACGCGACGTAGTACCCGAAAGGACCCATGTTGATCGAGACTGGCGACTCGGTCATCGGATGCTTGCCTATCTCCTTCGGATACTCAAAAAGTCGGACAGCGTCTTCCAAGGTCAGCTCGCTCACGTCTTTTTCGATGTTCGCTACGCCTACACGACGCGGTGCCGGTGGTTTCTTCGCCTTTTTGCCATCCTCCGAAACGACAGGCGCCGCTTTTTCGCCGAGTTGTAAGTACGGACCGTACGGGCCAAGTCGTAGAGAAATCTCGCTACCAGTCTCGGGATCGACTCCCAGTATTTTAGGATATAGCAAGACATCGCTGCTCGCGTCGGATGCCATGAAATCCGCGTCATCTGTGTCGCTCACGATGGCGCCGCGAATTGGATGAAGAGGATGCGTGAATCCGCACTCTGGATATCGCGAGCATCCGATGAATCCTCCAGACTTTGACGGCTTTAGCCCGAGTCGGCCAGTCTTACAGCTCGGACATTTTCGCGCATCGCTAACTTCTTGAGCATCATTCGTCGACGTCGTCGTACCGTCTCCCACGTCACTGACTTGATCCGGATTCACATGCACATAACCGTCGTACTTCTCCTCTCCAAATAGGTGTTGTCCGAGCTTTTCATCCAAGGCGTCGATCACTTCGCTCACGCGAAGTGTAGACAACGACGAGATCTGATTCTTGAACGGTGTCCACCATTCCTCGAGCAACGGCCTCCACTGCACGTTCTCGGCTGTGATTTCATCCAACTTTTGCTCTAGATTTGCCGTGAAGCCGTAGTCGACGTATGTCTCGAAATAATTTGTGAGAAACGCGGAAACGAGGCGACCGCGAGTGGTCGGAATGAGCGCTGCGCCTTGCTTTGCGACGTATTCTCGTTGCGCGAGCACCTTCAAAATTGGGGCGTAAGTGCTCGGACGTCCGATGCCTCGTTCCTCCAAAGCTTTGACGATCGAACCATCCGTGTACCGCGGCGGTGGTGACGTTGTGTGAGACGTCGCAGCGCAACCTAACGTTTGGTCGTCGACATTAACCGCCAAAGAATCACTCTCACGCAACTCAGGCAACCATGCGTCGTTCGAAGGCGGAGGCGCATCGGGTCTCGACGTTCTATATGCGGCGAGAAATCCTGGGAACTTCAATCTGTTGCCGTTCGCCTTGAGCTGTAAACTGCCATCCTCGGAGGATATTTCAGCGGCGACGCGATCGGATAACGCAGGCGTCATCTGGGAGGCCATCGCTCGTGCCCAGATGAGGGCGTACAATCGCGCCTCGTCGCTTCCAGGTCCAAGCATCTTTGCCACTTGTGCCGGGACGCGACCCGCCTTTGTCGGACGAATCGCTTCGTGTGCCTCTTGCGCATTCTTCTGCGTCTTCTTGAAGTAGCGCGGAGACTCGGGCACGTAATCCGCACCAAAGAGCTCTATAGCTGTATCACGCAAGCCATCGATGGCGTATGGCGCGACGTATGTGCCGTCTGTGCGCATGTACGTGATCAAACCTTCCCCAGTGCCGGCGCCTTCGTACAGCCGCTGCGCCGCAGACATCGTTCGCGAAGCTCCAAAACCGAGCTGTTTGTTCGCTTCCTGTTGCATCGTAGACGTCGTGAACGGTGGTCCGCTCGAACGCTTAGCCTCACTGAGCTTCAAACCCGTCACTCGAAGCGAATCACACTCTTGAACGCGTCGTGCGTACGTCTCAGCTTGGTCGTTCGACGCAATGGTAAACTTCCCGAGCTTGGTTCCATCCACATGCGTGAGAGCGGCGTCAAACGAGGCACCATCTTTCGAGAGTAAATTCGCAGTCACGGTCCAGTATGGCTCGCTAACGAAAGACTCGACTTCCTCCTCACGCTCGCAGATCAAACGAAGTGCGACACTCTGCACCCGGCCCGCTGACAGGCTCACGCTCGACGGCAGTTTACGCCATAATAACCCGGACAGCGTGAACCCGAAGAGGTAGTCCAACGCGCGTCGCGCCATGTACGCGTCTACCATGGGCGTGTTGATCTCCCTCGGCGACGCCACCGCGTTGAGAACCGCGCTCTTTGTGATCTCTCCGAACGTCACACGCTTGACGTCCAAATTGTCTCGCAACAACTTCTTTTCCCTCAGCACCTCCAGTAAGTGCCAGGATATCGCTTCGCCTTCGCGATCGGGATCAGTTGCAAGTAAAAGTACGTCAGCTTGCCTGAGAGCGTCCGCAATGTCCTTCACCGCCGCCCTTTGCCTCGCAGTTGACGTCCACGTCATCGCGAATGCCTCCTCTGGTCGCACACTCCCTTGCTTATTCAGCAAATCTCTCACGTGCCCATAGCTCGCGAGCACCTTCGCTCCGGGTCCCAAATACTTCTCTATCGTCTTCGCCTTGGCTGGTGACTCGACGATCATCAACGTGCGATTATTCTGTCTCTGCTCGCTCGCGTTCTGAGCCGCCGCGCTCGCGTTCGCGTTCGCGCGCGTCCACGTTCGCGCGCTCCCACCCCCACTCTCGCGCCCAACGAGCGCCGCTCGCGCGAGTAAAACTACTCGTGATCGCATCGACCTCGCCTCGATCGGTACGCACGCTTGTTTAGACGTTGAAGTGCCGCGTGCAATCGACGACGACGAAAATCTCAAATTCCCAACCGACGACCGCCCCTGTGCGCTCGCGCTCGGCATGCGACGCCTCGACGCGAGTATCCGCGAAAGAAGCCGTCGTCGTGCGATGCACGCGTCCGCGACGGTCGGACGATGGACCGCGCGGCGCGAATAGACGATGACGTCCCGGTCGTTAGGAAAAACCGCCCCACTCGCGGACGCGAAACGCTCTTTACGCGATGCCGCGCGGAGCTTCGAACGCGAAGAAGTACGGCCAACCGATCTACGCCTGCGCCTGGCTGGACGATCGAACCGCTCTGCTCGCCGGGGGCGGTGGGAAGAAGTCGAGCGGGATCCCGAATAGAATTTTGATCGCATCGCTCGAGAGCTCTGACACGTCAACGACGACGCTGGCGGAGGCGGAGGCGTGGACGCACACCGATGAGGACGCACCGCAGCGATTGGCGGTGCGACCCGGGGGGGAAGAGGTGGTGTGCGCGTTCGGGGGGACGCTCGGCGTATTCCGGGCGCGGAGGTCGGCGAGCGGGGCGGAGACGGCGAGCGGAGACGCGATCGGTGAGGAGAAGGGGAAAGATCGGTCTTCGTCGACGTGGACGATCGCGCCGGCGAACGACCTCGGTTTACCGTCGCGAGTGAGCGTGACACCGGACGAGCGCGAGATTAAGTGCGCGGCGTTCAACGCGGAAGGGACGCGTTTAGCCATTGGATTGGAGAGCGGCGAGGTGAAGATTTTGTTGTGGCCCTCGCTCGAGGTCGAGAAGGAGCTCGGTGCGCACGAAAAAGGAGCGGTAACCGACATCGCGTGGGCGCCCGACGGTGATGACTTACTGACGACGTCGGCGGAGAACGCGACGACGAGTAACATTGGACGCGGCGCCGTGGTATGGAGCGTCGAGCGAGGAGAGCGCGTGCGAACGCTCTTCGATGAGTCCATCGCGAATAGCCGGGCGAGGAACGTCGTTTTCCGCGGTGCGGCTTACGGACCGGGAACGAGCGCTTCGACGAGCGTGGCTTGGACCGGGGTCAATCTCGACGGGGAAGGATGGGTCGTAAAGTGGGATGCAAAGACGTGGAAAGTCATTAGCAAGGCGCGCGTCTTCAAGAGCGAACCCATCTCTGGATTCTCAGTAAATGCCCAAGGCACGCTCGTAGCGGTGGGAAGCTCCGAGGGCGAGGTCAAGGTTATCGACGCCCAAAAGTTTACGCTCATCAAGCCCGTGAAGCGGGCGCACATGATTTTCGTCACCGCCATGGCGTGGAACCCAAAAGGAAACGTCGTCTTATCCGGATCGGCCGACGCGAGCGCGCTCGCGACAAAAATCAAAAAACAATCGTGGACTCTGCGATTGCTGCTCTGGTTCACCGTCCTGGTCGTGCTCATCTTATGCTGGGTCACCGTTCTGAGCGCCATATTTCCCGACCCGATCGCTCGCGTGTTGGAGAGTCGTCCCGACTCTTGGAACGCCGTCGCGGATTTCTTCTCCGAAGGAATCAAACCGACGAGCGCCGCTGAATCCATCGCCCCGGACCCATCATCGCTCTCGGGCCTTCGCGACGAGTTGTAAGACGACGAACGCGTCCGTCTCCGCGCGACGTCATCCTCCATTCTCTCACCCCTTCTCGATGTCCGTCACCTCCCAGCCGCGTCGCTCGATCACCCCGCCCTCTTCCCACCGCCCTCGTCTCGACCCGCTGTCTCGCTCGCGATCTCCCGCACCCCTCGCTCGAGCTCATCGATCCGTTCGCTCATCTCATCGATCTTCGTGATGATCGCGTCGCTCATCGTCTGAAACCGTCCCTGCATCTGCTCCAACAGCGACGCGGTGAACTTCCCCAGCTCCTCGCTCGTCATCTCGTCCGCGGACGTCGTCCGCGCGCTCGGTCGCGCCGTCGCCATCGCGTGTCGCGCGTCGCCCGTCGGCGTCTCCCGCGCGACGCGCGCGCGCGGTCGGTATGAACGGTATGAACACATCTCACCGGTCGCGTCGCCCTTTCGATCGCGGTCGATCGATCGATCGAAAGGCGACGCGCGACCGGTGGACGATCGAGGGCGAGGCGCGTGGGATTTTTCGGGTTTTTCGTGCGCCGCGATCGGTCCCGGCGGCACGGTTCGACGCACGATGCTCGGCTCGGTGCTGCGAAAGAGCGCGCGCGCGTCCGCGGGAATCGCGCGCGGGTCCCGTGGGTACAAGGTGGCGGTGCTCGGCGCCGCGGGTGGGATCGGGCAGCCGTGCGGGCTGTTGATGAAGATGAATCCGCTCGTCACGGAGCTGTCGCTGTACGACATCGCGGGCACCCCAGGAGTGGCCGCGGATGTCTCGCACGTGAACACGGCGGCGCAGGTGAAGGGATACGCCGGTGAGGCCGAACTCGGGGCGGCGCTGAAGGATTGCGATGTGGTGATCATCCCGGCGGGCGTGCCGCGCAAACCAGGGATGACGCGAGACGACTTGTTCGCGATCAACGGAGGCATCGTGAAGGGTTTGGTCGAGGCGATCGCGGATAACTGCCCGAACGCGATGATTAACATGATCTCTAATCCGGTGAACTCGACGGTGCCGATCGCGGCGGAGGTGTTGAAGGCGAAGGGGAAGTACGACCCGAAGAAGCTCTTCGGAGTGACGACGCTGGACGTCGTCCGAGCGAAGACCTTCTACGCCGAAAAGGCTGGGCTTGAAACGTCCAAGGTCGACGTCCCGGTCGTCGGCGGTCACGCAGGGATCACGATCCTTCCGCTGTTCTCTCAAGCGACGCCGCAAGCGAAGAACTTGTCCGCGGACGACATCGACGCGTTGACCAAGCGCACGCAAGACGGCGGTACCGAAGTCGTCGCCGCCAAGGCTGGTAAGGGCTCCGCCACGCTCTCCATGGCGTATGCGGGCGCTCTGTTTGCCGACGCGTGCCTTCGCGCGAAGAACGGCGAGGCAAACATCGTCGAGTGCACGTACGTCGAATCCAAGGTGACCAAGGTGCCGTACTTCTCCTCCAAGGTCACTCTCGGCCGCGACGGCGTCGACACCGTCCACGGTCTCGGCACGCTCAGCGCCTACGAGCAATCCGCTCTCGATGCGATGATGCCGCAGCTCGAGTCCGAGATCAAGAAGGGCGTCGACTTCATCAAGGGTGCCTAAAACGCTCGCCAATGTTTTTCACACCGCGGCGTTGACGTGCGTTTCGACGACCGCGACGTCGGTTCGAGTTGAAAACTCCCTTCTGCAATAACACCGCTATTATACTACAAACTAAACGACGTACAGGTACAGCTTATTGTACGCCGATGCGTCCACGCCTCCGCTCTTCCGCTCTCGCGTCGACGAAAACGCCTCCGACTTCACCAACCGCGTGCCCCACTCCTCATCCGGCATCTTGAACACGTACGTCACCACCCTCGTCCCCGGCGCGCATTCCCTCAATAATTTCTCCCCCAACCGCGCGTTTCCTTTCGGTAAGAGATACGAGAACACCACCGTCGCCTCGCTCGCGTCGACGTCGAACGCGCTCGTCGCTCTAATCTCCGCCAACGCGCTCCCAATCTTCGTGTTCGCCCGCTCGACGTTCGCGCGCGCGCTCGCGAGCGCTTTTGGATCAATCTCCGCCCCGACCGATCGCGCGCGTCGCAGCTCGGACGCGGCGACGCACACGCGGCCGTCACCGCAGCCGAGGTCGAAGACGAGGTCGGACGAAGAAACGTCGGCGAAATCGAGAAAGCGCTCGACCATGAGGGCGGGCGTGGCGCTCACGGGACCGAGGTCGTGTTCGTCGTTCGCGCGCGAGCGGGGCGCGGGGACGGCGGCGTCCGTCATCGGAACGCCGACGTGTGCGGCGCCGCGTAGTTTCTCGCGGTGTCTCTACACAGTCAAGCACGCGTTGTTGAAAGAGTTTGACGGCCGAACACTGCGCCGAGCTCGGACGTGGTCGCTTCAATCACACCAACGGCACCGCGCGCGATTTTCTTTCGCAACGCGGCCCGGCGGCGAGCGACGACGAACGGGGAGACCGTCTCGACGGGCCGCCCGAGTTGTTTCGCTCCAATAAAGTGTGCGCACCAACGCCGAGTTACTTAGTAACACGATAAACCCGAGCACTGTTTGAGGTAGAGCGCGCGCGCGCGCGTGACGTTTAAATATCGAGTCATTGAAATTAAATTTGAAAACATCGGACGTGGCCGTCGCGTGCGTTCGACGGCGGCATTGTATTGGCGGTATTATTAGTGCCCGTCTCGAGCGAAAAAGATTCCTCTGCGGTGCGACGCGCGGAAATGGAAAAAATCACGCCTCGACGGTGACGGATGCGGCTTTGACGAAGTCGTCTTCATCGACCGGCCCCCACACCTTTGTTTTCTTACCGTCGTGAAGCTCGATTTGGTAAGGATTACCTGAATCCCAGGTTTTGCGGATGACGCCTCGGACGTATCCGTCGTCGCTGTCGGCCCCGACCTGTGCGAGAACCTTGTCGCCGACTTTGAAGCGAAGCTCGGAGGAACACTTGCAGTCCATGAAACCATTGATCAGGGCGCCTTTATCCAAATTCTTTCCGATGAAGACGAATCGACATTCGCGTGGCTCATTCTTTGCCCAAGTGGCGTCGACGAAACCGCCAGAGAACAACATTCCGACACCCTGAAAGACAAACTTTTGATCCATACCTGCGACGGAAAGCACGCCCTTGTACCGAAACAAATCCGCACCCATTGTTTGAATGATGTCACTTATCCAACTCTCTAATTTATTGATATTGAGGTACCCTTCGAATTTCGCGCTCGTCGAAGACACGGATGGGTCGTGTTCGTGCTCGCCCTCCGTGTTAAGGAATTCGGGATCCATCTTCAAGGTCTTCTCGAGTGAGAAAGAATTGATTCCGATCAAATGTTTCGGATCAACTTTGGAATGCTCACTGTGGTAGATTTCAGCGCTTGGATTTAATTGCTTGATCCTGGTCTCGATGGTTTTGAGCTCGGTATCGGACACCAGGTCAGTCTTGTTAAGAAGTACTCGGTCGGCGAAAGCAATTTGCTCGGCGGCTTCGTTCTCCACGCCCTCTGGTTTTTCATCATCAAGTCGAGCGAGAATGTGTTTCGCATCCGTTACTGTGATGATTCCATCCAGGACAAACTTTGATTGTATTTCATCGTCGACGAAAAATGTCTGCGCCACCGGTGCCGGATCCGCCAAACCCGTCGTCTCGATGATGACCGCGTCGAACTGCGCGATCTTCGAGTAAAGCTTTTTCAGCGCCACCACCAGATCACCACGCACTGTGCAACAGATGCAACCGTTCATGACTTCGATGATCTCTTCGTCCGCTTTCTCAGACAAGATCCGTTCGTCCACGCCCACCTCACCGAATTCGTTCTCGATGATGGCGAAGCGCAAGCCATGACTCGCGTCTTCCAAGATGTGGTTCAGCAGTGTCGTCTTGCCGGCGCCGAGAAATCCGGTGATGATGGTCACCGGCACGCGCGAGGTCTCTTCTTCGCTCATTTTATCGCGTCGTCGTTCGAGGCGTCCGGGGCGCGCGTCGAGTTCTCTCGTGCCGCAAGAACTCGCGTCGGTCCGTGTCGCCATCGCGTCGTGCGCGCGCGCGATGGATGCCATCGTGATCGAATTCGTTTCAGTACAGTACGTCGATTTATCCTGATTGTCGAGTGTCGTCATGCGTGATGAACACGAGGCGTGTACGTATTACATTACAGGAAATCGAAACTGTCATCTCACATAAAGATGTCGTCATCACGGCGTGCGTCATCACAGGCCGCGGTGTCGTCGCGCCCCGTGGTGCGCCGCGGGCAAGCACATCGCGGAATTAATCGCCAGCTCGCGCGTGTCCATGCCGTCAAAGCACGGGCACGCGTCTCCGTGCGTGAAATACTCCTCTAAAAAGTCTTTGAGCTCGAGTTCGTCCGGCGAGATGGGTGGTTTCGAGTTCGGCGCTCGCGGGCGCTCCGTCTCAGTGATTCGCGCAGATTTCTCCGATATTTCGTCTGCGACGCGCAATAAGTCCTCATCGTCCCCTCTCGGGTGTTCCATCGGCACCATCGCCGTCGAGGGCTTGTGCACTGGAATATCCATCAAGTTCACGTCGTACTTCCACGCCACGACTGTCAACAACCACTTCGTGTGCGTCAACTCCGCCTCCGTCGTCCGCAGCTGTCCACGAAGAGTTTCGTTCTCTTTCTGCAGTCTTTCACACTCAGCGCGTCGCGCTCGCTCCTCCATCCGCTTTCGCTCGCGGTACCGTCGCACGGCCGCGCGATTGTCTCTTCCAGTCCCCGATTCGGTCACCTTCGTCCGCGTGGGCGTCGACGGGCACGACGCGGACGCGGACGCGGACGCGTCGGCGTCGCTCCGCCCCACCGCCGCGCCGTTGACGCGCATTTCGCCCTCGGCGCCGCCCTCGGGCCCGCCCTCGGGCCCGAGCGCCCGTCGCGCCCCGCTCTCGGCGCCGCCGCGGTGTCGACATCGATGTCGACATCGGTGTCGACATCGATGTCGAGTCACGACTCGACACGATGCCCCTCGACGTCGCGACGTCGTCTTCGGCGGTTCGCATTCCGCGCGCGACGACGGACCGCGACGACGGACCGCGACGCGGCGACGACGACGCGAGAGCGGACGACGCGAACGGAGGTGAAAAACAATGACGAGACGGACGGCGACGGGCGAACGGACGCGCGGCGCGCGGAGGGGCGAGCGAGGACGCGGGCGAACCATGCGGGCGTTGGGCGGGCTCGGTGGTGGCATCGCGATCGTCGCGAGCGCGCTGGTGACGCGCGGGGTGCGCGCGTTGGACGCGCGCGCCTTCGAATGGGCTGGAATCTTTGAGACACCGGAGAATGAATACGTGTGGCAGGCGCAAAAGGTGGCCGACGCGTACGCGGACGCGACCATGAAAATGGTCATCTACGGCGAAAGCGTCGCGGGACACGATGAGCTCGAAGCACGCGAGAGCATCGGTGATACTGCGATCGGAGGAAATTGCCCGACTGTTAAAACACGAGATAGTGTTTTGATACCAGGTAGTGGGTGTGTCAACCTTGAATTTAGCAACTCCTGGCACACGACGCCGTTCAAGATAAATACGACGGACATCGCCGCCGTCTCAATCTTCACTGAGCACATTCCCACCGAGTTCGAGCGCGACGCGCATTATCTCAAGGACCTCAACGGCAATGATGTGGAGCCAAAAGCTTCGCTACCGGAAACTTCCACCGTAACGAAGTCGAAACCATGGGCCAACGCCATCGGAGCGGCAATCGTCGTCAACACTGTCACACTTTGTGGTGTAGCCTTTCTCGTCCCAGGTATCGCCGAGAAGCAGAAAAAGTTTCCCGAACTGGTAAGCTGCATTATTAACTCGTTTTCCGCCGGTGCACTTCTTTCAGCTGCGTTTTATCTGATGTTTTACGAAGCCACGCATTTAATCAAACCTGCTGGCTCAGATGAGGCAGAGCAAACCGCGTGGTGGGCTTCCGCTTCGATTTTCGGCTTTCTCATGGCCTATTTCATCGACTTTGCTATTGCTGTTGTGTTCCCTTCTCGTGGAAATACAGTAAAGACAACTGACGAAGAACTTGCGGCCAAGGGCGCTCGAGATGACTGCGATACGTGTAAATCACACAAGTATCGCGTTCGAGGTGGTATCATTCTTGGAGATTTCACGCACAACCTAGTGGATGGTATTTTCATTGGCTTTGGCTTTCTGAACTGTGGCACCACTATGGGATGGTCGATCACCGCCGCGACTGTGTATCACGAAATCGCTCAAGAGCTCGCTGATTACTTGGTACTCGTAGACCCCTTCCAGGGCGATCTCGCGCCGTTACCGACGCTGAGCTTAAACTTCGTTTCCGGCATGAGTGTCATTCTTGGCGTCCTCATTAGTGTTGGATCGGGAAATAAAAACGACTTCCTGCATGGACTTCTGCTTGCCTTCGGTGCTGGAGTCTATTTGCAAATCGCCGCAGCGGAGTGCATGCCCCGAGTATCAGTGAGCGCGACTTCACCACGTCTTCGCGCGACAAGTATTCTCACGTTCATCGTCGGCGTTATCGCCATCAGTCTCGTGCTCCTTAATCACAAGCATTGCACGGTCGCTGTCGATGGTGGAGACTCAAACGCACATTTGCACTAATGTGAGCGGACCGAATTTGGGTACCAAGTAGTCATTGTTATTCATATTACATTCCCGTTAAGATCTCGCTCAATCGCTACCACTTGATTTTCAACTCATGAAACCCCTCGCTAGGGCCGAGATCGATGCCCACGGTCCCGGTGCGCGGATCAAAGGTAAACCCGCTGCTTTGACCGTTGATGTCAACCATTTTGGGCGTGCGCGAGGCGTAGCACACGAGCTCGCCTACGCCGTATGCGCACACGTTCGCGCTGTCGGTTGCGACGTCGGCGCTCATGATGGCACCACCACCGTTGTACATCGCACTCAGACCGATGGGGGCGAATGCGACGTCACCGGCTCGCAGAATTTCCGCGACGGTGAAAATTTCCCAATCCTTGTGCGCAAGCATGATGGTGGTATATTCCTTCAGACCAAGGACTCGAATCTCGCCCCTTCGGTGCGAACGCACGACGAATGACGCGTCGGGAGCACTTCTCTCGGCAATCCCCTCCACGTCTCTCGGACGGAGCTCAGCAGTGACGGGAGAAATGGGCTTTGAGAGGCTCGCGAATTGATTCGTCTGGCGAGACCAATACGCGCCTTGAACGTTGAACACGCCAATCACTGAGTTGACAAGGTTACGATTCCAAACCTTGAGCGCGGTGCGACCGTCGCGATTGACGTCTCTAAATAGACAGTCACGCGTAGGACGACCTGGTTGACGGCATCGAAGCACTTTACCCGACGGAAAGACGAGCTGACGAAGAACGTTGAAATCGTGCTTGCCAGGATGGTCGCTCACGTACACTGGACAACCGCCGATGGCGCGTGTCGCGGCGTGCAATCCCCCGGCGACGTGTTGACTCTGGAACATGTCCCAATCAGGGAGCACGATCTCACCCAAGAAGACAGAGTTATACACCACACTCGAGATGTGCACGGTGTGGCTCGCCTCGTTGCCCGGGTAGAAGTCGTCGCTCGCTCGAGCCAACGCGCTCCATTTGAAGTTGTAAATGTTTTCTGTAGAGTGACACATGCAGTTTATGATGCCGTTATCGGGAAAGTGCGCACGAACGGACTCCTCAAGAGCCGCGTGGACGCGCTTCGCAAAGGCTGGACCGCCCCCATTTTTGTACCCCAACGCGCCGATCACCGCCTGCGCGTCAACCTTGACTCCGTCGACCCCAGACTCGGACAGATAATCGTGCATGACAACGTAGAAGTGCTGTAAAGCGTCCGGACTAGGGACACCGACCCCGCCTACCGTTAGAGGATCCCACGCCTGAGACGGTTCGACGGTCAAACAACCGGGAGTGTGCCGCGGGTACTTCATCACCGAACCGTACTTTGCGACGTTTTCCTCATCCGGATGAATACCACCCCAATATCCCAAAAGCGCGTGCCAGCAGTACACGTACTCCACGCCAAGATCCGTCTTAATTTTGCGAACAACCTTGGCCAATCCATCCACGGATTCGGCTTCCGGGAGAAGATCTAACTGCGACGGCCTCGGCGGCGTGAGTCCGGCTAACTTTTTTACGAAAAACTTTGGAAGCACGCGCTGCGAGATCGACTTCGGCAGCCCCCGTGCCATGACGTGCAGCTTCTGAAACTTGGGATTCGCCTTGACGGCATAGACTCGGTGCTGAAAATTACTCATGCTCGACACCACCGCCTTGAGGGTGGCGTAGAAGACGTAGTTCATCAACCAGCGAAAGATATGCCATGTGATGGATCGAAACCTACTCGCATGCAACCGATTCCAATAAAACGACGCAGCCATCGCGGCAAAGAATCCCGAGGGCGGCGTTGCCGCTGTCGTCGGCGGGGGCACGACGACGGCGTTCGCATCCGGGACCGTACCCTCCTTTTTGCTGATTTTACGATACGTTCTATCGGGCAACACGCTCTGCCAACCGTCGTCGATGATGACGAATCGCGCCGGCGTCCCGCCGCTCTTGAGCGTCTCCACCCCCTCTTCGATCCCATCCGGCGTGACGTCGGTGTAAAACGCATCCCACGTGCACCACCCAAAGTAATCCACAGTCTCCGGGACCTTCTTATTCTCCAAGAGCTCGAACGTCCCCAAGATACGTCGACACTCCTCCATCGCCCGTTTGACGGCTTCGTACGGCGACTGCGCGCACGCGAGAACCATCACGTTATCTACATCGATCGCCTTCTCCTCTTCACAATTACTCTCGACCGTCATCCACACCTCCCCCTTCGAAGTACCCTCTAAAGTCGCTCGAAATATCCCCCCACTCGTCGGCAACGCGCACGCGTACGCCGCGCCGTCCTCGAGCTCCATCAACGCGAATTGCGTCTCCGCCTCCACGTCCTCCCCTCCGTGTCCCCACGTCGGCGCCATCCACCACAGCTTACACCGCGCGCTCGCGACGAACGCCGTGCACACCATCTCACCGCACAATCTCTCCCGATGTCTCGCTCGCGCGCGGTCGCCTCGCAGATGCACCGTCGCCGTCGTCGCCGTCCCATCCCTCGCCTCGTCCTCGATCGCGAGCTCGAACGCGTCACCGAGCTCACGAAACACATCCCTCGTCCGCGCGCCGTCGTCGAGCGTCACCGCGTCGCCTCGGCGCGCGAGACGCATCGCCCGTCGGTCTCCGTCGTCGTCGTCGTCACTCGCGATCGATCCCATTCGTGGTCTCGGACGGCGTGGCATCGATCGACACCGCGCTCTCGGACGGGGTGACGACGGGTGATGTACGCGCACGCGCCCTCGACGACGCGCGAGACGACGACGCGCGACGCGCGACGACGACGCGCGGGCGAAGGATCGCTCGCGTCGTCGCCCGCGTCGATGGACGCCGTGGAGGCGCTGGAGCATCGACTGCGACAGGCGGAGACGCGGGTGGCGTCGGAGCGACGATTGGTGGATGAGACGCTGGAGAAGATCGCGCGCGCGACGGAACGGTGTGATGCGGCGCGCGACGCGAGAGATGCGGCGCTGCGACGGCGCGCGTTGGTCGAGCGTGAGTACGCGGAGGCGCGACAGACGCTGGAGGAGATGGAGGCGCGACAGAGAGCGGCGGCGGCGGCGGCGGCGCGCGCGGAGCGCGAAGCGCGGGAACAGGAGAGACGAGACGACGCGTCGAGGGAGATACGCTTACGACAGATGCGAGAGGCGATCGAAAATGAAGAAAACATGCGTGCAGTGATGATTGAGCGCACGCGTGAGGCTGAGTTGGACGCGGAAATCGCGGATCTTTCCTCGAACTTGCCCGGCGGGCCGTGGCGAAGCTTGAAAGACATTCCGCGCGAATTTCTCGACGTGTGCGAACAGATCGTGCGAACGCGACGACAGTGCGAGGAGATGCGCTCGGAAATCTTACATCGAGACAGTTGATGCCGTTTCGTCGCCTCGAAAGTTCACGACGAGCGATACGACGACGTCCAGTTGGCAATCGGGAAACGTGGCACCGGACCGGTGCTTGCATTAGGACACGGCTGGCCGCCATGTCGATAGGAATCAAGATTTAGAATTGTCAATTTACATTCTTGGAAAAGGACCGAATCCTATGTGTAAACTTACAGTACGACTTGGCGTGGATCGTAAACGTTCCAACGTCAACGATACTCAAAAGAATCCTTGAATGAATGTTATAGAATACATGTACATCGATGACCAGGATGAATTGTGTGGGTTGGAGTGCACTGTACGGGAAAAAAATCTTCGATGGGCGATACTTGCACATTATTTGGTTTCACCACCCGCCCGCTGTTTATGTTGTTGTTGTTGCTGTTGCTGTTGCTGTTGCTGTTGTTGTTGGAACATCACATTCACAGCGTTGGCGTTAGCGGCGTTGGCGAACTGAGGCCAATAGTTGCTGAAGAAGTTGGCGTAGTTAAGAAATTGCTGTGGATTGGTCATCGGCGGCGGTGTCGGCGCGCCGGAGACGGTGTTCATCGCCACGAACGGACTCATCATCGCGTTCATCGGAAACATCCCAGGCTGGGCAAACATTCCCTGCTGCGGTTGCATGCCGGTCGGTATTCCAAAATATCCTTGCCGCAACTCTTGATGCAAATTGTTCTGCATCTTATCGCAAGCGACCGAAAGCACGGCTGCTATCGCGGCGCTCGACGACGTACTAGCGATAAACTCCTGACTCGCCTCGGTAGGCCACTTTTGCGCCGTACCGGAGCTCTTACCAGTCCCACCAGAGTTGTCTCGCTCTCCGCTTCCGCCGCTCGGCTGCTGAGACGTCGCCTTCCTCGGGTACGGATGCGCCGGCTTCTTCTTAGGCCGCGCCGGCGGAATCTCAAGATTGATATCCGTCGCATAGCTAGACTTGCTTCTCTTGCTCTGCGACGTCGATCGATCCGCTCCACGCTTTCGCGTGCTCCCAGAGCCCTCGCTTCCGCTCGCGACGATCTGCTCCTTTTGTAGCTTGGCGAAAAATTTCTGCGCGTGCGACCGAATTTGCACCGCACTCTTCGTCCCAATGTACTCCTCAATCCTTTTCCAAGCGCGTCCGTACTTTTTTAACGACTCTACGAACAACGCGTGCTCCTCGTCGGACCATCGCTCGCGCTTCTTCGTAATGGTGTACGGCTTGCGCGTCTTCACCGCCTTCCCCTCCGTCGTCGTCGGATCGCTCGTGGCGTCGTTCGTCGTCACCGTGGCCTCATCACCGGTATCATTACTCGATGGGGCCTCGCCTTGATCTCCCATCGCGCCCGTACGAATCGATCCGCCGACTCGAGTCGCGCGCGTGCGTCGGCTCAAAAAGCTCAAAAAGCTCCCCCTCCACGGACGCGACCTAGTGCCGACCTAGCTCCTCGGGATCCACGCACGGGCGCGATCTCCCCTCCTCCCCCCGACGACCGCGACGGGACGCCGTGACGCAGCGAAAACGTCCACGCGCGATTCCGTCCACGCGCGCCCGCCCCCGACGTCGCGCGTCCACCACCGCGCGACGCCCCGCTCGACGCCCGCGCGCGCGTCGTGCACGCGGATGAATTCCCCTCTTCGTCTCCCCGCGCCCACGCCGCGCGCCCCGACACGATCGCGCGCTCGACCGACGTCCACGACGCCACGCGCGACGTCCGTCGATTCGCACGCGCGCGCGATCGATCGCGTCGTCGCACGTCGCGCGCTGTCGAGAGGATCCACGCGCGCGCTTTTTCGAGCGCTTTTCGCGCGCGAGCCGCCTTTTCGCGCTTTTTCGCATCAACATATCCTCGAGTCACGACTCAAGAGATCTCCGACGACGGCATCGATCGGCGATCTCGACGAGATCGAGATCGCGGGTCACGTCACGAGTCGTGACCCCTCGGTGGAGTCCCCCCCCCGGCGGTGGAGGCGATTTTTCACGTGATTTTTTCACAGATTCTCGGCGAATCTCTCGCCCGATGCCGCGTGTTGTGTTCGCCGACGACGCAGATCGATTGTCGCGTCACGCACATTCTCCCGACGACGCGTCGTCGCCACCGACGCGCGGTCGCCACCGACGCGCAGTCGTCGCCAATCACGCGCGGTCGCCGATCACGCGCGGTCGCCGATGCCTCGGCCGTGGATGATGACGATGATGATGATGATGATGATGATGTACGCGGCGTGAGAAACAGCGCCATCGCGCGCATCGTGCGACGCGCGTGATCGGTCGCGTCGACGCGTCCATCGCGCGATGGACGCGTCGCCGCGCGCGGCGTGGTCGTGTCTGCGCCCGAGCGCGGTGGACGGTCGGACGGACGACGACGCGGTCGAGCTCGCCATGGCGCGACCGCGGACGCTCTCGCGCGCGGGGACGTACGGGTCGGACGTCGCGCGACGCGCGCTCGGGACGGAGGCGCACGCGCGCGCGCGACGGGACGTTTGGGCGGTGCGTGTGGTGACGCGAGCGCTGGGGAAGGGGGAGGTGGCGGCGACGGAGGCGACGTTGGATGGACTCGGGAGGGAGCTGGAGGCGTGCGCGGCGGCGGCGGTGCTCCCGCGAAGAGGCGACGCGATCGTCGCGACGCTTCGAGCGATTTCGAGGTGCGGACGGGCGTTTGAGCACGCGCTCGTTGACGTCGCGGACGGGCGGGGGGGGAGGGCGTGGGAGGAATTGATCGTGTTGGGGGACGACGAGACGCGCGCGTTGACGATGCGGAATCCAGAGGTGGCGACGGCGTATTTCGAGGCGATGGCATGCGTCTCGGGAGCGGAATTCAGCGCGTCGAGGGTGCTGCGCAAGTACGAGCTACTCGGAAATTTGGAGCGTTCATTTTTAAACGACAATCGCCCCCTCGTGCTCGGTATCATGGAGGTGTTTCAGAGTTTAGCGTCGAGCGCGTCGAGCGACGTGGCGGCGTGCGTGCAGCGAAGCAAAGCGCTTCAAAACTTCATCTCCACAGGTTTTATCACCATGTCCGAGCGGCATGACGACGACGCGAGTGATGAGACAATGACGAAACGATTTTTCGCCTTCGTACTCGCGATGTTGCGCTCGAAAAATGAGCGCTTCGGTGCGATGGCATTTAAAGGGGTCGAGGAGGCTGCGACCCCGGTTGTGTCGCGCTTGTGCCTCGCGCGAGCGGGTTTGGACGCGAACGCGCTGTACATTTATCGAGAGATCGCGCTGCAGACGGCGGAGTAATAGTTAGAATAGCTGTGTTATTAGACACTTCTTAGATACACTTGTACTCATCCGAGGTCAGCGTGACGTTTGTGTCTCTGCCAAAAATTGCAAGCGTAGCTTCGACGGAGCCGTCGTCGTTTTCGGAGACGATGAACCCCTTGAACCCCTTAAACGGACCGTCGTGAACTTCGATTCGATCGTAAGTTGCCGCGCCGACTTCACTCGAAGACGTTGGACGTAAATCATCGCCGTCGTTTTCATCTCGCTCTTGCCTTCCGGCGCGCGCGACTTCTTGTACCTCGACGCGCGCTTCATCCGCCTTGACTTGTTCGTCCGTCTTCACGACAGGTACGCACTTTCTGATCATGCGAGGAATTTGGTCGTCCATGGACAGCGGCTGATTGAGTTTCTCGTAGCTCTTCTTGCCGAAGCGTGAGCTTCCGCCCGTGGCAAAGCCTCGAACGGACCACAAGTCGTTAAACGCGTCAGTTAGCGTCTGCGTCAGCGTGCACCGAACCAAAACGTATCCGGGTTGGATCATCTCCGCCATGTCTTCTTCACCAACCATCTGACACAGCTCGAGCTCGCTCTTGCCCTCGGCGTCCTCCTCGGTGAGATAAAAATTGTCTCGCGGCACGCGCGGCACCCAGGCGACGAGCGGCTCGCGCTGCTCCCGCGTCAACTTTGTCCCATTCAGCGCCAGGATCATCTCCCTCGCCCGCTCCTCGCGATTTTCCGCCGTTTCAAGCATGAACCATCCCTCCCTTCCCGCACCGCTCTCCGACATCGCTCGCTGAACCACGAATTCGCGTCGCGCCTCGCTCGCCCCGCGCTCCTTCATCGCCTCCACCGCCCGCGTCGTCTCCACGACCGACCCTCCACCCCGTCGCCCCCCTCCCGCGTCCGCGTACCCCCGCCGCTCTCGTCGTTCCATCCGTCGTTCCTCCGCCGCGCGTCGCGCCGCGTCCTCCATCGCTCGTTCCGCCGCCGCCTCCCGCGTCCACTCCGCCCTCGGCGTCGCCCCCGCGTCCGCCCACGCGCGCGCCTTCTCCAGCAACGCCACGAGCGACGTCTTTCGCCCCGACGTCGGGAGGTCAAACGCGCGCAGTTCCTCTCGCATCTCACGCGCCGTCATGTCTTCCACCCGCGGTCGTCCGTCGTCGTCGTCGTCGTCGTCGTCGAGCGCTCGAGCTCGAGCTCGACCGCGCGGCGGCGGCGTGTTTCTCAACCGTCTCTCGCGCGCGCGCCGCCCTCGGGGCGCTCCCGCGGACGTCCACGCGCGCGCGACGGTCGCGCTCGACATCGCGCGCGTCGTCGTCGCGTCGTCGTCGCGTCGCGCGCGGCCCGAGGGCGACGCGCGGCCGTCGTGGTGGCCGGTTATATATACAACGTGTGTTATGGGTATGAAAAGAGACACACATGGGGTTCGTGTGCGTGATGTATGAAGACGCCCGCGCCACGCATCGCGCGCGACGCCCGAGACGCGCGCGCGCGCCGCGAGCGATGCCGCGCGCGGACGACGACGACGCGCGTGACGAGGCGTCGAGGCGCGTCGTCGACGCGCGCGCCCGGGGCGCGGGATCGCCGTCGAGGACGCACGGAGCGAGGCACGATTGGAGCCCGATGTACGATCGACGCGACGCCGCGCCGCGGAGCGTGAGCGCGCGGGCGACGCCGCACGGCGATCGATCGACCGTGGATGTGCGCCCGCGAGGCGACGTCGCGCCGAATCGGTTGAACTTTGACGACGACGCGGTGCGAGGGGCGTTGGATCGCTTGGCGTTTCACGGGGCGGTGACGCAGGTGGCGGACGCGTTCGGAGAGGTGATACACGACGCGACGGAGGAGGCGAGCTCGTACGTGAGTAAGGCGCAGGAGACGCTGATTAAATTTCAAGCGGCGCAGCACGCGGCGCAGTGGAATCCGATCGAGAGTGGGTTGACGATGCGGCCGACGTACGTCAAGGTGCCGGTGTCGACGATCGAACAAATCAAGTTTTGGGAGAGCGAAGACGTGCGAGCGATGAAGATGACGCACTTGCAGGAGAAACAGACGATATTGGCGGAAAATGCGGGCATGCGGGCGCTCTTGGGGGAGGAGGCGAGCGAGGTGGTGCAGGAGTTGCGGGAGACGGAGGACGGCGTGAACAGAGCGCTGCTCCTGGCGGCGGTGGAGGAGATCACAAATTTGAAGACGCGCGTATCGGTCCTCGAGGGTGAGGCGGCGAAACAGAAAGTGAGCGCGAGTGGATACGCTGGATTCTTCGGCGGTGGCGGCGCGAACAGCGTGGACCAAGCGCAGATGCAAAAGCTCACGCGGGAGTTGGCGCGTCTCGAGGAGAACAACTCGCGGATGACGTGGATGCTCGGCGAGAAAGAAAAGCAAATTAAGGAAGTACGGGCCAAGTACACCGAGAGCGCGGCGTACGCACTCCAAGAGAAGCTCCAGGAGTGCATGGAGGCGTTGGAGGTGGCATCGAATCTCCAAGGTGAGCAGTTACAATACCTCGAGCAGCACGCGTTGGCCAAGCTCGAGGCGCTGGACGATCAAATTTGTGACACTCAATTGTTGGCGGAGAGCAAGAGCGAGCATCTGGCGCAGCTTCGGGCGATTATGCGACGTTACTTCGTCGACGGCGACGAAAAAGCGGTCGAGGTTCTCACGTCTCTGAGTGGATTTTCCGCCAAGGAAGGCAAGGAGCTCGTGCAGGCACGAAATTCGCGAACCATCGGTGGTTTCTTGAGCATGGTGGCCACGAAGCTTTCTCCAGCGGTCTCCGCCGCGTCCTCGATGATAGTCGCGTGCGCACCCCCAACATCGAGCGTGGCGACCACGGACGCGGCTCTGAAGACGTTGGGCGTCGAGGATGACGACGACGAAGCCAAGAAGAGTGAGATGGATGACAAACCGACAACTCCGCCGACCGAGGACGCGAAGAAGGACGAGGGCGACGGCGTGGACAAGGAAGAAGTTTCGACGAACGACGCCCCAGCAGCGGCGCCAGCGGCGGCGCCACCACCTACGACGAAACCGACGGAGCCCGAGCGTCGTCGACCCACTCGCGCGTCGAAGAAGAAATCGACGACGTTTGCCGGTTTCGACGATCCCACGCTCCTCGAGAAGAAGCAAGCCGAGCGCGCAAAGTCGCGTCAACCCCTCCCCCAACCCAAGCTCGTCGGCAAAGCCGCCGAGCGCGAGCGCGCAAAGCGTGCGATGACGCAATCGACCGACGGATTCGCCGGTTTCGGCGACGACCCGGACGCTTCGTCGGACGACGATTAATTATTACATTCACAGACGTTGAATACGAATCGCAGTGTAGAAGACACCTAAGCGCTCTCTTTCGCCGCCTCTCCCTCGCTCTCTTTCGCCGCCTCTCCCTCGCCCTCACCAGTCCCCTCCGTCTCCTCCTCCCCCCCCGTCATCGGTCCGTAATACTCCGGATCGAGCAACATGCAGTCCCGCAGCGCGCTCGTCGTCTCGAAACACGTCTCCACGAAATCCTCCCCACGCGCCTTCGCCTCGTCCACGCACGCCTCCCACCGCACGAACGCGTCTCGACACGACCCACCCTTCATGTATTTACAGAATCCGCACTCGCTCTCCTCCTCCGCGTCGCTCGTCGTCGTCGTCGTCGTCGTCGTCGTCGTCGTCGTCGTCGTCTCGTCTTTGCCCTCGCCCGCGACCGTCGCGCCGTCTTCCCCGTCCACCGCCTCGCCCGCGCGCGCCGCCATCGCGCGCGTCGAGCAAAGCGTCGCGAGCGCCCGCGCGCCGTCCGCGACCGCGCGCGCGCGTCGGTCGATGCGGGCGATCGCGCGCGCGATGGCCCACGGGCGTCATTCGATCGCGCCATGCCGAGCGACGCCCACGCCGCGCTCGCCGCGCTGGACCCGAACGCGGCGCCCGCGGACGTCGTCGCCGCGCTCGACGCGCTCGCGGCGTCGATCGAGCGCGCGACGAACGAGGACGTGAACGCGCTGGCGGAGGAGACGCGACGGCGGATCGATGAATTTCTGGACGCGCGAGAGAATTCGAACGACGCCGTCGACGCGGCGCTGTGCGCGACGAGCGAACGCGTGGGGACGCGACGGATGGAGTTCTTGTCGGCGGCGCTGACGTGGACGTCAGGGATGGCGACGACGAGCGCGTCGGGGCGTGCGCGGCGCGTCGCGTGCGCGGCGACGGGCGCGTTGATTCGAGAGGCGACGATCGTGAGCGCGGTGAAAGGGAACGCGCAGCGGGTGGTGAAGGCGGTGCGGGAGGCGTGGGCGAGTGCGCGCGCGGCGATGGAGGTCCTGAGCGAGGGCGCGTGTGATTCGAGTTCGGACGAGGGGACGCGCGTGGCGAGGGTGAAGGCGACGGAGCGGGCGATCCTGACGCTCGCGGGCGAGGGGTGGGGATCGGGCGTGGTTAAACCGGGACATAAGACGTTAAACCTGGAAGACATGATGGTAGACGCCGTGGGGTTGTGTGAGAGGCTTCAAGAGGCGTTGAAGGAGTTGAGTGAGGGAGCGAACCCGGCGCGTCCGCTCGCGCTCGTGCTCGTCGGCGCGCTCGGGAATCTGAGCGTGAAGAAGGCTGAGCTCGCGGTCGGGTGCACGCCCGCGATCGTGTCCTACGCCAAGGCGCACGTCGCGCGTGAGAAGGCTGAGATCGAGGCGAATCAGCGATCGGCATCGTCCACGGCGAGTGTTAGTAAAGAATTGAAGAATGTCTTGCTCGACGTGTTGCGAAACGGTCCGAGGCAGGCGGTCGAGGGTGGGATGATGAATGAAATCTCCACAATTTGCCGCGAACTCGGCGGGGGGGAGGCGGTGGATAGCGCGCTTCGTCACCGCGAGCGCACGGCGCAGGCGGGTGGCGCGGAGCGGTCGAGCTTTTTGACCCCCGCCGGCGGTTTCAAGCGAGCCCGTCTGCGCGAGCGCGAGCAAGTCGTTCCGCCTCCTCCGCCGCCGATCGTCATCGCTCCCATGACCGAGCCGGGGATCTTGCATCAGATTTTAGCCACGCTCGCAGCTTTGGTGGCGAGCAATAATCGTCCGACGCTGGATGCCTTTGTCACGCAACTCGCGCCGCCGGCGCTCGCGGATGCCATTCTCGCTAACCTACAGCACCTGCCTCCGGCGAGTCAGTACTATCTCGCCGGTCGCGGCGCGAACGCGCCCAGAGGGCCTCCACCGCCGCCGCCAATCTCCACCATGGTCACCGTGCCGGAACCTCCGGAGGAACCTGCCGAGCCGCTGTCACTCGTGGTCAAGGTTCATGCGCTCGACGCCGAAGTCGCCGAGGCGTTTAGACTGGAGGCTATTCAGCGTATGCTCGCCGTGGGGAGCGTCGCCGAGGATTTCGGTGGCGCTGAGAAGATGGCGCTCGCCGGTCCACTCCGCAGCTCACTTCTAGCTCGACTCGCCGCGTCCGGAGCTGCTAAGTCGTCGGGGGCGAGTTTAGAAGAGGAGACGATGGCCATCGCCTCCGCGCTCCTATTCACCGCCGACGGTGGTGGCGTGTACGAGACTGAAGGGGTTAACATGCTCATGAAGTGGTTGACGACGCTGTACGCGCAAGAGATCGCTTTCGAGTTCAGCTACGTGCCGTACGATCAAGCGATTTCGGCCGCCATCGAGTGTCTGACTCGTGGTGTGGCGGGCGCGACGTCCACTACGGCCATGGCGAGCGGGGCGAAGAAGCCACTATCACAGTTATTGTGCGACGTTCCGTCGCTCCCGGGCGCGGTCTGGCACGCGATTCGAGTGATGTGTAGATTAGAGGAAGGCGACGACAAGTTCCCGAGGACGGATGAAACGACGGTGCTCGTGCTCAGTGTGCTCCAAGACATCATTTTGGAACGCCCGCCGGCTCGAGATGACGCCTTGGAGGTGTGTTTGGCGTGCGCGATGCACGAGGACGAATCGGTGAGAGGTAGGGCGATTCGTCTCATCGCGAACCGTTTGTATCCAGTCAAGTATCTCACCGAACGCATCGAGGCATACGCCACGGCTGGTCTTGAGCGCGGTCGGGAGTCGGGCGAGCGCGCGCTCGAAGAAGCTCTCGAGAACATTCAACGCGAAAAAGATGCGAAAGAGGCCAAGGAGCAAGAGAAGGAAAACGAAACGGAAGAGAAAATGGAGCTGGATGAAGAAACGCAAGCTGTGGGTGAAAAGGAAGAGCAAGAGGAGGAGAAGATTGATCACCTTGCGAGGGCGTGCGACGTCGCCGTTGGGCCGATGTTGCTGTACTGCGCTCTCTGCGCCAGAAATCTCAAACTGCTGAATGGATTGTTCAAGGCGTACGCTTCGCTCAAGTCTGAGCTGCAAGGTGCCATGCACCGTCACGTGAACGAGTTAGTGCGCGCCTGTGGGCCCAACTGTCTGGAGTTGTGCGACATCATAGCTGCTCCTCCGGAGGGCTCGCTCACACTGGCGGTCGAGTGTCTCAACACACTCGCCTCCATTGCGGGAGTCCCGGCGCCGCCAGCGCTTCTCAACGCCGCAGAATCACTCAGCGAGTCTCGCGGTGGCGATGTCAAGTATCTCGCACCGCTCGTATGCTCGTTCGACGAAGAGCGCGTGCGCAACTTGCTCCCACAGTTTATGCACGCGTCAAGTGACGTCTTTGCTTCGGTTTTGGACACCATCCTTTCCGTTCCGGAGGAAGAAGCGCTGCTCAGTCCGGTCGAATTATTCATTGCCGTGCACGAGGTCCAGGTCGGTCAAGACGGTGTCACGCTCAAGCAGCTCGTTGACGCGTGCACGGTGTGTTTTGATCGCCCCGACGTGTTCACGCCGCAAGTGCTCGCCACGGCGCTCCAGCAGATGGTGGAGTTCACACCGCTGCCGCTGCTCTTCATGCGCACCGTCATCCAGGCCGAGACGATCGCACCACAGCTTAAGGAGTTCACCCTCGGCCTGCTGCGCACGCTCATGAATCGCCAAGTGTGGAAGATGGACCAAAAGATTTGGGAAGGCTTCCTTCGATGTTTGAAGCGCGCCGCGCCGCAATCCTTCCCGCTCATGATTGAGCTCCCAGCGCCCGTGTTCGGCGAGGTCATGGAAAAATTCCCCGCCCTCGTGCCCAGTCTCAAGTCTCTCGCGAGCAAGACCCAGGTTCCCAAGGCTATCTCCGCCCTCCTGAGCGAGCTCTAGAACGATTGGTTGTAGTCTGACGAAGAGACCAACCCTAAGTCGAATTCTCACTTCTCGCCTCGCGCGCCCGCTCGACATGGCGTCCGCGGCCGACCGATTGAACATATCCTCCCAGCTCGAACACCTTCAGAGTCGACACGTCGGCACCGGACACGCCGACGCGACGCGACACGAGTGGGCGGTGAACATTCATCGAGACTCGTACGCGTCCTACGTCGGACATCACGCGATGGCGTCGTACTTCGCCGTCGCGAACGGTGAGAGCGTGGGTCGGACGAAGTATGAGTTCACGCAGAAGATGTTACTTCCGTGTGGACTCCCGCCGGAGCTCGAGGAGGAGTAGGGGGGGTGCGGGCGAACGCGGATCGCGAGCGGAGGAGACATAAGTTTACGCGGCGCGCGGTGTATTGTAATAGAGATGTTTGGATTAGGCGCGGTGTGATGGTAAAACCGTTAAATTCATATTGCATTCGACGCGTTTTGCTCGATGACGAAAAAGGGAGATGTTGATCGCGCTCAGTACGCCGGCTGGAAAGACGTCGCGGGCGCCGTCGCGGGCGCGGCTGGCGGCGCGTAGGACGTCGGTCGGAAGCTCGCCGTGGACGGTTGGAACTTGGAGACGGGAGGTTGCAGCGGTACGTGTCGCTGGCGCTTGCAGCAGAGAAGGACGACGTTCAAGATGAGACTCGCCATGGCAAAGACGAACGCAACGGCGGCGAGGGCGATGGAACGCTTGTCAGCCGCGTCGTCGTTCTCCTTGTGGCCCGCGCTCTCCTCGGTCAGCTTTGCGACACTAGCCTCGAGTTGGGCGATATCCTTGGTCACGAGTCCGAGCGCATAATCGACGTACGCTTGGCGTCGTTTGCTGAAAGTTCTCGGATTGTTCATCGTGTTGGCGGTATCCGTGCTCGTGCCATCAGCTTCGAGGAATTGCCACGCAGTACCCGACGTCATGGTGGCAGCTAAGAAGCTTCTGGCCGAGGTAACGACCGAGGATGGGAGCGGCTCGAACATGAAGTCCCTCGTTTTCTTCTGCACTTCATCACTCAGAATGAACTCGGCGAAAGCGCGCGCGAGCATCTCGGTATCCGCATCGGAATAGGTCTTTTTGAGGTGGATGTAAGTGAATAGAGTGATGGGCCACGCCTTGTCGCCGGCTTTATGGTGGAGATTGATTCCAGACCAGTCTCCGGCATAGTCCGTCGAGGACGAGCCCGTCACTTTCGGGTAAGTCACAGTTTCGGCAGCCTTCGTGATGTCGGCGGTGATGCGACCGGCGGGGTTACCCGTCTTGGTCACGACCCACTGGCCGTCAGCGTTCTGCATCGCGATTTCCGAGAGGTCATCCTTGTGGCCGTGACCTGAGTCGATGTAACCGAGAGAATACGGAGTCTCGCCAATCTTGATGCGCATGGTATCAGAACCGGTGACGGCGTAGGCGACGTCGTACACCGAAGAGTGCGCCTGTACAGTAGTGGTACTGGGAAAAGAGCTCGCGGAGTACGGAGCCGGCCAGCCCGTCGGGCACGCGGTCGTAGACACTTCGTTCATGTAACCCTTGACGCCGTGCGTCGAGGACGAGCCGTTGCTTCGGTACACGAGCTTGATCTTTTCCGCCGGCAGAGTCAAGTCGGGGTTATCCGCTTGAATATCCCCGTGATTCCACGTCGTGATTTCACCTTTATAAATCTTAATGATCGTACAGGCAGAGAGCTTGAGAGCGCCGGTGGCGATGCCCGGAACGTTGTGGAACAACGACACGCCGCCGATTTGGAAAGGGATTTGGTAGATTTCTTTACCCGACGCTCCCGGCGCGAGGCCGTAATCGGTGCTCGCGAAATCAGCGGTATCGGCAAAGTTGTCCGTGATATCGTTCTCACCGACCCCAGAGCCGACCGATCGATACGTCATTCGCACGTCCGACTTCGAGCGCTCCTCCAGCAGATCCATCGCCCACCAGAACAGCTTCGACGGGTTCGTCGTGCCCGATCCGTGGAGCTGAAACCGTTCGAGCCCCGTCGACGTGTACTGCTTGGACTCCGCCGCGAGAGCGCCCGAGGTCATGACGCCCGCGAGCGTCGCGAGGGCGAGTCCCCTCATCGCCCGCCGCCGCATCGAGTGCGTCGTCGTCGTCCTCGTCGTCGTCGTCTTCTCCATCGTCATCGTCTCTTCGTCTCGTCCCGCGTCGTCGTCGGTCGCGTCTCGATGCGCGTGATGTCAGTCTCACCGGTGCACGCGGCGCTGATATCTCCCCGCGACGGCGTCGTCGTCGCCACGATCGATGATCGTCGCGATCGCGCCGCCGCCGCCGCCGTCGCCGTCGCGGGCGATCGACGGGATCGCACATAGCGTTCCCGGCGCGTTGACTACGACGCGCGCGTGGACGTAAAACACATGACGTCACGCCCGCCGTCGCCGTCGCGGGCGATTCGACGGGATCACACACGGCGTTCCCGGAGCGTTGACTACGAGACGCACGCGCGCGCGAGGTGCGGTGCCCTAAACCCTACGACCCACACCGCGCCCCCGCGTTGCCCCCACATGTGTCTCGAGTCTCGAGTCATCACTCGCCGAACGGTTTCCGCCCTCGACGCGCCCGCACCGTCGCCCTCGCGGGTCGACGCCTCACCGCGCCGCGCCCGCGCGCGCGATGCCGTCCGCGGCGACGGCGGCGTTGGCCGCGAGCTCGCCCGCGCGCGCGTTCGCGATCGCCCTCGCGAGCGGGGTCGCGCACGCGTGCGCGGGACCCGATCACGTCGCCGCGGTCGTCGCGCTCGCGGCGCGGACGCGACGACGGGCGATCGCAGACGGTGACGACGGTGGCGCGGTGGGCGTGGCGCGACGGTGCGCGATCGAGGGCGCGCGATGGGGGGTGGGACACGCGATGGGGCTGGGTGGGGTCACCGGGGTGTTTTACGCGCTCGGACGGGCGATGGACGTGGAGACGGCGGCGTTGGCGAGCGATTACGTCGTCGGCGGGGCGATGTGCGCGTTGGGCGTCGCGAGCGCGTCCGGGGGGTGGAAGATGGTTATGAAACGGCGAAAGGAGCGCGAACACGTCGAGGACGGCGAGGTGGAGGGCGCTGGGGAGGTTGAGACGCACGCGCGAGACGGGGATGAGACGTCCGTGCGAGTGGCGGCTGGGAGCGAGGCGCACGAGGAGGCGCACGCGCTCGGTGTGTCGCACGTGCACGTGCGAGAGGTTGACGTTGAGAGTGATGACGTCGTGCTCGAGCGCGCGTCGCTGTGGAAGCGCGTTCGACGTTTTGGGAGAGATAAGACGGCGCCGGCGTACGCGGTTGGATTCTTGCACGGCGTGTCGGGATTATCGGGGGTGATTTACGTTCTTCCGGCGGTTTTTCTCACCGACGAGACGCGCGTGTCGCTCTACTTGTTCGGTTTCTTCGTCTCGAGCGTCATAGCCATGACGTTGTTCGCGGCGGTGCTCGGAGCGCTTCCGCACAGCGTGAAGATGGCGATTTGGATGTCCCTCGTCGGCGGCGCGCTCGTCTTCGGAGTCGGGCTAATGTGGATCATACTCACGGCGCAGGGTAAGCTCGATTTGTGAGTTGCTAACCTACCTGTCCCTTATAATAATACAATTGTTGTAGTACGTTGTTCATCGATTGAGTTGCCGAAATCGCGCGTTGAAGCCAGAATACGAGACGTTCGACGAGGTTCGGCGATGCTCCTTGGGCGCCGTCATTCGGACCCCACTCGGCGTTTGTCCGGTCATTGCGGCGAGTCTCGTGATGCATAAATCGCGACATCGCTCCAACGTCGACCTAGACGTTGACTTGTCGATGTCCGTTCGAACTTGAAGCACGGTTGCGACGGCATCCAAGCCGGCGTCAGGCCAATTCGAGAGAAGTCGACCATACTCACTCACAAAGTCATCGGCTGTTTCTGCGCAGATGAGGCCGCGAAGGTTGTTCAGTCTCGCAATTCTCCCGAGCGCCTTATTCCGTGACATTCGTAGCGCCATGGATTCCATGAGCGCCCGTTCGTCTTCCTCGAGTCTCGCCACGGTGTGTGAAGCGACAGTCGTCGCCTGCTTCGTGAAGAGAATGAACAAAAGTTCAATAAGCTGTTCGAACAGGGTTTCCGTAACCGATTCCGCGACTTCGGGTGATAGCCACGTTTCGGTATCGTCCAAGTAATCCTCCACCGTCGCGAGAAACGTCGTCATCGACTCGCCGGTTGCCCACAGACTGTCCGCGCCTCCTCGATAAAACGTGTTCATGACTTCGTTCAAGCCTGGATCGTCTAGCACTCGACGCGAGATCATTCTCCGAGCCTCGGCGTGAACGGTGTTGAATACCTTGGTGACGTGTTCGAACTCATCGGACATGACGTTATCTTTACCGCCCAGCGCTTCCGAAATCATCTTCAACACGCGAGCGCTCAGCGTCTGGCAGCGCCTCGAGTCGTTCACGCCAGCCACGATCGTCTCGAATGGAACCTCTCGGTGTTCGTGAAACGCAGGGCCGTGTGCTCCTCTCGATGGCGTCCTCGCTGGAACCGGCGCGATTTTCACTCCCAAGCGCTCGGCGACGGTTGCCGCGTACTTGACAATCAAATTGCCCGTCACTCTGCCGCACTGCCTCACAAACACATGCGACTGCGTCTCGGTGGCGACGCTCATTTGCTCCGTGATGAGACGAAAAAACTCCAAATCGCTGGACGTCCAAAGCTTACCATGGCCGTCCGGTTTCGGTGGCCTGCTCTTCGCGACTTGGTAGAGATTCGCCGTCCATTCGGTGACCGTCGAGCGCATGCGCTCGCAGTACGTGTCAATCAACGTCGACAAGCCGACGGGAAACGGAAGCGGCGGACTCGTGGACTCGGTATTATCCTCATCGTTCTCAAATGACTCGTTCGGTCGCTCATCCGTGGTCTCAATGTCCAAACCGAGCGACTGAATGGCGACGAAGTAGTGCTCTGACCATTTCACCGCAGCCACCATGTCGCCGTTCGACGTGTTCGGACTTTCACTCAGCCTGACGAGCAAATCGCACACTCCGGCGTGAAACGTGGGTGCTACGACGATTTCAAACACGCGCCACTCAGGCGGAAATGCAGGAATGGTGTAATCGTACATCTCGGCAAGCGACACGAGACTCTCATCAAGCGCTTCCAAAACTTGTTCGATGCTCTGTTTGTCGTCGAGACCGCTGAAACCTTCGGCGATGAGAGCTAGCTTGGCCTCGACCGCGTTCGATACCTCGGCGAACACTCTCGTCTTCCATCTCTTTGGCTCCGGCGGCGGCGCGTTCGTCGCTCTGTTCGTCACCGGATCAAACTCTGGCTCGAACGTCTCTGCGTCTCGCTCAAATTCAGCGTCGAGCACCTCCTGCTCCGCGACGACGCGAAGGGCACGAACTAACCCCTCAGCACCGGACTCCCCGGTGAGAATACCCTGACGTACGCCGTTCCAGAGCGTCGCCTCGAACGTCGCCCGCGCCTGGTCCACGCGCTCGAACTCCTCGTCGTCGAACACGCCTCTCGCGCGCCCCCCCGTGCGCTCTAGCGCCATCCGCACCGTCCGCAGATCCATCTCCAGCGTCGTCAGCGTCATCCAAGCCTCGTACAGCGTCGTCTCATCCCGCTCCAACGTCGCGATCGCCGCCTCCGCTCGCTCCGCCGGTTCGCTCGCCTCTCGCGCCTCGCGCACTATTCGCTCCGTCGCGCTCATCCCATCCCCCCTCCCACCGTCGCGTCCTCTCGAGCTCCCGAGCGCCGCCTCCAGTTCTCCAAGCGTCGCTCGCGCGGTCGACGTCGTCTCTCCGAGCGCGCGCGCGGCGGCGGTGCCGTCGTCGATTATTTTCAACCGCTCGCGCACCGCCTCCATCCCCATCGCGCGCGCCGTCGTCGTCGACATCGCGCGATGCGCGCGCGGGCGTCCTCCCGCGCGCGTTCGCGCCCGCGCCCTGCGCCTCGGTCGAGCCCCGCGTCGCGCGCTGTCGCCGCGGGGCGTCGATGACGCCGTCGTGCGCCATCGAGCCGTTCGAGCCTGGCGCATCCGCACACGCGCGCGCGCGCGTCGGCGTCCATCGATCGCGCTTCGGTGGCGTCGGGACGGTGCGCACGCGCTTCGGTGGCGTCGTCGCGGTGGAACGGCGCGAGCGCGGCGGCGAGAGACGAGCGAGCGGTTGATTACGCGACGTGCACATGCATCGCGCGTCCTCGTCCGCGTCGACGAGCGACGGGCGATGGACGCGCGCGGGCGCGGGGCGTCGATCGCGGACGTTGTTTCCGTGCGGTGCTCGATTGGACGGCGTGCGGTGCGTCTTGCGGAGACGGTCGGGGACGACGACGCGGGACGTCAGGCTGGACGTCGAGGCGGTCGGGGACGACGACGGACCGCGGTGGATCGGAGAGGGCGCGGACGACGATGGATCGCGGGACGTCGGTGAGAGCGATGCGGTGAACGACGCGGGGGCGGTTGGGACGCCGGGATCGGAGACGACGGCGCGAGAGGTGAGCGCGGAGTCCGAACGCGACGGCGCGGCGGAGCGATCGACGCGGGCGGGGAGCTCGAGGTCGAACTCGAGCGACGAAGTGAATGGATCGGCGAAGATGATCGTCGACGATGGTGCTCGGGTGGACGTGAGCGTGGATGAGGGCAGTGGCGTGAGTGGGACGGTGCGATTGCGTCGCAAGTCGGAGCCCGAGCCGACGTACGTCACGGCTGGCGGGACGGTGCGGAAGAAAGTCGATCCAAGTCGTGGGCTGGGTCCGAGGCGGTCGTACGCGCGAGAGGCCTTGCTCAAGGCTCGTCGGAACGCTGCGGATGCGATTGATAATCTGCGCACTAATCGGCTTGAGGTGAGCGCGAGCGCGAAGGATGGCATCAGCGAAGAGGCGAGAATCGCTGGCGAAGCGGTCGCCTTGGCGAAGGTCACCGCCGAGGCTTTGCGAGGGACGGGGCCAATCACGATGGAGGAGTGGAGCGCTGCGATGTCCACCGCATTATCGGCGGTCTGGCGAGAGCTGTGGTATCGCTGGAGCCAAAAATTGAAACAGTCGGTGAAGTGGGCGTTGGCGCTCACAGCCGTGATGTCCGCAGTGTTTCATTACATCGTCGGCCCAGCCGTCGTGAGTCCTAGACTGCCGTACATCGGCGAGATGGCGAGTTCGGTAGTCGGTCGCCCGGTGCGCGTCGGTCGGTGTAAGAGTTTGTCCTTCATGGGCGCTCTGGGGTTTGGGAAATTCCTCGAGGTTGGTCCGGTGGTTTTGGGTCCGTCGGAGACGGAGAAGAGCATAGTCGAGGTGGATTCAGTGAAGATTTCTTACGATGTCCTGCGCTCGATTTTGAGACGCAAGCTAGTCACTGAGGTGAACCTAGAGGGCGTTAACGCGTCGCTTCGACAGGGTGAGAATAACTCATGGTTCGGCTATCCCGAGGATACAAATCCGTTAAGCTCCAGGCCGACGTTACAGCTCGGATCGATTTCAAAGGCGGGCGTTAAAAAGCAGCAGAGCTTTGCACCCTCGGTAGAATTGAGAGTCGTTCGTCTCGATCGTGGGAACGCCAAGCTGAACTTACAAGGCGACCCAGAGCCGCGCAAATTGAGAAACGTGCAAGGCAAGGCGGTGATAAGTTCCGCCGGTAGAGTCGAAATGGATCTGGTGATGATACCGGAGACCAGGCAAACGCCTCCAACAAAACGACCAACGACCATGCTTGCCAAAAATCCAGTCAGGCACTTGCGGAAAGAGCAGACCCCTGCAGAGGTTAGATCGCTAGAGACAGAAGTGCTACGAGGAACGAACGGCGGGCAGATTCGTGCGTTTGCAACTTACACGCCAGCGCAACAGCGTGGCAGCCGGGCCAGGCAGGGATATGCCGAATTGAAGGTTCGGGCGCAACTCAACAACACTAGCGCAGCGTTTCTTGAGCGCGTGATACCGAATGTTCCAATCGACATTCGAGGCGGTCGTTTGGACGGAGAGGTACGCTTGACGAGCAACAGCAAGTCAACGTGGAGTTTCCCTGATTTTGGTGGTCAGTTGAAGGGGAAAAATCTCTGGTTTCACTTTTTTGACTCGACGGATGACTTCGCCGACACCGACGTCGATTTAGTCTTTGAGGGTAAACGAATGTACATGCATGGGGGCGAGGGATACTTTGGACACGTTCCGTTGACGGTGACTGGAGATCTCGATTTGAATTCCGCTGACGGCGAGTACCGCCTGAGTGCTCAAGTGAGCCCGGTTGAGGTACATGATTTGCGAGAAACTTTGGGAGTTCGCCCGATTCCTCGACCATTGGCCGGGAGTGTCAAAGGTTTCTTGTATTGTTCGGGTCCGCTGGAGGCGCCCGTATTCACAGGTCGAGCTGAGACCACGGTTCCAACGACAGGCAATTTGAACAAAGAAAAGCCAGGAACGGAGATGGCTTGGTCTGAGGATGCGGTTAAGGCTGCCCAAAGTCAAGGTGCGGTTGCGGCGTACGATCGTGTTCCGTTCAAATCGGCGAACGCAGTCTTTACGGCGGACATTAAGAAAGGAATATTTTCTTTACACAGTGCGGAAGCAATTCCAGTTGACGGAGGTAAACTTCGCGCTTCTGGTCGCATTTCAACCAAGCCAGACGCATTGCATGACCCTGAGGCGCTGGACGTGGAAGGTACGGGCGCGGATCTAGATGTTCTGAAACTTGCCAAACGACTCGTCTCACCCGGCACCGAAGAACCGCCCTGGCTCCATCGACTGTGTCCATCTTCACCGGTGAGTGTCTCGGGTACTTTTGTCGGCGCTCTCTCAGAGCCTGTTCTTAGCGCGAATTGGACGGTTGAAGAAGAGGAATACAAAGGTCATTTGATGATGACGAGGGAGGGCGTGACGACAAATCTCGAGACTCCTGTTCTTGAAATGAAAGCGTCCGTCGCGACACAGTTTGCTCCTTTAGAAGTGCAACTGAAAGCGACGAGTGTTGAGGAGGCGATTGCGTTAGGTAAGCCAAAGGTCACGGATGCCGAGGCTGACTTCAAGCTCAACGGCGCGGATGTTGCGACTTGGTTGATAGCTGAGGATGCGACCGACGCACCAGACCGTGTTCGCCTTCGCCTCGGAGGCCGCACACGACTGAAGGGTAAGTTTACTCAGCCGCGGAACGAAGACGACGAAGAAATTGTGGGTATGCTTCCGTCGTTCACCGGGCAACTTCAGTTGGATAATCTTCGAGTGAACAAGCTGGAGTTTGCCCCCAAAATGACCGGCAAGTTGAAGGCGTCCGAATCTGGACTCCAGTTGCATGCGAAGAGCAGATCCGATGAGTACCTGGAAACTTCCATCGACAACAACGGTAAAGCCAGCGTCAGCATCCGTCGCAATAATCTTAAACTTTCGGGTGCCGTCGATGATTTCGCTGGAAGCTTGGAAGTTGCTGGACTCATGCTCGATGATTTAGAAATCGCTTCTCTGCGCGGAAAAGTTGAAGCCGCTACTGCCAAAATTGACTTGCGCGATCGTACGGGTACCGGCATGCTTTCTCTGAAGCAACCACGTGTGAGCGGTATCTCTGGTGAATCGCTGAAAGCGAACGTTAGTTGGAAAGATCGTATCGTGAGTCTCGAGCGCGCGACGTTAAAGCAGTTGAAGTCAAAGTATCAAGCTGATGGCGACTACGCACTTCCCGACGAGGTTTGGAACGCGTTGCCAAGCAAGCGCGTTCCAGTCGAGGAAGAAAGCCCCATCGTTGAAGATATTGTTCCGGTCACGGATTCTATGACGACGCCCACTGCGACGCAACAACCGGAATTTGCGGCACAAACGCGAGACATTGAAGTGGATGCGGAGGAACCTCCGGTGCAAACCGACGCCGTCGAGAGCAAATTCTTCAAACGACTTCGTCGACCCACGATGATTGATAAATTCACGCAGGGGACAATTATGAAGATCAAGCGTCTCATTTCAAAACAGCCTCCTAAGGTTGAAACGGAGCTAACATCGAACGTCCAGACAAGAGCTGGAACGAGACAAGTTGAATTGCAGCAAACTGTTGAGTCTATCGAGGAACAAAGACTCGAAAAATCGCAACCTGCAGATGATAGAGTGGAACAAGTTACGTATACCGTCGACGACGAAACGACGCTTGTCGACAATGATAGGAATACATCGGTTGATGCGGATGACCAACAAGACGCACCAACGACTGATGCCCCCGCCGATACGGTTCAAGAAGCAGCTGAAGAAGAAGCGATGGAGACCTCCAAAGATGTCTTGTCTGCTGAAATCGCCGCGATAGTTCAAGGAATCGACGATGAAAAAGTCAAGACAACAGCTGCGGGGAAAGCATTTAAATCTGTGTTCCGCACGGCTCGAAACGTCGTCACGTCAAACAGATTGAAGGAAAAGGAGGCACCGGAAGAGAAACCGCGCATTGGATTGGAATCGTACGAAAAGGAGTTCGCTGCAGCCACTTCTGGTGCGTGGCGATTCCGACTCGCGGTGCCGCAAGCGGACATCGAAGAAATGCTTCCAGTCGTACGAGTTCTCACGGATCTTCGCAAGGGAGCGACTTTGGAGGAATACGGCAGGGCGAAACAAGCTTTTCTGGCTGGCGTGGAAAACATGGGGTACGCCTTTGTGGATTTGGCACGGCAAGTTGATGAAGTATCGGCGGAAACTAAGGGCGACATCGAGGGAGTAGACAATATTCCCATCGATGCTTTGGCGACAAAAGAGTCGGTAAAACAACTACCTGGCTTGCAAGACTTAAAAGGGGAATGGCACGGCATGATTCAAGCCACGGGAGGTCACCAAGAGGTGCTTGATTCGCAACCAACAGAGACTGTTCTCTTTGACGTCGCTGGTAGCGATTGGCAGTGGGGGCAGTATAAGGTCTCGCGAGTCGACGCACAGGGCGAGGCCAATTCGAAAGAAGGGTTGAAATTGAAAAACTTGGAAGTGTCTTCAGATGCGGCGAGTCTGTCCGTTTCGGGTGCCATAGGCGGTCCCAAGCAAGATGCAACGTTCGCCGTCAGAGATTTCCCAGCGCCACTGCTCGGCGCATTTGTGGGACCGATGCTTCCGGAGCAAGCTGTCGCCGATTTCCCTCCGGTGAGCGGCGACTTACTTGTCCAGGGTCATCTTGCCGGCTCTGTTACTGCACCGGAAGGCGAGTTCCTCATGCGTCTCCGTGACGGCAAGATCGGCAACGTCAAGCTGAAGACGGCTGAGCTTAACGCCGAACTAAATGACGCAAGGCGTGCTGAGTTCGAGGGTGAAGCCATGCCCGCCCAGGGCACCGGTGTCTTCCGAATCGCCGGCGCAGTCCCGCTTCCTGAGGCCACCGATCAGTCTTTGGCTGTCGATTGGCGCGTGCGAGAGCAAGGCGTCACCCTGCTAACTGCGTTTGTTCCACAGATCGCGGAATGGCAGAGCGGCGCTGCCGATTTATCCTTACACGTCAGAGGCACTCCGACCGCGCCGGTGTATGACGGCGTGATGGAGATCCGAAAGGCACGCGTGTTATCGCCGTTGCTCGCGCGTCCGATTTACCCGGCGAACGCGACTGTTCGTATCCAGCGTAACACGTTGTACGTGGATGACGTCGAGGCGAGGAGTGGTAAGGGCGTTCTGCGAATGAAGGGAGCGATGCCCATACTCAAGCCCTCCCGTCCAGCGGGTGGTGAAACTTGGGAAGGTCTCGTCGCTCGAGCCGACACCCAAGGGGGCGTCAAGGTCTCGATGGACGGACTCGACATGCGAGTCAGGAACGTGTACAGCGGACAGCTGAACGCAAACATGGTCGCTAAGGGAACTGTCTTGGCGCCCGAACTCAGTGGGGACGTTCGCTTTTCTAGAGGTACGGCACTCGTACAGCAGCAAGCACCCGTCGAAGGCGCACTGAACCAGGAAAGTGACAAGAGAGGAGTGCTCGCTGGGATTTTAGAACGAGCTGCTCGTGCAAATGACCCGAATCACCGGGATGGTTATTCTTCCGATTTGGAAAACGAATTCATGAGCGAGAAAAATCTCGAGAAGCTGCAAAACTTCCGTTTACGAGGTCTTCAGATCAATGTTGGTCCCGAGATTTCGGTGGTGTACCCTTTCGTCATGAATTTTGGTGTGAGCGGTGAAATCACGCTCGACGGCGCTGTCGACGCAAACGCCATCAAGCCGAACGGCTCGCTTTATTTCGATAGAGGTGACGTCAACTTGGTCGCCACGCAAGTCAGACTCGACCGAGACCATCCGAACAGGGTCGTATTCTCTCCGGACAAAGGTTTAGATCCGTTCGTCGACATGGCTTTCCTCGGCACGGATCTTCGAGCACTTATCCAAGGTCCGGCGTCACGATGGACGGACAGCCTGACGCTCACCTCTTCAGCGCAGGTCACTCCGAGTGAGGGTGACACGATTTCACCGAGCGAAGCGGCGCGGATTTTCGAGAGTCAGCTCGTCGAGTCCTTGCTCGAGCATGACGGCACCATCGCCTTCAGTAACTTGGCGTCTTCAACATTGGCGTCTCTCATGCCAAAGATAGAAGCGGGCGGTAACGTCGGGAGAGCTCGATGGCGATTGACCGCCGCACCGTCGCTGCCCGGTCTTCTGTCTCTCGACCCAGATTTGGATCCATTCAGTAGCACTGGCTCTTTCACGCTCGGTTCTGAAGCCGAAATTTCCTTTGGTGATTCACTTCAAGCGACGCTTAGCCGCAACCTCGATGCGGAAGAGATGCGCACCGAATTGTCGCTCGTTTATAAGCTCACAAAGAAATTACGGATGCAGTTGAAGAGTCTCTCGGCGTCCGCCACGCGAGTCATGTTTGAATTCAGTACGAAAGATTAGGTAGTACCCATACCAGACACAGACAAAGTTGTAAAATTACATTTGCGCATTCAAGCACTTGAGGATACGCACGCTTCGCGCACGCGCTTATCGCTCGTCCAGAAACTTCCCTCAGTCAACGCGCCGCGCGAGCCAAACATTTGCGGACACTCCGATGACGTCGGCTCGCGACTAACCGCGAGCACGACGCCGCGCGCTGCTTTCGACGGAGCCTGCATCAAACCCGATGCTTTCCCAAAGAAGCGATACAGCACTTGAAGCGTCTTTGGCCAATGTCGAACTAGACGCGTATCGATGAGCCCTGGGTCTAACAGTACCGCTGAAACGCGACCGCCAAACTCTTTTTGCCAGATTCTATGTTTCTCAACCGCGTACGCGCTGATCGCCACCTTGCTCCACATGTAATTGAGCGTCGGGTCGTCTTCGCTCGACGTGCCGGATTTCAGCCACCTCTCAAACGCCTCGAACCCGAGTGCTCGCGCCGTGGAGCACCGATGCACGAACGACCCAACGAATACGACGCGAATCGGCGACGCCCTCGACGCACTCGTCATTTCCTGCACTAATCTGTCCGTCAAGAGCGCGACGTTGTGAAAATTCACCGTCGCCGTCAGGCTCCTCCCCTCGACGTCGCCCTCATCGGCGAACACCGCCGCGCAGTGCACGACCACGCGCACGTCCACCCCTCGCCTTCGAAGCTCTACCAATGAAATCCCTCCAACGTCTCGCTCGCTCGCCAGATCCAAAGGTCCAACCAACTCGACGCGCGTCTCCGGCGCCTCGCGTCGACACGCGCGCGCGAACGCGTGCGCCTCGCTCACGCCACCCAATCGATACGGCACCGCGATCGCGTATCCCTCACGCGCGAGCGCCAACGCCGACGCCCGTCCGAGTCCCGAGCTCCACCCCGTGACGAGCGCGCCGACCGCGAGCTCCGCGTCGTCATCCGCGTCCGCCGCGCGTCGCGTCAACCACCGCGCCGGCCCTCGTCCCACCCCTTTCCCACGCGCCCCACCCCTTTTCGCGCGCACCATCGTCACCACCAACGTCACCGCCCAATCGACGAGCGTGCGCACCGCGCGCGGGCGCCACCGCGTCGTCGTCGCGCCGTTCGTCCGCGCACCCATCGTCGACGCGTTCGCCGTCCTCGCGCACCGTCGCACGCGCGTCTCCACCCCGCGCGATCGATCGATCGCGTGCGCGAGCGCGAGCGAGCGCGCGTCGAGCGCGAGCGACGCGCGCGCGCTCGGCATGGCGTCGACGCGATGTCGCGATTGATGTGACGTCGTCATTCCATCGCGTCGGCGTCCACGCGCGCGGGCGACGCGTGATGCACCGCGCGTTGGCGTCCACGCGCGCGCTCGCGTCGGGCGCGCGCGGACGATGGCGCGCGACGTCCGCGGGCGCGCGCGCGCGGCGCACGGGGAGTCGAATGGACGACGCGAAGCCCTCGGTGATGGATGGATTTCGCGCGCGCGCGCGCGCGTCGACGCTCGCGCGGGCGTCGACGGACGGCGCGGCGGACGGTCCCGGTGACGTGAACGCGGGGGCGGGGCGGCGGAAGCGCGTGCTGAGCGGGGTGCAACCCACCGGGTCGATCCATTTGGGGAATTATTTCGGCGCGATTCGAAACTACGTGAAACTGCAGGAAGAGTACGACGCGTTTTACTGCGTCGTGGACTTGCACGCGATCACGAATGGGGAGGTGGAGCCGGCGGTGCTGGAGCGGTCGACGCGCACGAGCGCGGCGATTTATTTAGCGGCTGGGGTGGACGCGTCAAAGGCGAGCGTCTTCGTGCAGAGTCACGTCCCGGCGCACAGCGAACTGTGTTGGTTGTTGAACTGCGCGGCGCCGATCGGGTGGTTGGAGAAGATGATTCAGTTTAAGGAAAAGGCGCGAAAGGCTGGTGAGGACGTGAGCGTCGGGTTGTTGGATTATCCAGTTCTCATGGCGGCGGATATCTTGCTCTACAAGGCGGACCTCGTGCCCGTGGGAGAGGATCAGAGGCAACACTTGGAGCTCACGCGCGATCTCGCGGGACGCGTGAACGGGTTGTACGGGGGGAAGAAGTGGAAGAAGAGGAAGGGGAAGGCTCCGAGCGGGCGCTCGCGCGGTGGGGACGTGCTCTTGGTGCCGGAGGCGTTCACTCCGAAGGAGGGCGGACGCGTGATGTCTCTCACCGACGGCGCGTCGAAGATGAGCAAGTCAAATCCGGCGGAGGGATCCAGGATCAACGTGTTGGATACCCCGGATGAGATCGCGAAGAAGATTAAGCGGTGCAAGACGGACGCGTTCGAGGGATTGGAGTTTGGAAACCCCGAGCGACCTGAGGCAAACAATTTGTTGACGATGTATCAACTGTGCACCGGTAAGACGCGCGAGGAAGTCTTGGCCGACTGCGGCTCGATGCGATGGGGCGACTTCAAGCCCGTGCTCACCGACGCTGTGATTGAACACTTGTCGCCGATTCAAACGCGTTACAACGAAATCATGGACGAACCCGGATACCTCGACGGCGTGCTCAAGGAGGGCGCGGACAAGGCGAACGAAGTCGCGAACACGACTCTTCGCGACGTCCGCGATGCGATGGGATTCGTTCAGTTTTAAGAGCTCGCGCCTATTTATGAAATGAAACATTGTTGTCAATTGAACTATCGCACTATAGCGAAGACTTAGAGTTCCTCGCGTCGCGGCTCTGGCGTGTCTTCTTCGATGTCTTCTTCTTCGATGTCGCCGACCTCGGCGAGAATGTCATCCAAGCTCGGAATCGTCACGTTCGCCGTCGCGTTCGCGCCTTCCGCCGTCGCGTTGTTGACGACATCGTCCACCGTCGCGTTCGTGTCCATCGTCACGTTCGCCGTCGCGTTCGCCGTCGCGTTCGCCGTCGCGTTAGCCCCTCCGAGACTCTTTGGTCCATCCTTGAGGTTGAACAAGTCGAGGATGGAATCGTGTGCCCTGTTCAGGTTCGCCACCGCGCCTCCGGTCTCCGGCGCGACGCTGTACAATCCGTACACCACGGCGCCACCGATGGTCAAGAATCCAACTCGCTGCAACGGCCCGATCTTCTTCGCTCTCTTATCGAACGCGAAGAGCGGCTTGAAGATCTCGTTGATCGGGATCTCGTCGTCGGTGAGATTCGGCAAGAGCCAAAAGTGCTCCCCGGTGAAGATCCACACCGCGATGAACACCGCTAATCGCACCGTGAACGTCACCCCGAACGTCCCCAAGATCGCCAGACACACGTACAGGATTAACTTTTTGAACCAAATCGGCGACAGCGGAAACAGGCACATGGCGACGACGAAGAGCGCGAACAACCCGCTCATCAACACCCCCGTCCAGCTCATCGGCGGCGTGTACGTCCACGCGTAGAACGCATCCTGCACGAACGTCTGATCCCGCGTTCGCTCCAGATAATGCGGAAATTTCACCAACTTCACCCGTCCCTTGCGCGCGCGCTTGATCTCTCGTTCGCACCGAATGAGATACCCTCGCTGCAACAACGCCTGTCCAACGTGCCGCGCCCGCGCCTCGTTCGCCCGCGTCGCGTACGCCGGGTCATTCTCCATCGTCTCGCGCTCCTTCTTATCGTTCACCGGCGCGTGTTCATCCAACAGATCGCGTCGAACGTCGATGATCCATCGATAGAAATCTTTCCCTCGAATGAAATCCACGCGATTATCTCCCAGTCTCGCGCTCCTCGCCTCCGGTCCGTCCTTGGCGCTCCGCACGACGTACGCCAGGTGATCGATCTCGGCGTCTCGGCGCTCCCGTCGCGCCCCCGCGGTGGCGTCGGTCGTCATGCGCGTCGAGGCGTCACACACTGACGCGACACCGACGCCCGTCGTCATGACGGTCGACGCCGACGCGCTCGCCCACGCCCTGGACGCGCTCGAGGACGCGGCGTGCGCGAGCGAAGACATTCGCGCGGTGGACGTCGAGCGCGTGCGCGCGGCGCTGACGGCGAGCGAGGCGGCGACGATGGGACGCGAGACGCGAGAGGCGCTGGAAAAGTGCGCGCGCGCGATCGCGTCGCGACGCGCGGCGATGCGCGCGAACGGGGACGACGCGGACGCGATCGATGCGGTGTTGAAGGCGCTGCGATTCGGGGGAGGGGTTGAGGCGGTGGACGCGATGCGGGCGTGCGCGACGCGCGCGCACTGCGCGGCGCTGGCGCGGACGCGGGCGAGGCGGAACGAAGAGGAAACACCCGCGGAAGGGCCGCGGGAGGTCGTGCGCGCGAGAGAAGAGGAGGCGATGGAGTTGAATGAGGTGAGTGAACGCGCGGTGCGCGCGTTGGAGCGGTTGGCGGTGGGACTGAAGACGTCCGGAGACGCGGAACCGACGGAGGTTTTGGAGGCGGCGGCGGCGCGCGCGCGGGCGACGCTGGAGACGCTACCGAAGAATCATACCGAGCGCGTGTTAGATTCGTCTAAGTGGACGAATGCGCAGCGAGAGATGATCGAACGCGTGGAGAGGGCGCTGCATGATGAGTACAAGGCGCGAAGGCGTATGGTGCGCACGCGCGCAGAGGTGACGACGACGTCCTTCTGTTACAGCCCGAGATTGAACGCGCTCAAGGATGTTCGAGAAGATTTCGCGCGACGCGTCATCGAAGAGCTTCACGTGGCGCCGCAGGTGACGATGGACGACGTGTGCGACGCGCGCTACGCGGATTTGGCGATGGCTGGAATAAAGGTAACCGCCGGAAACGAAGGCTTGCAGAGCGCGGTGAAAAAGGTAATGATGGGGTCGGTTCCCGATCGCGGTGGTCGCACCGACGGAAACGATCGCGTTACTGCGAACATGCCCTCTTTCGTGGAACGCAAAGAAGCTCCAGCCGGTGGAGGCGGCCGAGGCAGTGGAGGAGGTGGAGGACAGAAGACACAGAAGAAGAAGGGAGCCGTTCGTTGGTAGTTTTGTACGAGTTTCTAGTTTCGTTTTCATCGCCAAATTAGTTATTACAATCCTTGGTAGAGCCTACACGCCGCGACTGATTCACGACTGATTCTTTAACGCCTCGGTGACGGCTTCCAATGCCTCGCCTACATAGTTCAAGTTCGTCGTCATGAGACGAGTCACCGCGAGCTGTGCCGCTTGCGGAGGGACCATCTCGACGTTGATGAGCGAAATGTTAGCTCCGCGCGTGGGCCACTCAAAGGGAACGTCCAAGACAGCGACAGCGCCGTTCGGAAGCGCGGCTCGGACGAGCGACTCACCGGAACTCCATCTGAGCGCAGTGCGCGCCGCCGCAGCGGCGAGCGCCTCGGCGCGCTGAGCCGTCGCCGCGATTCGTAAGCGGATTTCCGCGAGCGCTCGCGCGAGAACAGGCATGCCCGCGGCCTCTTCAATAATGTCCAGGATCGGCGTGTCCGAAGGCTCGAGCGTGGCCCCGGCGAGACGTGCGCTATCCTTCACCAAGTGTAAAGTAACCGTGTGCGTGGTCGAGCTCGGTCCACGCGGGGTTGAGCCCTCCATAGCGAACTCCGGAGTCGACGGCAAATGAGTGTGAATCTTGAGCACGAGAGCGTTCTCCTCGATGGCCAAAATTTCCACACCCTGCAGCGTCACCAACAACTTCGTTTGCTCTCGCACTGCCTCCTGTGCCTCGGCGATTTGGGCAGACATCTGCGCCTCTCTCGCGGCCGCCTTTGAAATGCCGATCAAATACTTAGCCTGGGCGTTGATTTGCTCAATGGCGCTCTCGTCTGGCGCGAGTTGCTCCTTCAGCTTGCTCGCCGCCATTTGATTCTCACTCAAACGCACGTTCACCTCGCGAAGTTCCACGTCCAGCGATTCGAGCTCGCGTTGTAACTCGTCCTTGGACTTCTCTCGGTCCGCCGCTGTCACGGAAGCGTCGCCTGCCTGCGCCTCCCACGCCGCCGTCGCCGCCTCCGCCTCCAACGTCTCCAGCTCCTCGACAACCTCCGTGAGCGCTCTGTGCTCGACGCGAAACGTCTCGTACTCATCCCCAAGCGCCGCGATCTGGCGCTCCATTTCCTCAACTCTTCGTTCGTTCTCGCTCGTCAAACTTTTCAAACGCTGCTGCAAAGCCTTGAACCCTTCGCTCTCCGTCGGCGCATCCTTCGGCAACTGACGAGACTCCAACACCGCCTTCAAAAACGCCTGCTCCGTCGACAGCTCGATCGTCCCAAACTTCAGGCGCTTGATGTGCGCCTTTATCAGCTCCAGATCCCCATCGCTATTCCCGAGCGCCTTCTCTCGCGCCTGCGACAAAATCTTCGCGAATGACTCCTCCGTCTGATTCAACTCCTTCAGCGCCGCGCGGAATCCAACCCCACTCGGCGCATCCCGCAGCGTCTGCATCGCCTCAGACTTCGCGAACACCCCCGGAGAGTGCACCGAGATGTCCTCGAACCGCAGCTGCAGCGGCGCGATCGTCGTGAGCGATTCGCTCGCCGGTCGCTCATCCACCATTTTCAAATCCTCTCACGGACACGATTCACCCTCCCGCGCGCGCTCTCTCGCGTCGATCCACCGCGAACCCCGGGGACGGGGGCAACGTACACGCGCGCGTGCGTCCGCGGCGCCGCGCCTCGACCGTCGCGCGCGCGGCGACGCGTCGTCGACGTGTGCGTCGCGTCGCGAGCTGTCGTTCCCCTCCACCGGGTGGACACCTAAACCCTAAACCCTACGCGTGTCGTGTGTCCACATATCACCCGTGTGTCACATATGTACACACAGAGTTATGTGTCATACACTACGACACGGTCGCCCGCGCGAGTCAACGCGCGCGGTCAACGCGCGGACGTCCGTCGCGCGCGCGACGCCGCACACGGCGACGCGCCGCGGACGTCGGCGCGCGACGGACGTCGGCGCGTGCGACGGCCTCGAGCGATGACGGCGTTCGACGCGTTCCAGGGCGGGGCCTCGGTCGAGCTCTTCGACGCGAAATCGCACGGGGTACCGTCGCGAAACGACGGTTCAGGTCGCCCGCGCGCGCGGTGGAGCGCGAGTCTGCGGTGGCGGGGTGGATGCGCGCGGGCGTACGACGACGCGTCGCGAGGGTACGTCGTGCGCGTGCGCGGGGGGGGAGCGGGGGCGTTGACGAGCGGAGACGGGCGCGAGGGAGGGCTGGGGGCGACGCAGCCGGTGTTGGCGTTGCAGCTGCGCGCGGAGGCTGGGGCGAATTTCTCGTTCGAGGTCGCCGTGCGCGATGGCGCGGACGCGCGACGGCGATTGTTGTTCAGTTCATCGTTTTCTGAGGTGCGGGCGACGCCGCTGCACTGTCAGGTTCCCTTGAGAGATCTCCCGCGCGACGAGTGGGTGAGTCTGTTGCTTCCGCTCGTCGAGCTCGTGCCGGTGTGCTTCGCGAGCGAGAGCGTGACGTACAAGTCCATCGATTCCATCGCGATCAGGGGGGAGTGTTGGATACGAAAGGTGTTCACCCTGCGCGGGGACACGCAGTCGCAGTTGCGGACGGATTCGAGAGATGGAGACGGTCCTCATCAAGCGGTGGTGATTCCTCGCGAATGTGATTTCCCACCGGGCGTTCACGCGGCGGCGCACACGGTGATTCCGACGCAAGATCCCGCGATGTACGAAGCGGACGAGGACGAACGTCGAGCACGGACTCGAGAGGTTCGAAAACCGATCAAAGTCGCGTTCGGTCGTCGTGTGCCTTCGTCGACGCCACGGCGCGAGCGAATTCGATTCGCCGCCGCGCCGGCGGAAGCGTTCGACGACGCCGGCGACGCGCGATGGACGCATCTCGATCAAATAATGTCCAACTTGCGAGTTCGAGAAGATACGAACGCGGCGGACGACGGTCAGCGATCGTGCACCGCGTCGTCGCCGTCGGAGTCGTATAGAAGCTCGCAATATTCAGAGGATGAAGCCGCGTTTCGGCCCGAATCTGAGGCTCGAGTCGCATCGCAAACGGAATCCTTCCGGTACGAAGAGCGTCAACGCAGGTATTCCACGGTCGATTTAAGTGATGAGGATATCGAAAATGTCGACGACTACGACGATGACTCGGAAGACGAGCGAGATTACGACGAAACGGACGAGGACATTCGCGACGAAATCGACGTTGATAACTTTGCCGAACGGGACCAGCGCGACGACGACGACAGCTCCGACGATCCGCGAGACGAGCGCGTCGAATTCGTCGACGAAAAATCAAGCGTCAACGAAGATGAATCGGACTCGGACGTCGCATCGCCCGTTCGATCCGTCGATTCACCGCTCTCATCGTAACGTTTTCATATCACATCGCGTCGTCTCCGATCAATACCCGACGCTCACGTTAGCCACGCACACCAAGAAATCATCGTTCGCGTCGCCCTGCTCCGGAATCGCGATCCACGACCGCGTCCGCAACCCCCCATCGTCCACCACCACCGGAAGAACCTCACCGTACGGAAAAGAATCCCGCACCGCGTCTCGGTCCACCGAAGCCCCTCTCGGCACGCCGAGGTGCACGTGTATCTTCATCCCTTCGTACCCCCCCGGAACGATCTCCCGGATCGACGGGATCGAGTTAAACTCAATCGCGTTCCTGCACGCCCGCAGCGCCGCCTTGGTCGCGTCTTGGCCGTGCTGATCCGCGCCGAAACCACACTCGCTGAATAAAACGCTCTCCATCCCATCCGGCGCGTACACTCGCACGCCGTCGTCGTACTCGATCGTCGGACGATTCGACGACGACGACGACGACGACGACATCCGCGTCCGCGCGCGTCGAGCGACGACGCGCGCGCGCAGACGCGCGCACGACCGAGCGAGCATGGAATCTTTCAGAGGTCGTTAGCGCGCGACGCGCAATGGGCGCCGAACACTCCACCGCGCCCGCGTCGTCGTCCTCGACCGAGCGCACGGTGGGTCGAGCGGCGATGGCGGCGGCGGCGAGCGCGTCGCGCGCGCGCGTCGTCCGACGAGGGGACGCGGGCGTGGACGATGCGCACGTCGTGGACTCGACGGAGGACGCGCTCGAACGCGTACGATGGGCTCGCGCGCGCGCGGGCGCGCTGGACGATGGATTTCTTCGACCCGCACCGAGCGCGCGGGGGGAGGGGGCGGAGACGGTGAACGACGAGGCGTTGGCGAGAGCGCTGCAGGCGGAGGAAGACGCGGCGGCGGAACGCGCGGATAACGGATCCGCGGTCGGGACGGCGTCGGGGGGGGAGGGTGACGCGAACGCGTGCGCTGGGTGCGGATGCGGCTTCAGTGGGTTGGAGTTGGCGCTGGGAGGGACCGTGGGCGCGCTCGGACGGCGGTGGCACGCGAAGTGCTTGCGATGCGACGACTGCGGCGAAGCGCTGTCCGGGAGGTTCGGTGGTGAGTTTTGCGTCGCGGGTAAGCCGGGAGGACGGCGACAGGTGTATCACAAGAGATGCTATCAGCAGCGGCATCGTCCGAGATGCGACGTGTGCGCGGAGTTTATCGCCGCGAGCGCCGACGGCTACATTCACTTTGAGACGACGCCGTATTGGGGAGAGATGACGTGCACGAGGCACGCCACGGATGGCACGCCTCGATGCGATGGGTGCCGACGGTACGAAAAGCGTGGAATCGAGAACGAGTACGTTACACTCCCGGACGATCGAAAGCTGTGCATGCACTGCGTGCAAACCGTCGTCGTGGATACACAAGACGCGGAGCCGCTGTACCGAGATGTCTTGGACTTTTTTAGCGAGCTCGGTCTCAGTGCCTTGGGACCGGGCGCGGCAGAGTTACCACCATTGTACATGTGCACGCAAGACGTCATCAATCACGTCGACGAAGAGGAGGCGTGGCATCGCGGGCGCACTTCGCAAGTCCGAGGCATGTGTGTCTCGCACGTTGAAACTATCAGCACCGTCTACAGGCAACCGACGTGGCGACAGGCCAACACCGGATCGATTTTCGACCTATTGGGGCACCTCGACGTGGTCGAACACCGAATTCCGCGATCGACGTCACAAAAGGTGACGGCAATTTTAGTCCTGAGCTGTCTTCCACGAATGTTAGCAGGCTCCATCTTGGCGCACGAGTGCATGCACATGTACCTCCGTCTAAATGGATATCCCCATTTGGAACCGGTCGTCGAGGAAGGATTGTGCCAACTTTTCGCCCTGCTATGGGTCGAGCGCCAAACCATCGCACCCGGCTCTTCATCCGACGACGCCGCGTTCGGCGCCTACGTCGCCAGTCAAATCAGAGAGGATCCGTCCGACGTCTACGGCGTCGGCGCTCGCCGCGCCATCGCCGCCAACGAATCCCACGGCCTTCGTGAGGTTTTATCCACCGTAAAACGCACGGGAACGTTCCCAGTTAGCCAACCATAGCGCTGTCATCGACGACAGATTCGCGCGTTCCGCCGGCGCGATCCGCGCCTCAACCCTGTCGCGACTTGCAAAAACCATTCACCGCAGATCGCGACCGCAGTGCGCACTCGCGCCCGTACGCGCGGCCCTGATGTCCACCGACGTGAACGCCCTGAGCGATGCCCTCGCGAACGCGTCCGTGGCCCCGATGTTCGCGACGCCGGAGCCGTTAAAGGGCGCCGCCGTGGTGTATCACAAAGACCTCGACGGCGCCGACATCGCGCGGACGCTCGCGAAAGTGTGCGGCGTATCGCTCACGTCGATGATGTGGAAGAAGTACAACGGTACGGTGAAGACGTCGCCCGCGTTGGAGTCCGGGGAGGGCGAGAGCGCGAGCGGGGCGCAAGGGATTTTGGATTGGGTCGCGGAGAAGGCGCGGGACGGAAACCGAGCGACGACGCACCCGGCGGGGAGTGATCCGGCGATGGTGGACGCTTGGACGACATTTGAGAGGGAGGAGTTGAGAGAACCGGCGTTCACGACGAGCGGGATGCTCGGAGGGGCGATCGCGATGGACGAGGGAAAGTTTGGGGAGGCGCTGGAGGCGCTGAAGCGAGCGTGCGCCAAGGTGAACGCGCGCCTGGGCGAGGCGAAGTTCTTGGGTGGGGACGCGCCGAGCATGGCGGACGTGGTCGTCGCGGCGACTTTGTATCCGGCGTTTGCGAAATCGCTCGATCCTGAGGCGCGGGACGCGATGCCGAACGTTGTGCGGCTCATGACGCAGATGGCGGCGCACGAGGATGTGAAGTCCGTCTTGGGGAAGCTTCGCATGTGCGACATGATTCGTATGCCCAAGTCGAAGGCGCCCAAGGCGTCGACGGAAAAGAAGGAGGGTGAAAAGAAGAAGACGAACGAAGCTAAGGGGGATAAGAAAAAGGAGACGGGTCTCGGTTTGTCCACGAAGCGCGACGAAGATTTTGGGGCGTGGTACTCGCAAGTCGTCGTTGCTGGTGATCTCATCGATTACTACGACATTTCTGGGTGCTACATCCTTAAGCCGTGGGCGTACGCGCAGTGGGAGGTCTTGAAGGAGTTCTTTGATAAGGAAATCAAGGCGTTGGACGTGGAGAACTGCTACTTCCCGATGTTCGTGTCCGCGAGTCGGTTGGAGAAAGAAAAGGATCACATTGAAGACTTTGCTCCCGAAGTCGCCTGGGTCACTCGAAGCGGCGAAACCGACCTCGAGGTTCCAATCGCGGTTCGCCCGACGTCGGAGACGGTCATGTACCCACACTACGCGCAATGGATTCGCTCTCATCGAGATCTGCCGTTGCGCCTAAACCAGTGGTGCAACGTCGTTCGTTGGGAATTCAAGCACCCTACTCCATTCATTCGCTCGCGCGAGTTCTTGTGGCAGGAGGGCCACACCGCGTATGCCACGAAGGAAGAGTGCGACGTCGAAGTTTTTCAAATCCTTGATCTCTACCGTCGAGTCTACGAAGAGTACTTGGCAGTTCCGGTTGTTCCGGGAAAGAAATCTGAAAAGGAGAAATTCGCCGGCGGTCTGTACACCACCACAGTAGAAGCGTACGTCCCGGGTTCTGGTCGAGGTGTGCAGGGTGCCACGTCGCACTGCCTGGGTCAAAACTTTTCGAAGATGTTCAACATCGAGTTCGAAGACACGAAGGGAGGAAAATCGTTGGCTTGGCAAAACTCGTGGGGTTTCACGACGCGAACTTTGGGAGTATGCTACATGGTACACGGTGACGATGACGGCTTGGTCCTTCCGCCCAAGGTCGCCCCTATCCAAGCCATCGTGATTCCGATCCCCAATAGCAAGCTCTCCGAAGACGAGAAGAAGAAGATGACTGGTACGTGTTGCACAATTTCTCGTAACGATTTCTCGCGCTCGCACCGACTTTCTTACCTGTGACTTCGCTCTTTTTGTTGTGAGCATTGTTGCCTTATAAAGGGTCGGAGATTAATTTACAGGGCGCCTTTACCAATATCTGGTCGAAACCTTCGGGTCATGGCTAAGTTATAATGGCTTGGTGTCCACATTCATGTTCTTGAGTGGATGAATCAACTCGAGCGACGCGTTACTGACCTCGCATTTTTACACTTCCCACAGACATCGCCGATGGCATGACCAAGGCTCTTAAGGCGGCTGGCGTGCGTTCCAAGTTGGACGCCCGCGACAACTACACGCCGGGCTGGAAGTACAACCACTGGGAGCTCAAGGGTGTGCCATTGCGCGTCGAGATCGGCGCTCGAGACATGGAGAACGGCACATGCATGATTGCCAGGCGTGACAACCGCGAGAAGGAGTCGGTGTCGATCGAAAACCTCCCCAAGCGCGTGCTCGAACTTTGCGAACAAGTTCAAAAGGATATGTTCGAGCGAGCGAAGAAGGCGCGCGATGAGAACATCGTCAAGCTCATGTCCTGGGACGGCTTTGTTGAGGCTCTGGACGCCAAGAAGCTGGTCATGACGCCGTGGTGCAATACAAAAGAGAGCGAGAACCTCGTGAAACAGAAGTCGACCAAAGAATCGGAAGGTGGCGCGGCGAAGACGCTTTGCATTCCATTCGAACAACCGGCGCTCGAACCGGGAACAAAGTGCTTCATCACCGGCGCGCCCGCCGAATGCTGGGTGCTCTGGGGTCGATCGTACTAATAAGCGCGCGTCAGGCGCGAGAGTAATGCTACGTATTCTTATGCTTCTGTGCTGTTACCTAGACGAAACTATCGACCACGATGCGAGACTGGAGGCCCGTTTTCGTTGTAGTCTGACTTCGAGATGTGCTGATTTGTCGAGAAGACAACCTTGGAGACCAGGGCGGCGCCGGTCCAAGGAGCGTGCGACCACGTTGTCTCCGGCATGTAATCCGGAATCGTCGCAAAAATGGGCGCGAGCGAGGGCGGAAGCGCTGACATGAGCTCGTTGAGCAACCTCGCGCTAAAACCGGAAACCTTGCTCGCGACGCCGTGCACGAAAACGCCGTCCAAGACGAGCCGCCGAGCGTCCGGCGGACACTTCTGCACGCTCTCACACAACTCGTCCACGATTGGCATCAACGCCTCGCCGCACTCGTATAGCTCGTTTGTGAGCTTCAGCACGCTCCCATCCGGCATGGTAAACGTCTCCCGCTCGCACTCCACCGTGGCGCACCCGCGCGCGAGCGCCTCGTACTCCTCCCTAGAAGACGCACACTTCCCGAGCGCTCGTCGAATTGCAGTCGCCGTCGCGTCGTCGAGCTCAATCCCTTGCTTCTTCTCGACGCTCGCTTTCAGCGCCGCGTCCATCGCCGCCCCGCCCGCGTCGACCCGCCGCCCCGTCGCCGTCGCCGTCGCACCATCGATCACGCACGCGCACTCCGTCTCACTCTCTCCCACCTCCACCGACACCCCGCTCGTCTTCCCGCACGCGTACAGCGCGCACGCGCACCCGTCCAAATACGCCAACCCGCTCGCGTTAAACTCCTCAAAAAACATCCGCGTCAGCCCCTCCCGCGTCGACGCGCTCGCGTCGTACCGCTCGCACGCGCACGCGTACCCTTCGCTCCCCTCTCCCCATCCCAGATCACCCTCCAGCGTTCGACGCAGGACGCACTCGAGCCCGTCGACGCGCTCGACCCGTCCACGCCGCACCGCCCGCGTCGTCTCCCCTCCCACACCGCGCGCGCGCACGCGCGTCGTTCGCGCCGCGTCCGGCGCGCTCGGCCGGCCGTCGATCGCCCGGCCGCACCGCGCGCGGTCGTCCGCGAAGTCGATCACGGTGATCGGGACATCCATGACGATGCGTCGGCGAATCGCGCGTGACACTTTTCGGCGGTACGGGATGCGGGGCGCCGCGCGCGCGCGCGCGCTCACGCGACGCTGCGCCCGTCGCCCGTGGTCGTCGACGATGATGACGTCGACGTCGACGCGATCGACGGCGAGCGCGGCGTGGACGTGGCGACGACGGGGGCGGTGGATGTGTTTGAATGAACGACATCGAACGCATCGAACGCACGACGGTTGGACGCCGGAAGACGCGCGAACGACGGATCGTGCGCGCGCCGGACGGTTCGTGAGGTGCGCGTCGCGGATGATGTCGTCGGCGGCGGTGTCGGCGACGGAGGAGGAGCGAACGGAACACCTGATCCTGGTGGACGGTTTGAGCTTTGTCTTCAGGGCGTATTACGGATGGAACGCGCGAGGGAACGGAGAAGGTCTGACGAATGCGAGCGGAGAGGACACGTCGGTGCTGTATTCGTACGCGCACACGATATGCTCGCTGTTGGAGATGCGGCCGACGCACCTGGCGGTGTGCATGGACGCCAAGGGGAAGACGTTTAGACACGAGATGTTCGTCGATTACAAGGCGAATCGACCGCCGACTCCGGAGCCGTTGTTGGAGGTGATTCCAAAAGTGGAGCAGCTGGTGCGGGATATGGGGGTGCCGGTTTTGAGGTTGAGTGGGGTGGAGGCGGATGATATCATCGGTACCGTCTCCAGGAGAGCCAGCGATGCGGGGTTCAGGGTGAGCATCTGCTCTCCGGACAAGGATTTTTACCAACTCCTCGGTCCGCGGACTTCGATGTTAAAGCCGAACAAGAGCAACAAGGGCGATCCATTCGTGCCGTTTACCGAAGAAGATTTCCGAGCGATGCACAATCACGTCATCGAACCCGCGCAGTTCATCGATTATTTGGCCCTCGTGGGCGACAGTAGCGACAATATTCCTGGCGTCGAGGGCGTGGGACCCAAAACCGCGTTGGCGCTCTTGGGGGAGTACGGTACCATCGACGCCGCGCTCGCCAACGCGAGCAAAGTCAAGGGAAAGCGCGCTCGAGAGAGTTTACTCAGCGAGAAGGGCGCGGCGAGCGCGGCGTTATCCCGCAAGCTCGTCGAGATTCGTCAAAATTTGACCGTCCCGTCGCTCAACGAGCCCCTGTTGCCGCTCGAGAGTCTCGCGGTGCGCCCGCCGTCCGACGGTGGTGTGGCGGGCACACGCGCGTTCGAACACTACGAGTTGGCTACCGTTTTAGATCGTTGGAAGCGCGTCGCACAGGTCTGATCCGATCGCTTCGACGCCGTTTCCATCCGTGTAACATTACGCAATAGTCTCCCTCTCGTCTTCACACCACACTGAACCCCGAGTGAACACCGCGCATCGCACGCGCGTCCCGCAGAACGCGTCGTCCGGGTCGTCCGCGGTGGACGACGCGCGTGGAGAACGACACCCCAGCGCCCGTCGTTCGATCGACCGCGGTCGTCGTTCGAGCGCGCGTCGTCGTCGTCGAGCGCGCTCGAGCGTCGTCGGGACGAGCGTTTGGTGTTGAGACCGATCATGTCCGACGCCGAGCGCGCGTCGCTCCTGGCGACGTCCGGAGAGACGAGCGCGCGCGCGGGTGAGGGTAGTAGATGGATTGGTAGGCGCTGGCGCGCGGTCGCGGCGGTCGGCGCGACGGTGTTGCTCATCGGAGTGGGCGCGGCGGTGGAAGGCGGAAGACGCGCGCGCGCGGCTCTCGGAGACCCCGTGTCGAGCGACATCGATCGCGAGGTGATCGACGCGCGATTGAAATCGGTGTTTGGAATATCTCTGAAGAATTTCGCGGGGTTGATGCGGGATCAGGAAGAGATGTCGTACGCGGACAGGGAGTTGATTGAGAATAACAAGCGGTACAAGGCGCTGGAGAAGGCGGAAGCCGAGGCGGAGGCGAAGCGTGAGGCGGAGGCCAAGGCCGTGGCTGAGGCGAACGCCAAGGCTGAAGCTCGTGAAAAGTACAAGGAAAAAGTCAGAGCAGAGGCGGAGGCCCGAGCAGAGGCGGAGGCCCGAGCAGAGGCGGAGGCCCAAGCAGAGGCGGAGGCCCAAGCAGAGGCGGAGGCCCAAGCAGAGGCGGACGCTGACGCGGAGGAGACGAAAGCCATGGCTAACGCGGACGTCGAGGCTGAGTTGGCGGCGTCTGAGAAGATTACCGACCAGGCAGTCGCTGGGACGAAGCCGAAATCAAAGGATCATCGAAAAGAGAAGCTCGCCGCGCAAACCGCGGCGAGTGTGAAAACCTCCGCAGCGGCCAAAATGCGGGTTGCGCGAGACGAGGACTCGCGGAACACGCTCGAGGCTGTGGTGGAATCAGAGCGCTCCAGCGAGCAAGCTCAGCACAAGGCGCTCGAAGCGGACACGAACGCGGCGAGGGAGAAATTGAGAGAGAAAATATTGACGCAGGACGTGGCGCTAGAAGTGGCTCCGGCTCCAGTGCGGACTGAGGAGGATGAAGAAAACGCAGAGATCGACCTCGAAATCTCCCTCGGTGCACCGACGAAGACGCGCGAGCGAGAAGCGCGAAGAAGAGATCGCAGACGCAGAGCCCACCTAGGGTCCATTCAGGAATACGACGATGACGACGAGATTAACAATAGATCCCCACCTATATTGCCGGTGTTCTTCCACACTGAAAAGAGCGGTGGTACTTCGTTGGCGCTACACACGCTAGAGCTCTTGAGCTCAGACGACCCAGAGACGCTCGAATTGATCAACAGAGTGCGTACGGAGGATGTCATGCTGGACTCAGAGTTGAGACGTTGCGCCGCGCTGTGCCCAGGAAGTGCGATGTTTTTATCCACTGTCTGGCAGAACGGATCCGTGTGGATACCCGGGCATCCTCGTCCGCTAGAAGATCAGAGCGCTGAAAATTGGAAGAAGTGTCGTGTTTTGACGAGTCACACGGGTCGAGAACTCTTGCTTCGCGCGGAGGAGGCCGAGGAAGAAATCGGCGTTGTGCGGCCAAAGATACTTATGGGATTGTTCCGTGATCCTGCCGAATACGAACAAGCTGCATGGCGAAGCGAACTCTTTATGTACCACGAATTACGAGCGAAACTTGGCTGGGGTAAGTTGGCGGAGACTCCACTCGGTAGTGCTCTCGATCCTGACGACGTGCATGACTTTGGACGAGACAGCAAGTTCGCGAAAATCATGCTCAACGAACATTGCTCCGGGTTAGAAAATAATTTCCAAACGAGAAAACTTCTCGAAGACGATTGGTGGTGGGTGAAAGATAAACGCCACGAAGTATTGCTCGAAATGGCGAAACAACGGGTGATGAAACTCGATTGGATTGGTTTGACGCACCGGTTCGACGAAGGTACTTGCATGCTCGCTTACACCATGCGGCGAAAGCCACTCGCTACAAACTCCACCAACTACGATAGAGGTTCACTTCTCCCGGATACGCTCAGAGCGAATCACCCGCACAGTGGCGATCATCACGAAGGTGAAATCAGTCCGGTCCTGCGGAACCAGCTATACAAGTGCAATGACTTGGACACTGCGGTGTTCAACCTCGCCGAAAATGAGTTCAACTCCAGAAAACAGAAGATGATGGACCGTCTGAATGAACTGGTTCGAGCCGAGAAGGAGTTGAGACCCGTTCGTGGCGCCGGAAACGACCAAGTTCTGGACCCGCGCGTGTTTCTCGAATGCATGGCGGCCGCTGCGAAATCAACTTCCGTGTAGAAACCTCAAGATATTGTAACACACCTGATCACATTCCCGGGGACTGCGGACGCTCACTAATTTCCCACCTTTATCACAATTCAAGCGCTAATACTCGGCAGTGCTATATTAAGAGGCGACATCAACGCGGGAGTCTCGTGCTGCGTCGGCTTGTAGCGCAACAGCATTTGCAACCGCGCCTTCGACGCATCAGAGAGCTGGCCGACGACGCTCCGAAATGGTTCGGGACACACCGCCGCCAACTTCACCAATATTTGTGAGGCAAGCAATCCAACTGTGGCATCGACCACGCTCTCTGGTACGCAATTCGGTGCCGTCACCTCTACTGCGATTGCGAGGAAGATCGCGAGAGGCCTCAAACATTTCGTTTCGTCCTCGTCATCTTTCAACAAAAGAAACACCGCGGCCCACGTTTGCAAACTTTCTGATACGAACTCAAGTGAGCCCTCCACTGGCGCTCGCTCGCTCGCAACGCACGCGTAATACGCTTTGATTAGCCTTCTCGCGCAACCCGCGAAGGAGTGACCATACGACGTCAGAGCGTTGACCAATAAATCGGGTTCTGCGAGTCGTATCGATCGAAGAGCGACCAGTTTATACTTGTCAAAACGTACATCCTCAAGAAACCGATTTACGAGCGCTCCCACACCACGCGCAGCTCGCTTACTCCGTCGGGAAAGCCGCATGCAAACGATGAACAACCTGGAAAATTGGGATTCAGTAGCGATCGGACTCGACATGAGACTGGCACTCAACTCGATCGTATCAACGAGCGCGTTTGGATGTATCTTGTCCGCAGTTTCCAAGTCTTCGATGAGCGCGATGACGTCCTGGCGAACACTTTCATTGGGATGTTCAATCACGACATCGCGCATAACACGTACTTCGCACGACAAAATCCCCACGTCTTGGTGTCGTATAACGTTTTTCGCCGTCCTTATAGCATGCATCACGAGAGGCGTAGAAGACTGACGCGAGTTGTTAAAGCCGCAAATGAGTGCTTTGAAACACAGCTCTCTAATCAGCGAAGTGTTTTCATAATTTTGGCTCGACATGGAACAAGCCGACATGATCGCACTCAAATCGTCGTCCGAGCAACGACCGCTAGGGTTACGAATAGCTGTGATCCATTCGAAGCTCATGAATTCCAAAACGTCATCCGGTACGACTCCAGGAGCACTCGATGCAATTCTCGCGATATTGATGACCAAAGTTTCTTTCGCTTGCACCGCAACCGCTTCATCGCAAACCTTTCCACATAGGATATCGGATGTACCTTGATTCATTTCGCGTGCAATTTTGGTCACGACGCCCCCAAGTCGCTTCGTCATCGCCGCGTCTTCACCGGCGATACCGCTCGTCAGCGCACTCGATACAAGGCGCAGCAACGCAAGGAACGACTCGAGTGATGCATTTTCAGGATCTGTCGCGCGCATGGCCGACAAAAGTTGAGCCTGATACTGCTCTAGAACATACACAGCTCGCGCATCCGCATCGGATAAAGAGTCGGGATCTAAGTCTTTCGCCCAAAGATTCATCAAATTTGAGAACATATCCAATCCAGGTGCGTGAAGTGCCGAAATCGGCGACACACACAATCGATAAGCAATATCAAACGCACGCTGAGCGTGCAGAGATAGCCAGCGATCATCGGAATCAGCTTCGAAGCTCTTGCGAGCTGCTGTCAAAGTCTTATGCCTCTCGTCCTTTCCGAGCATGGTCGGTACGGCAGCCAGTAATTGAGCCGCGTATAACCGCGTACTCAACTTGGGTGCTCCACGTTCAACTTCACTGGCGTGTTCGTCTTCATCAAGACTCGTAAGATCAGTTTCAGCCTCTTCGTCGTCTTGCAAGACGGCCGAACTCACTTCTGGTCGTGTTTTAGTGTTCGAAGTGTATAAGGCTACGTTCGATAGGTGTTGCATCGCGTCAATTGGTTTGCGCTCGCACAAATCCAAAATGAGTAGTTCAACGCATCTTTTGAGCAACGTCCGGGTACTCGGATCACTCTCTCTGTCCAAGACAGTCAGAAGCTCCAAGTCTAACCCCGTTTGGGATCTTGTGACTGAACCATCTCTTTCTAGAAGATGTCGAAGCGTCAACATCACGGCCTCCGTATTAGAAGAATCTATCGACGTCTTGAGCATCAAACGCAGTTTTGCCACCAATCCACGGCCCTTCGGGGTCCTCGGAGTAAACGTCGCGATGTGCTGCAAGAACGTAGTCGACTCCAGTTGAGCTGCGGGATCGTCAATGTCGCACAAAATCTTCATCAGCCCCTCCGAACGCTTGAAAAACAGAGATCCGTGGTCTAAGTCGGGGCCGACGGCCGAAATGGCCGTGTTCACAAGACGTGCTGCGGTGACGCGTGTCATCGGGCCATTTTCCTCCTCAAGCAGGAAAGGTGCGTCAGCTAGAGCAAACGCTAAATTAACGCTATCCTCGGCGTCGCGTACAAAGGTTTGTCCGCTATGTGTGCCGATCACGCATATGCAATGTGAGGACCAAATGTGTGACGCGAAAGCATGATCGACATTCATGCTCATTTGCAACAAATTTGTGACCACCGGCGTACACGCTTGACGAAGTGTCATCGCACTAGCGTTTCGAAACGTTGCAGCAATCGAAAGTGCAATGATGCTACGTATCGGAGAATCATTGGGCGTGCCTAAAGCCTCTTTGGATGACTCGACCAGTTCCCGTAGAAGAGCATCGGGATCTGGATTGAGCACATTTGCATAACCATGAATCTCCGCTATGGCTCGCCAGTGCGTTGTCGAAGCAAAGTGTGTACATTGCATCACGTTTGCGATCTTTTTGAAATCCTTCATCAACTCGGCGTCTCGCGTCTTTGTATGCTCGACCATGTGCTTCACAGCAGCGAGCACGTCGGCGCAAAGAAGAGTCAGCATCGCGTGTCTATTACCAAGCTCCTCCAGCTCGTCGACCTTTGAGCGGCGTCCCTTGAACGGCGATCCGAAAGCGCTTATCGCTCGACTCTGAATTACGTCCAATGCACTTTGCTTCTTGGGCGTGTACACTCCTCTTTCTGACAACTCCCGTCCATCGGCAGCGGTGCCAGCCAAACGATGAGCAGTGTTGAGAAAGTGATACAACACGCTAATTCGTAAATGCGGAGACGCGGAGAAAAGTTTCGATATCTGAACGCCTTCAGCTTGTCTAGTCGAAGCCCTCATTGATCTTGACCTAGGATACACGTGACCCTCCGATAACCCTATCCAAACTCGCGGATGGGGAGAGTCTACTGATCCCTCAAACGTACATAGTTCATCAAAGTTTGCGTCAGCGTGCGACATCCACGGCCCAAGATGCGCATCCTCCGTGCTCAATTGCGATTTAAGGAAGTTTTCGGGCTGAGTCGCATCCGCAAGCGTATTCGACTGAGACGCTCTGTGGCAAAGTGAGACGATTCGTGCGTGTAAATCTGCATAGAACGATGTGTTTTGTACCGAGTTCAACAACTCGAAAACTCTGAACCGGAACAGCGATTTCGCGTGTTGGTCTTCGAGAGAACCTTCACGAGCACTAATGATACGTTCTGTCGCCGTAACAGCAGATAACAATAACGGCGTGAGGCTAGATGACTGACTCTGCTCGCCGATGAGCCAAGCAGACAAAGCTTCTGCGGCGGCAGCTGCTGCATAAATTTCACCAGGTTCGCTCTCCACACCACTTTCGACGACTGCATCGAATGTAGCAGTCAACGCAAATTTGATCGAAACACCACACATTTCTGACGCCACGGCCGCACCTGATCCAACGAGGCACGCTGCGATTACGATCCATCCACCCTCGCGTACGCGCGCACTTCCAGGTCCAGTAGCGCATCGTATACCTAGAGCAGCGGCATCTCGCAAGATGCTCGATGGCAAACCAAAGCTAAACTCTGCACCGATGGACACAAGAGCCGCGATATGAAACGCGAGGCCGCAAGCCAAGATCGAATCTGGCGCGTCAACGGAGGTGACGAATTTGTCAAGTTCAGCCAACGCTTGATAAAGCTGCGATACGAACTTGGTCGGACATGCGAGAGCGAGTGCTCGCAGCGCCAAGGAAGCTTCAGCTTGTACGTGTCGATCCGGATGTCGAAGTAGTTGAAGGACTGAGTGCATCGTAGAAAACCAAAGTTCTTCATCGGCACTACCAATGACTTGAACAGTATCGGTGGTCGCGCGTGCCGAAACGAGCAATCGGAATACGTCTGTTGACGAAAACGCCTCGACCACCGTCGACAGTGTCGCGCGGAGACTCGCCTCGTCCGCTTTCGACAAGCAACCGATTCTAATGACGTAAGTAGCGCACGCGCACGCGTGAGGATTATCATCGAGCTCCTCTGCGAGAAGAGTCTTCACCGTGAATACAGCGATGTCATGCTGTTCGATGTCCTCCTCTCTAACAACTCTGCGATTGAAAGCGGCCCAAGCGCGTGCAACGCCGAGGGACACGCGCTGATCCTTCACCGAGCGCCCACGAATCGACGCCTTGAACGGATCGTACATGAAGGCGCGCACCGCGTACGCAAAATGCGGCTCTGTCGTTCCGTGCGATTCCTCTGCAACCGCGTCGTTCGTCGAGCGTACGCACGACAACGCAACATTCGTGAGCGCGCTTGATGCCACATCACGGACGCGAGCGTCATCATCGGCAAGGAGACTTAATATCCGTTCGGCAACCGCGTTGACATCCACGTCGCCCGCGCTCGTTTCGCTCTGCCTTCCGCGCACAAAGACGAGCGCACCGAGAGCTTCGGCACACGCCGCGCGGACACCCGCGGACGCGTCCGCCTCTAAGCGAACGATCGTCTTGTAAAACGACATCGCGCTCTTCGCGTCGATCCCACCGCCGGCCCGCGCGCACGTCGCCGCGAACAGCCGCAACGCCGCGCGCTTACACCTCGCGTCCTCGTTCGGTTTCGCGATCCCACACGCCGCCTTCGCGTACGACGATCCAGCGCCGACCAACTTCCCACCAAACTCTCGCACCACGCGCGTCAGCGCCTCGAGCGCGCTCGAGCGTTCGAACGCGCTCGCGCTCGATCGCGTCGCCGCGTCCAACAGTTCATTCGCCCGCGACCACATCGAGCCACCCTCTCTCCCCCGATACCGCTCGACCAGCGCCATCGCCGCGCGCGCGCTCGACGCGTTGCCCACCGGCGCGCGCACCGCGCGCACGAGCGCGTCCTCGCATCGTCGCTCGTCGTCCGACGTCGTCAACGACCCATCCGTCGATCGACTCCTCTCCTCGAGCGCTCGAGAGAAATCCTCCACCGCGTCGAGCACTTCGCGCGACCGCGCGCTCGAGGTCGCGTCCGCGCACGCGAGCGCACGCTCGAGCGCGCGCGCGGCGTCGTCCATGACGACGTCGCGCGCGCGCGACGGAGCGCGACGACGCGTGCGGATGATTGGAATTATCGGCACGCCATGCGTCATCTCGGCGTCGACGACACTCGGTGACGCGACTCGACGACGACGACGGCGCGCGACGACGGCGCGCGACGGAGTAAAACGCACGATGTCGGAGCGACAGACGTACGCGGTGGTGGTGAACGAGGACGTCGATGGACAGGGGGTGGATGAGATTCTCGCGCTGTTGCGTCGATTCAACGTCGAGACGCGCGCGCGCGAGGACGCGTCGCCGTTCGTGGAGTGTCACGTCGGGCGAATGGAGAAGCGCGTGAGCGGGACGCATAGTTGGTGGGACGTCGGACGAGCGATGGAGTGGAGGGTGAAGAAGAACGCGGAGGTTGTGTTCGCGACGCAGACGTCGAATCGGGACGCGGGTGCCGCGTTCTTGCACCACGCGGGCTTGAAATGGATCGCCGCGCAGGATCTGGGAAGCGTCGAGCGCGTCAACGGCATCGTGCGGGACGTCAAGGCTGTTCAAATCGATTCGTCTGCAAATGAGTCCGCCAACGTTCCGCACCGAAGAGACGAGTGTCCCGCGCGCGACTTGTTCGATGAAAACGCCGTGCAAGAAGTTTTCAAACGAATCAAAAATTGTCGCGGGCATTGGCGCGACGACGGACGCGGCCAACAACGCGGGACATGCGATAAAAAGAAAAAGGTGCGAAAAACGAACATTCGAGAGAATCGCGAGGGCGTGCGACCGCAAGGAGAACACTCATCGGCTGGGTGCTCGGGGCGATGAGTGAGTTGTGCTTTGTTGTTTACAAATCGGTACGGCGTCGCTCGCTTGGCTTTGGCTAGAGAATTTTCTTTGTACAATCATCCTCGGCGCGCGCGCTTACGCGCCGCCGATCATTTGCTCTTCGTGCGCCCGAAGCAAGCGGACAACCTCCATTTCTTCTTGCGTTCTGAACATGTAATCCAGTTCGTCGTCGTCAATCGCCTCGATGGCCAATTTGTCTTCTCGCTCGATTCGCTCGGCATCCGTCTCTTGAAGCAATGGATCGACGCTTCGTTCGGCCATTGCCTTTGAGAAAATTTCGCCAGCCTCGAACACGCTTTCGTGGTTCTCAGGGTTCAAAGGCTTCATCTCAGTCGAGAGCAAGCGTTCTGGAACGCCCGCAAGCAAGAGCCCGTGGAGCATGACCTCTTGCCAGCCCAAATCCTTGTCCTCGGGAAGACCGAATGGTAAACTCGGCTCCAAATCGACTAATTCTTCCTTCACGGCCGTCTTTGGTTCGATCTTCAACGGCACATACCTCGGTCTGCGCACTCCGCCGCGCGAGTTGGTTCTCCTCCGCGCCTTGTTCGATGGCTCCAGCGGCTTACTCAGGATGATCGGACCCGCAGTCTCTCGACTACCGGTGGCATTTCCCTCCGCATCCACTTCTTGCTTCACAGCGTTCTCGGTCGGTTCCTCACTGTCCTCCTCGTCGTCATCTTCAGTCGCCGCCAGGCGCGCCGATCCGATTGTCGTCGCGATGGAGTGCTTGCGAACCTTTGAAATGCTATCCAAAACCTTCGACCGTTCGTCGTCCGCCGAGCGGAACGCGGGAGGAAGACCATCGACCACGCTCACAGGCGGAGCGATGTCAAGGGTGGTCTTTTCCTTGTTAGCCTCCGCGGTTTGTATGAATTTGAAGGCGATGGGCAAATAATCGTCCAGGCGCTTAATGCTCATGTCCTCGCCCCAGGGGAACTTCTTCGCGAAAGAGATGATCTCACCGAGTAGCTCTTTCAAACGCTTACGAACAGACACGCTCTGCACGCGCGACGCCGCGGCTGCTTTCTCGACGCTGATTCTGACGCCATGCAAACGAGCCACGACGATGACGACGGCGGCTACGATGACAATTGGATCGCGCCCAATCAACAAACCTCTAGAGAACGCAAACTGCAGGAGAACCTTTGCGTCTCGCACCGTCGGCGCCATCATCACGCTTCGCGTCATGCTCCCTCGCTGTGGTTGAACGTTGGAGTTCTTGTTTGAAATTTGTGTGAGCTCGGGAAGCGCCGCAACCGCGCGCGCGACGTAATTCTCCGGATCCAACGGAGGCATCTTAAGCCCGTGCAACTCTTGGAGCTTGTGAAACACTCGCCCAAGGGTGAACACGTTCACCGAGCACGCCTCCGCCACCTCTCGCATGCTCACCGGTAAATTATTCTGTCGACACACCGAGTACACGCACGCCCCCGTGAGTTGACTCGTCCACAACCCTTGACCCCACTTCCCATCGGACGCTCGCGTCACCAGATCTTTCACCTCGGCGATGATGTCTTTATTCAGCTTCAACAGCGCCCCCGTGTGCTCGACGCTCTTCGCGATGTGATACAAGTTCGTGCTCTCTCGGTCTCGAAACATGTGTCGCGTGACGTGCGACGCCCCCGGCATGCTCACCATCTGCGCCCGCGCCGCCGCCAAATGCGCCCCCACGTGCGCACCATCCTGCAAAAACGTTCCATCCGCCGCCCCGTCCTCGGTCCAATTCAGCGTCGTCTGCAACACGCTCGCTCGATACACCGCACCGCACGATTGGCAAATTTCACTTCCCAGCGCCGGTTCCAGCTTGATCGCGTCTCGTCCGCAGTTCGGGCACGCCGGGACGTGCGAGGCGCGTTCATCGTCGTACACCGCCCCCGACATCGCGCGCGAGCGCCGACGCGCGCGCGTGTGCGGGCGATCGCGCGTCGATGCGTTCGAATCAACGACTCATGGCCGCTGTTGACGAGTCACGACCCATCACTCGAGGGACTCCGAGCACATCATCGCCATTCGCCATTCGCCGGTCGTCATTCGCCGGTCGCGCGAAGCGCGTCGACGGGACGAGCGCGCGCGCGGGGCGTCGACGACGCGCGCGCCCGTCGGCGCGGTCGTCGGCGTCGTGCGAGCGCGCGCGACGTCGAGACGGTGGACGATGATTGATTCGATGGCGACCGACGCCGCGGCGCGCTGGGAGCGCGTCGCCGCGCTCGCTCGGGCGCCGGGGACGTGCGATTTAGGACAAGGATGGCCGGACGTCGGTGAGAGCGCGATCGCGATCGACGCGGCGCGGCGGGCGATGACGGATGGGACGACGCGCGGGAATCAGTACGCGCCGCCGCGCGGACGGAGCGAGCTGACGGAGGCGTTGGTGGAGTATTACGCGCGCACGGGGTACGATGTGCGGAACGGGAGTGGTGATGACGGGACGTCGAGCGTCGTGGTCACGGCGAGCGCGACGGAGGCGCTGTATGGGGCGTTTCAGGGGGCGCTGCGGGCGTCGGCGGAGCGAGACGAAATCGTCTTCGTCGAACCGTTTTTTCCGTGGTACAAAGCCATCGCGGATGATTTAGGGGGGAAGTCCGTGGTGGTTCGGGCGAGGGCGAGCGATGGGTTCGCGATTGACGTCGAGGCCGTGCGCGCGGCGTGCGAGGGTGGGAAGACGGCGCTTTTGGTGATGTGCTCGCCGCACAATCCAACCGGACACTGCGCGACGAGAGACGAGCTCGAGGGAATCGCGACGGTGGCGCGAGAGCTCGATTTAACCGTCCTGAGCGACGAAGTGTACGAGCGAGCGGTGTTCGAGGGTGGGGAACACGTGCGATTGGCTACGATTGGAGACATGCGCGAACGCTGCGTCACCCTCGGTTCGGCGAGCAAGCTCCTCAATCTCACCGGATGGCGCGTCGGCTGGGCGATCGGCCCACCGAGATTGATCGACCAGATCAACTCGGCGCATAGTCTCATGTCATACGCGGCGCCGACGCCGTTTCAAATCGGCGTCGCCGCCGCGTTGAACGAGATATCGGCGTCGGCCACCGGACGCGTCACCGCCGACGCGAACGCCGAAGCCATGCACTCAAACGCGCGAACGCTCGGACGTGCGCTCGAAGACGCCGGTCTCCAGGTTTTCTACCCCAAAGGTGGCTACTTCTTAACCTGCGACGTCTCCTCCACCGGTCTGACGGACGCGCGGTTCTGCGAGCGTCTCGCCGAAAAGGCCCGCGTCGCCTGCGTCCCGATGTCCGTCTTCTTCCTCGACGCCCCCGACGTCCCGCGCTCGCTCGTGCGCTTCGCCGTGTGCAAGAAGCCATCCACCGTGGACGAATCCTCTCGCCGCATCCGCGCCAACGCCCCGTACCCGTAGTCCGCGCCAACGCGCGTAGATATTTCACCCCGCCCATCCAAACCCTCACCATCTGACGTCACCCCACCCCACCCTCGCCTCGTCGTCCCCGCTCGAGACCGCGTCGCGCCCTCGATGTCGCTCGCGTTCGCCCGCGCGCGCGCGACGCCTTCACGCACCGCCGTCCCGTCGCGTCTCCACCGTCGCCCGTCGCGTGCGCGACGCGTCGTCGCCGCGAGCGACGCGCGCCGGTGTGGTCAAAAAGTGTGCGATGCCGTCACCGTCGCCGGTGTCACCGACGACGACGACGCGTCGACGCGCGCCGAGAAGTCGACGTCGCTGCGATCGACGCCCGCGGGGGCGGTGAGCGCGCTGGCGCTGTGGAACCTTTCCGATGGATCGCTCGCGGAGGGCACGTCGAACTCGTACTACGCGACGCTCTTCTTATTCATCCTGAGCGCGCCCGGGTTGTACTCGTTGGTGAAACGGAGCGCGAAGAGTAAGATTGCGAGAAAGACGTTCGAGGTGGATGGACCGAGCGTGCGCGGGGCGACGCCGCAGGATGAGCTGGCGAAGGATATTTTTACGTTTTTCAAGAGGAACAATTACGTCGTCGCCGACGCGGGCGAGGTCATCACGTTCGAGGGAAACATCGCCCCGGAACGCGGTACCGCGGCGTACATCACGTTTTGTGTGTTGATAGGACTGTTGTGCGTCGGTTTGGTGTGCTCGATCGCTTTGCCTGGTGGAGACGCGTGGTACGCCTTGGCGCTCGCGTCGCCGCTCTCGGGCAAGTATTACCTCGACAACGCCGGACGCAAAGAGCAGGTCAAGGTGAAGATGGTGACCTCGGACGACGACGCGACGATCGATATTACGATCGAGGGTGACGCGGATGAGATAGAACGATTCAGAAGAGAGATGGATCTCACGCCCAAGGGTATGGTTCGAGTCAAGGGCATCTTGGAGAAGGCGTGAGCGGACGCCGCGTCGCGCGGCGCCTCGCGAGTCTCGGCGGAACCGTCTTAGCGTCTCCGTTCTCGCATACGTTCGTAATTTGTAATGTCTGAAATAATTTCTAGCGAAAAGACTCGCCTGCGCGTCGAACGCGCGTCACGGTCCGCGTATCGCGCGCGCTCCGACTCGAAACGCTTCGCGTCGCCTCTTCATCCATCCGCAGTCCGCGGCATGCCGCCCTCCTTCCTCGCCGCCCTCCCCGCGCGCGGCGCTTTCACCGAGACCGAACACAAACCAACGCCTTCCGCGAGCGACTTACGTCCGTACGTCCACAGAGGAACGCACGGAGACGAATCAACATCAAAAGAGTCTTCAGATTCAATCAGAGTGCGCACCGACGGAACGAACATCTTAATCCGTCAGCTCTCGCAGACGCGCGCGCGGGCAGAGGCGAAGCGCAGAGCGCTACGGGCGAAGGCGGCGAGCGAGGCGAAGGCGCGGACAGAGGCGATCGCGGCGGAGGCGAAGCGGGTGGAGCGCGAACGGAGCGCGGCGTTGGAGCGCGCGAGCGGGACGCGCGAGCCAAAGAGAGAGGACGCGACGACGCAGGGGGCGGAGAAGGGCGGTGCGGGGGCGAATCCGTTCAGTCGGAAGCGCGCGGCGTCGGGTGAGGACGCCGGTGCGCGAGCTGGGGGGTCGGCGAAGCGTGGGAGAGGATCGACGTAACGGGCGAGACGCGTTTGAACGCGCGGACAGACGGAGACGCGACGGCGGTGGATATGATTCGTGAGGACGGCACGCTGAGCGCGGAGGCGTTCGAAGTCGGCGTTCGAGAGATATTGAACGATCGAAGTGGGTGCGTGCGCGGACGATGGGTGGAAGAGACGACGTCGATGGTTCGCGCGACGACTGCGAACGGGTACGGAGTTCTCGAGAGCGACTTCAGGGAGGAGACGCTCGAGATCGTCGAGCGCGAGGGCGACGACGTGTTCGATGACGACCATGACGACGCGGTGGTGCGCACAGCGACGCGTGGGCACGTGCGCGAGTATCGCGTCGTATACTCGGCGACGTTTTGTGTTCCGGTGTTGTGCGTTCGCGCGCGAGACGCGACGACTCGAGCGGCGTGGACCGTCAGCAGACTTCTCACTTCGCTTCGTCGGGAGAACCCGTGCGTGCGAACGAATGATGACGATCCGGTGCTCACGCCGTATTCGAATCCACACGAGCGTGAAAACGGCGATTGGGCGTGCGTACATCCGTGCGCCACGGCTGGCGCTATGCGACTGTTACTCGCCGCCGACGCCGCCGCGACGTCTCCGCGACGATACCTCGAAGCGTGGCTTCGATGCGTCGCCCGCGAGGTCTCCCTCGCGCTCGATGACGATTGAAGATAAAAATGTATCGATACTAGACGCGACGAACAGAAACAAACGAACGAAGACGTCTCTTCTCTGGCTAACAAACTTCTATCCTCTACGCCGCCGCGCGACGCTCCGCGACGCCGCTACCTCCTCCCTCGATCCGACTCCACGTTCTTCACCGGCACCCGATCGATGATCAATCGAATCTCCTCCGGATCCAAATTCGCTTGCGCCGCGAACAATCGATGCATCGTTCGCAACTCCTCCGCGTCCTCGCACGTCCGCGCCCGCGTCGTCAGCGCTCTCGCCAACGCGCTCTCGTCTCGATGCATCCGCCACATCTCCTCCAGTCCCAACACGCACTCCGCCACGCTCGGCTGCGGCCCCACCTTCTCCCCCCCCCCCAATCTCGGCGCGTGTTCCATCGCATCGATCCGTCGCCACGCGTCCGTCTTCGCTCGCCGCATCGCCGTCGCGACGCGTTCCAACCCCTCGCACGCCTCGACCAATCCAACGAACATCGCGTCCAGCGACGCGTACTGCGCCGAGACCGTCGCGCGCGCGAACATCGCATCGACGTCGTCCCCGTACGTCTGCACCGTCATCGCGCGCGCGAGCGCCGGGAGGCGTTCGAATGCGTTCACGACGGCGCCGAAGAGTGCTCTCGCCCGCGCGTGTTCTCTCGCCCACGCCTCGCGCTCGACGCGCACGCGCGCGTACGCGTCGCGGTAGGCGTCGAGCGCGCCGTGGGACATCTCGCGCGCGCGCGCGGCGTCGGGCGCGGCGTCACGGCGCGCAAAATCGAATCGTTCGATGCGATGTGACGATTCGACGACATCCATCGCACGGGACATCGCGACGCCGTGCGCGATGCCGGGGACGACGCGCGCGATCGCGCTGTACAGGGCGCTCGCGCGCGCCGGGCGTGGGTTCAACGATTACAACGTCCGGGAGTACGTGCGACGACGGGCGCGGGAGGGATTCGAGGACCATCGCGCGGCGCGCGGCGCGGACGCGGCGCGCGCGATCGAGCGCGGGATGGAGGCGCTGGCGGTGGTGCGACGACAGGCGGGGGTGTTCGCGCTGTATGGAAATGGGCGACGGCCGAGCGCGATGGACGTGCGGTGAGGTGTAGGTGTAGGCGGACGGGACGACGACGACGCGAGGGGGGGGGCGGACGCGGCGGTCGCGTCGTGTAATGATACGTTCACATCGGTGGGTCATCGTGCGTCGCGTACGCGATGGCGTCGCGCGCCTTGAGCTGTGCCGCGCGCACGGCGTCGATGGAGAGGTCGTCGAGGGTGCAGTCTCGAAGGACGTCCGCGCACGCCGTCGTCGCCCGCGCTCGGCTCGAGGCGTCGCCCACGAGTTTTTCTAATTGCCCAGCCTCGAGACGCGAAGCCCTTCGAGCGGCGGCGAGACAGACGGACTCGGGAAGTCCCGCTAAGCGAGCGACGTTCACGCCGTAGCTTCGCGGACAGTTTCCGCTCGCGAGCGTATAGAGGAAGGTGACGGTTTCGCGCCCGTACGCGTCCGCGCCCGCGTCGCTCGGCGTCTCCACGCGGCACGCCATGTGCGCGAGGGCGACGTTTGGATCACGCGCGTGGTCATCTGCCAAGCGGTGATAGTGCGTGCTGAAAAGCGTGCGACATCGCCTCTCGATGAGGTGCGAAGCGACGGCGCAAGCTATGGCGGTGCCATCCGCGGTCGCCGTCCCGCGTCCGAGTTCGTCCAACGCGACGAGCGAGTTCGTCGTCGCTCGACGCAACATCGCCGCCGTTTCGCTGAGTTCCACCATGAACGTCGACTGACCGCCGGCGAGGTTATCCTTCGCACCCATTCTCACGAAGACCGCATCCATGGCGGTCATCTCGAATTTAGAAGCTGGCACATCCGCGCCGACGTGAGCCATGATGGCAGCCAAACACACCTGCCTAATGTACGTCGACTTTCCACCCATGTTCGGACCGGTGATTAGGCAAAACCCAGGGTGTTCCCCTCCCAGCCGAGCGTCGTTCGGGACGAACGAACGCGCCAACGACAGGGCACAGGGATGAGAGAGGTTTTTGGACACGAGCGTGGCCGATTCGCTTTGCGCAGGCGCTGGATGCACCTTGGGCGTGCACACGGCGCTGCAAGACGCGTACATCTCGTCACTGGCGACGGCCAAGGAAGATAAAACGTCGATGACTGCACCCACGCTCGCAGCGGCTTGCCACTTCCCGGCGTTCTCGCAAAACTTGGCGACGACGCGACGAAATACACCGGACAGCGCTTCCTCACGCGCCTCCTGTGCCGTCGCGCGCTTCGCGCGAAGAGGTTCGAGTTCTCCACACGTGAATCGCTCGAAACCCTTACGCTTACCCTCTCGCACCCAGTTGTGCGGGACTTTTGCAGCTAACCGATCCGGAACCTCGACGAGGTGCGTGTCTTTGTTTGCGTTCACAAAGCACACCTCTGTCTTGTGTCCTCCGAGCTGGACGCGTGCTTCCTCCAACCAGGCCGCTAGTTGAGCGTCCGCCGCGGCGAGCTTATCTTCGGCGGCGTCCAAATCAGCGTCGATGCCACGCGCTGGTTCGATCCGCCCATTCGTCTTCGCAGCGTTCCAATCGAAAGCAGCCTCCATATCTTTGAGCTCGCTTAAATCCGGAATCGCCACGCCTCCAGTAGCTGTGAAGACATCCTCGTGCGTCGCTGCCTCGTCACCGGCGACGCATAGTGCACGAAGAACGCTTGATTTCTTGCACGCGTCATCACACGAGGCGATGGCGTTTACGGCATCGCGCACAGCGCGCACACCCTCCAGCGCTGCGAGGAAATCGTTCAATTTTGCACGCGCCATGTCCTCGTACAAAACGACGTGCGCCGCATCTCTACCTCGTCCACCACTCGAACCGACCACACGAGATATCGCGCGCTCGGTATCTGGTGCCTCGCGCAAAAGTTTACGAGCGATACCCGTGACTTCTAAGCCACTCCCTCGCATAGCTGCGATTGCTATCTGACGAGCCTTGATGGCGGATGGGCTCATCAACGGTCTGCACACCCAGCGGCGCAACAATCGACGTCCAGGCCCACTCGCGCATCGATCAAGCGATGCCAACAACGTCCCAGCGGATCCTCCTGCAGTATTCTCTAACACTTCGAGACCGGAGAGCGCGGCGGCATCCATGGCAACGTGTGAAGAATGCGCCCAGCGCGCCAACTGCTCCCGAGTATCCGCCTCTGTTGTGTGGAGTGATTCGATTCGCCCTTGCGGTACCAAGTCAGCGTCGATCAACGCCGCTCTTAAGTACGCCACAATAGTGCCCCAAGCGGATATTCCGCACTCGCGAGCGGGATCGCACGCGGTGTCGCGCAACTCCTTGATTGCCGCTGGCAAACCGCTCTTGAGATTTTTGAAATAGCCCTCTGTCTCCACATCTTGGATCGCATCAGCAGCGCTCGTCGTCTTGAACGTACGTTGCTGCGCGCTCGAACACATTTCTAATACCGCACCATTCGTCCGAGTGCTCATACCCGACGGTGGCACCAGAATTTCGACCGGTCGAAGCTCGGCAAGCGCGGTTCGCAAACAACTTGCTCCTTCATCATCGCGCCACGCGCCCACAAGAAATCGACCCGTACCGCAGTCCGCAGCGCATAAACCGACCCATCCATCTCCATCGTCCTCCACACCACCGTCTACGATCGAACACACGTACGCGGCGTCCGGAGAAGAATTTAACATGCCCGTATCGACCATCGTGCCCTTCGTCAACACTTGAACCATTTCGCGTCGCACCACCGTATCCTTGCACGTCTTATCCTTTCTCTTACGCTCTGCCAATTGATCCGGGGTCTCGGTCTGTTCAATACAAACCACGCGATGCCCCTTGCGAGCGAGCTGCTCGGCGTGCATGGCGTAATTCTTCTCTGGAAATCCAGCGTGCGGTTGGTCTCCCCTCATGTACATCAAACCCAAGTCTCGCACGCCTATGTGCGCGTCCATCTCAAACATTTCGTAAAACTTGCCCATTTTGAAAAGCAAAACCGAGTCAAAGTTCGCGGCCTTGAATCGCCACCACTGAGCCTGACCAGGTGAAACCGTCCATGGCTGCCCGTTTGCGTCGCGCAACTTTGGGAAAGTTGACGGCAACAAGAGCGAGGACGGATCGTAATCCGGATCGCTCGGACGTCGACCCTTGGCGTCCTTGATGTTCTCCGGCTGAAGGAACGTAAACTTCAAGCGTTCTCTGGCCGCGTACTGTTCCGGTCCAACCCCTCCGAGCACCTCAGCGGCGCTCAAATCCTTTGGTTCGGATGATTTCGCCGCGACAGAAGTCGTGTTCACGGTCGTCTTATTACGACCATTCGTCTTCGTCACCGGCGCAGAAGCCTTCGTCGCCGCGGAGGCCTTCTTCACCGGCTTCTTCGTCTTCTTCACCGGCGACTCACTCTCGGAGAAATCATCGTCTTCACTCTCGCTCTCGCTCTCGCTCTCATCCGCGTCGAACTCGTCATCGTCCTCCTCCTCCTCATCGACCTCCGCGGTTGCGTCGAAATCGCTATCACTTGACTCTGCCAACACATTCGCCTTCTTCGTCGCCCGCACCCGTCTTCGCCCGTTTCTGGTCCCATCATCGACATCTGGCTCACGCTCCGGCGGCGTCGGCGTCGGCGCCGAAGTCGAGTTCCTCTTCGTCGACGAATCCTTCCCATTCGCCGCGTTGCCGCCCGCGTTCTCCTTCTCATCGCTCGTCGTCGACGCGTCAATCATCGGCACCTCTACTGCGATCGAATCCGACGCCTTCGCACTCTCGACGACCGTTCGAGGCGCGTTCGCATCTTTGTTTTCACCCATCGAGTTCGTCTCTTTGTGATTATTTCCATCCTTTACGTCGTCGTCGACGCGCTGGCGCTTCGCCGCGGGGGTGAAGAAGGCGGCGATCGAGCGCTGCCCCTTAGGTGGCGTCGGCGTCTTCTGAGGGGGCATGCGTTCGACGCTCGACGCGCGCGCGAGTGCGGACGGAGAGGAAATGCGGTTTGAAATTCAAGGACAGCCAAAAGGCGGCGTGGCGGATTTGTGTGGAGTTTCGCGTTACTTACACCGCGCTATGCGTGAGAGTCGGTCGCTCAATCTCTGTACGTGACGCGCCTGGCGACGCGAACGATGTCGTCCACGGTCGGAAGAGCGCGTTCCTCGAGGTTTTGAGCGTACGGCATCGGAACGTCGACGCCGGTGATGCGCTCCACGGGCGCATCGAGGTGATCGAACGCGTCCTCGTTGACCACGGCGGAGATCTCGGCGCCAACGCCACACTGGGGCCAGCCCTCTTCGACGACGACCATGCGGTTGGTCTTTCGAACGGACGCCGCGAGCGCATCGCGATCGAGCGGGCGGAGAGAGCGGAGGTTGATGACCTCGGCGTCGATACCCTCCTCGCGAAGCTTCTCCGCGGCTTGGAGGCAGTAACCGACCATCTTGGAGAAAGCGACGAGGGTGACGTCCGCACCAGGCTTCATGACCACCGCCTTACCGATGGGGATGGTGAAATCCTCGTCCATGGCTTCCTTGGGCAGTGCGAACTCTTGACCGTACAGGAGCTCGTTTTCCAAAAACACGACGGGATCGGGATCGCGAATCGCCGCCTTAAGGAGACCTCGAGCGTCTTCGGCGTCGTACGGCGCGAGAACCTTCAGACCAGGGATGGACATGTACCAGGCGGCAAAGCATTGCGAATGCTGAGCCCCGACCCCGGCCGCGGCGCCGTTCGGGCCGCGGAAGACGATGGGCGACGAGATGGCGCCCGCCGACATGTAAAGCGTCTTCGCCGCGCTGTTCACGATGTGATCGATCGCTTGCATAGAAAAGTTGAACGTCATGAACTCGATGACTGGCTTGAGTCCCATGAACGCGGAACCGATGCCGATGCCGGTGAAACCGGCCTCGGTGATTGGCGTATCGCGCACCCGCTCGGCGCCGTACTTTTGCAATAATCCTTTGGTGATCTTGTACGCCCCTTGATAATCGCCGACTTCTTCCCCCATGATGTAAACCTTCTCATCACGCGCCATCTCTTCGCTCAGCGCGCTGTTCAACGCGTCGCGAACCGTCATGCGAGGCGCGTCCGCCGGCAGCGCCCGCGCGATCGGCGCCGCCCGCGACTCCGTCCCCGCGTCCACCCTTCCGCTCGCTCGAGAATTCCTCGTGAGACCACCCTGTTCCTTAATCGGCCGATAATCCGGTCGCTCGAGCACCGCCCTCGCCGCCGGCACCGCGTTCGTCTCCGCCGTCGCCTCCGCCGTCGCCTCCGCGTCAGCCGCCGGTTCGTAATCCGCGAACGCCCCCACGTCCTCCGCCCGTTCACACATCACCGCCACCGGTTTCCCCACCGGGACATCATCATTCTCCCCAGCGTCGACCAATATCTTCGCCAAGTACCCATCCTCCATGGACTCCATCTCCATCGTCGCCTTGTCCGTTTGCACCTCCGCGAGGACGTCCCCCGCGACGACGGCGTCCCCGACCGTCTTCTTCCACGACGCGATCCCACCGCGCGTCATCGTGGGCGAGAGCGAGGGAAAGGGCACGACCACGTGCGCGGGCAACGTCTTCGACGTCCACGCGCGTCGCCCGAGCGTCGATCCGAGATGGTCAACACCCGGACGTAGGGTCTCCTCCGATCGCGTCGCGCGCGACCGCGCCATCGCGCGCGCGAGCGCGCGCGCGAGCGCCCGGCG